GAAGCCGCGGCGGACGACAGAAAAGATGAGGGGATTCGGAAGCACAGGAAGCACCGGCTCGCCTACAGGGGCATGGATGACGGTGTCGACGGTGTCGACGGTGTCGAGGATGCGTCGGAGTCCGGATGCGGGTGTGTTGAGCGAACCAAAGGTGGCGTTGCCGGGCGCGGACCTTGGCGGAGAAAACGGTCTCGTGATTTTCGAAGGGAACAGAAGCCGAAAGAAAGCTGGGCTCCGAAATCTCGAAAATGCTCAGCGGAGCGACTGCTCACGCTGCTGGTCAATTGGGTGCGGGCGTGCAGCGCGCCGTGTCTGCCTTGTCGGTCACGTCAGGCGTGAGGGGAGGCGCGGATGTGTTGTGCGTGTGTCGCTCGCCCGGGATTGCTTGGGGTCGTGGGCTGAGGATGCTGGCAAGGTGGTGGTGGTGATCGATTCTAGGCTGTGGGAAAAATTACGATTATGAGCCATTGGGTGGCCGCCACTGCCCCACCGATCGTTGCTGACTAACATCAAAAAGTCACATGGCATGGCACGTGTGGTGACGCACCCAACACAGTGGAGCCCCACAATTCACGGCCTTGTGGCAGCGACGCGCCAGACGCGTCTGCCCGCGTAAAGCGCATTAAGTGGCTGTTTTTTGTGTACTTCGTGCCATTGAAGCGCACAAACAGCATCACCACCGCCAACAACCACGATCCTGCGCCCTGTTGCCGGACCATTCGAGCATTGAGAGCCGACGCCGACTCTAAGCGGTTCTCTTCACTTCGGCGACAATGGACGCCACGGCAGCAAACGAGACCATGGAGCCGGTGGACGTCGTCCATCCCGAAGTTCGAGCACATATCACGAGTCTTGTGTCTGCGGTATGTTTGATGAGGGCGGGGGCGTGTGCGGCACCGGCGGACAGGAGCCTGTGGCAGTCATTGGTCTAACATTCTCACCAACGCGGCAGCTCGGCGGCTTCGACGAAGATGGCACGTACCAGCTGGGCGACGACGCCCTCGACGTCCTGCGCGACATCAAGAAATGGATCCGCTTCTACGACCAGAAACTCAACCGCATGGACGTGGCCCGCTGCCTAGCCGAGACGAACCTGGTCGGCGGCGACCTGCTCGCCATTCTGGCCACATGGCACGAGAACGCCAACCTGCAGCGCTTCCGTGCCCGTGTCGCCCTCGCCTGCTACGAGATCCTCACGCCGTTGACCTGGCCGCTCGAAAAGGACCCCGAGACCATGACCGTCAACCACCACCGCCACCTGCCCGTGCTGCAGCTGGCCCAGCTGGCCTACAAGCGCGCCATTGTCAACTACGACGGCGCCCAGATCCTGCACACGGCCGTGCGTGCGGCCCTGCCGTCCATGGCTGTCCCCCTCGGCGACCGCTCGTTGCGCGACCAGGGCGTGATCAAGCTGGTTCTGTTCTTCCTGCGCAATGTCGCCATGATCGAGCCGCCGCCCGGCGTCCAGTATGACGGCGACGAGTCACAGATCTCGCGGTCCACCACCATTGACGCCTTTTCGTACCAGGACATCTTTCTGGTGCTGCTGACCGTGGCCTCCAACATGGGCGAGGATTTCCGCACAGAGGACACGACCGTCATGGAGGTCATCTTCCACCTCGTCAAGCGCGTCGACACCGCCAAGCTGTTTATGGACGCGACGCAGCTCAACCACACCAAGGCCTCCGAGCTGACCGACATGATGCAGAAGGAGACGGCCATGCTGCACGCCTTCAACAAGAACGGCCCCACGCGCCACAGCCGCTTCGGCACCATGGTCTGGGTCGACCGCGGCGAGGGCAAGATGTCGACGCTGTCGGGCCAGGACGCGCTGATGGGCTCTGCCGCCCGCGAACGCAAAATGGACAACAGCAAGAAGTTTCGGCCGCCCCGCCGAGGCCGCAAGCGCGACGAGAAGCAGGAGCTCGTCGGCCTTGGCGCGCCCGTGTCCCTCAACGCGCGCGCCAACGCTCAGCTGCGCAAGTTTGTCGAGGAGTTTCTGGACGCCGGCTTCAACCCGTTGTTTCAGCACATTCGCAAGTCGATTGACCGTGAGGCCCCGCACGTCCAGCACCACCACCGCGCTCAGTTCTTCTACCTGGTGTCGTGGTTCCTCGAGGCCGAGCGCATGCGGCAAAAGGCGCAAAAGGCGCAAAAGGCGCAAAAGGCGCAAAAGGCACAAACGGCCCAGACGGCACAGCGGGGCCAAGAGAAAGCCCATCCAACTCAACCTCCTACGGACGAGGTCAGCAGCTTTAACCTCGTGGCCGGCGTGCTGAACCAAGAAATGTTCATTTTCCTGGGGCGCGCCCTCGACCGGTCGAACAACGACAAGGACTGGCCCGAGTTGACGGTGGTGATGCGCTGTTTCACGCAGATTCTTCTGACCGTGCAAGACATGTCTGAGTCCAAGAGCGAAGACGACGAGGAGATTGCCGAGAACATTTTGAGCCGTCTCTTTTACGAAGAAACGACCCACGACGCCGTCACCAACATTGTCAAGAACTTCAAGGACCAGGGCTACGAGTACCTCGACGCCTGTACAGAACTTGCGCACACCTACTTGCGCATACTCGAAGCCTATTCGAAGCAGAACGTAGACCTCCAGGTCCGCTCGCGTCGGCGAACCCGGACAAAGAAGAAGGCAGCCAAGGCGGCGGCGAGCACACGGGCTGCCATTGGCGATGCTGCAGGGGACGGCGGTGACGCCGAGCACTTGGCCCCCGACACACAGAATGACGACGATGACGAGTCCGCCGACGACGAGGCAGCCGCCCAAAAAACAAGCACAGAGCGCAACTTTGACTTCAAGCGCTTTTCCGCCCGCTTTGCGGTGCAGGGCGTCATCAACACATTTGTCAAGCTCCTCCACAACTACCGAGATCTCAGCGACGCCCAGCTCAAGCGCGCGCACCGCTTCTTCTACCGCGTGGCTTTCAAGCAGGAGATGAGCGTCATGCTCTTCCGCGTGGACATTGTTCGGCTGCTCTTCAACATGATCAAGGGACCCGAGCCTCTCGACCGGCAGAACGCCATGTACCGTGACTGGGAGGAGCTCTCGAGGCAGATTCTGCGCAAGTGCTTCAAGAAGATTGAGGAGCGGCCCGTGTTGATCATTGAGATGCTGTTCTCGAAGACGGCTGGGACGGCACACTTCCTCGAGTACGGTTACGAGAAACAGACGGTGTCGTCGTCCGCGCCGAAGCCTGGCGGGCTGCTCGAGTTCCGTGAGGAGCTGGACAAGGACCGCCAGATTGCCATCTTGGTGGGCGTTCTCTTGGACAAAAACCACCACGATCTGCTCACCTGGATCAAGAACCAGGTTGGCATGGCCGCAGCCGAGCGGCGGGCGTGGAAGGCGACTGAGACTGCCGCGACTGCTGCCGCTGCGGCGGAGACAGCCACAGCAGCAGACGGCGACGAGTCCACCCCACTCGACACACCCTCTACGGCTTCCGTTGTCAGGCGTGACGCCCCCACCATTAGCATTCGACCCAGCGACGACGCTTGCAAGAAGGCCATGTTCAAGAACTCGCATCTGCGTCTCCTGATGCAGCTGGTGGGCATGGAACGCCTGGCGCCCTCGATCGACGAGACGCCTGACTCGACGTGGATCTTCGCGTCGCACGTCACCGCCGGCGAGCTTGAGGAGTCGCTCGAGTTTATCAACCGGGCCGAGTTTGACCCGCCGACCTTTGACAACAACCAGTCGGCCGAGGACCAGCTGAAGCGCAAGACGGCGCCCCGCAAGAAGGCGGTGTACGACGACGACGGCGACGACGAGGACGGCAGGATTGACGACGAGATGCTGTTCCCGGCCGGCGGTCCGACGGCCCGTAACATCGTCGAAGACGGCCTGGATGGCGGCCGCAAAAGGAGAACCATCCGGCGGCGCCGCAAAAAGACGGACGAGGACGGCAACGAGCTCGAGGGCCCGACGGAAGAAGAACTCGATGCGAGGGCGCGGCTGCGGCGAGCCAAGGAGCTCGAAAAGGCGCGGCGCATCAAGAGCGACGTGTATGTGCACGCGAGCGACGATGAGACGGACGACGAGAAGGACCGCGAGTTCTTTGCGCGCGAGGAGGCGACAAGGAAGCGGATCCACCGTGCTGTGCAGCAGAGTCTGCTGTCGAGCAAGGGCGACGACAGCGATGCTTTGGCCACCACACCGAGCAAGCCGACCAAAGCCAAGCGCACGTCGACCGTGCTGTCCGATGACGATGACCTCCATGACAGCAGCGACCTGGACCTTGCCTCCTCGCAAGACCTGCTAGCATCAGGCCGGCGAAGCCGTAAGCGGAGAAAGTCGAGCGAGGTGGCGTCGGGCACGGACGATGCTGACGGCGATGCCGGTGAGGTCGTCGTCAAGAAGAAGGCGCCGCCAAGGAGACGACCGCATGCCGGCTTCGTTGACAGCAGTGACGAGGAGGATGAGGATGACAACAAGAAGCAGGCGGCAGTCGAGAATCCAATCCCAGTGGCCAGTCAAAGTGGTGACGCCATGGACGTGGACGTATCATCACCTGCCGTCTTGTCTGAAAAGACGGGCGGACAGATCCAGCTCAACGGCAACACCAACGCCGATGGGGCGAACAACGTGGACGATGATGCTGACGACGATGTTCCGGTCGCCAGCAAGAAACGGACGGCGCGGGCCAAGTCGGGCTTTCTTGCAGACAGTGATGACGAGTAGAGAGGGACACGTATATCATGAAAGGGTTATGACCTGTGGCGGCTCTATGTGGGTATGTTTTGTTCTTGGTTTGTTTTCTCATGGCGACGCGCTGTTTGGCATATATCAATGGTCACTGTTTGGGCACGGCTAGTCAAATTTTATGGTAATTTTTCACTCTTATAGACTGTGAGAAAGAATGAAATCCAATCACGATCCATTGCTGTCTCCTGCCTCTCTTCTCTTAGTCTCCTTGTTTCCGCCCCGTGCTCCTTGCGTTGCTCCGACGTCTCCCCCCCGGAAGGTCATGCCTTTATGGGCAGACCATCTACTTCTTGCCAGAGCCAGCGCCGCTGCCCTTGGTGCCCGTGGAGCCCATGTTGCCGCCGCTGTTTGCGGCATTGGCGTTGTTCGTGTTGGTTGCCGCAGCAGACTGGGCGCGCGCGGCAAATCCACCCGAGGACATGTCCTTTCCACTGCGGGCCTATTCACAAGCAGAAGAATCGTCAGCAACAAACTGGATGCACACAGACATGCCAAGGACACGGTTTTCGACTGACCTGGCTCGACTGGATGCGCGACGAGTCACCGCTGGTCATTTGATTAGGGGGAGCCATTGTGATGGTTGTTGTTGGCGGTGGTGTTGCTTGGGTAATTCCGTTTGTAGCTGGAAATAGTCTGGTTGTGTTGGTTGTTTGATCTGTGGTTTCGAGTCCAAATCGTCGAGGTGAGGAGCGGGCTGGGCCCGACATTTATAGTCGTTTCTGAGAAAAGTGAGACACGAATCGGAGGTAGTGAATAAGTAGCACACGAGGCAGACTGTAGTGAATGTGCATTGTCGTAGTAATCGTGAGGTAAGAAACGGCAGTGTCAATGGCGGGTGTCTATCGTGAGTAAGAGGCAATGCTTCACATTACCATCAACTGTTTCATGATGATTGACTCCGTGAGATTTAAGCGTGAGGCAGCAGAAGTGTTAGGAAACGCAGTCCGTGATATTGCGCACAATGCACCTTTGTCACTATACATGTTATCCGACAAACAGCTCATTTAAAGCGTCATTCCGACGTCGTCACCGGCAGCACAAAATATATGAAGTAATGAATACCCCTCCTATTGCGAAGCGCTTAATAATTAATGGTTTTACATTCACATCATCACATTCCCATATGGTCAAGGTATCATGTTGTCATCCAGTATGAGTTGGCATTTGTCTCAACACCATGTCTCAGTCGACATCTCATGCGGCGCCGCCGAAAATGGCCTTGTTCTCCTGTGATATCTCGACAACCTTTTGCGCTAGATCGAGGTCTATAATTATAATCGCGAAAGTCAGCAGACAATCCAATTGTGAATCATGAATACTGATCGGCAGACATCGCCACTGCACGTACCGACATCCACGCCCAAATCTTGTGCACTCAGCACCTTGACCGACAGGTCAGGCATGACCTTGCCGACAATCTGAGCAGCATTGCCGCCAACGAGATGTGATTCCTAAGGAGGGATTTAGTAGGTGAACTTGCTCCTGCCACACCATCGATCGCTTGCATACGCACCCGGTTCAGGTTGACGGTAATATGGCCATCGGCGTCGAGAATAGCACTCTCGCCGCGCAGCTGGACCACCTTGCCGACAATAAGGACGTTGCGGTTGACGTAGCTGTTGAGGTACGAGCACGAGACCCTCGGCGTTTCCATGGAGGCCATCTTGGGCAAGGGTGGTGGGGCGAAGAAGGCGCGTGGGAGAGTTTATGGAGAACGAAGATGGATGCCAGCAAAGGAGCGGTATCGTCGGTGCGGAACGCGGGCTGTGAAGTGATGATGTCGCTGGGAATGTTTGGAGGGGCAGATGAGCTTGACGCGTTACAGTAGAAAGACGCGTTCTCAATTAAAACCACGTGATGCATCACGTGTGAGAAACAATTAGGCCCACATAGGAAGGCTGTTGGCCAAACTGGGTGTATCACGACAAGTTGCGGATTGATTTCTAGTCTTCTGAAGAATATGCATATGTAACTTGCTCCAAAAATACGGAAATGCTTTACTAAATTTGAATCCTGTCCTAGTCGTACTCGTACATGGTAATTTTGTTTTCGTACTTTTTTTTCATCGTCCGCCTCAACTACTCAACCAATGACTGTCTGACCTGTAGCCAGACCGCTCGGTTTTGCGCCCTGGATGTAGATGCGGCTGACCAGATCGCTCTGGTGCGCATCAATCATCTCGTGCAGCGCGGCGCGCTCGACGACAATGCGGCCCGTCTCCAGCAGGTCCTTGACGTCGACGTCGGCGACGGCCAGCGCGCGGCCGTCCTCGCCGGCGGTCTCGAGGCTGGTGAACAGGTTGGGGCGGCGGTCGGTCGTGATGAACGTGGTGCGGCCGGCCAGACGGCCCCATGCCTGGCCGATGCTGCCGATGCCCGTGCCGGCCGCTGCCGCAATGCCAGGGACAACATCACTGGTGCCGCCGACCAGCGGCGTCGTCGACCGCGTGGACGCCGTGCCCATCTCGCCGTTCAGGAGGGAGCGGACATAGCGCTTGACAAAGCCGTCCTCGAGGGAGCGGTCGAGCGTGCCGGCCTGGGCCAGGCGCAAAAAGGCGTCGGGCAGCGGCAGCTCCAGGCCGTCCTCGCACACAATCAGCTCGCCGCGGCGGTAGCGGTAGGACAGCGCGGTCCGCCAGGCGCGATCGTACATCTTGCGGTTGAGGTCGGTGCCAAAGTCGCGCGGGTGGGGGCCAAAGGTCTTGCCACCGCCGCGTATCAGAGGCGACTGGCGCGTGCCGACGCGCGCCATGCCCGATCCCTTTTGCCTGCGCATCTTGCGGTGGGAGCCGTGGACGTCCCAGCGGGTCTTGGACGAGGCCGTGCCCTGGCGCGTGTTGTCGCCCTCGTACACGACAGCCAAGTGCAGCAGGTCGCGGCGCAGGGGCAGCTGCAGGTGCTGGGCGGGCCAGAGCTCGAGGGCGCGGGGCTCGAGGCTCGGGAAGGCAAACACAGTGACGGGGACGGTACGCTCGGTGATGCTCTGGACGGTGGTCGGGGCCGTGGCAGCCGGCGGGACGGTGGACGCAAACGAGGACGGCATGCGCTTTGAATGAGAGGAAGAGGAGGAGGCGGAGGAGGAGGCGGCGGGCGAGGCGGAGCGCGGTGTTGTCGCCAAAGGCTTGTTTTGTGATGGTGATGTCGAGAACGCGCGAGGCTGTTGTGGTGGTGAGGAGGCAGCGGAGGAGCAAGGCTGGAGGTGCACGTGTTAGGAGGATGCTTTCAAGCAAAACAGACGATACAGGTGTCAGGAAGTACGCACCACGAGAGCCCTGCGGCCGGTCTGGGAGCTCAACGTCAGGCCATAAAAGGCCTCCGAGAGGCTCTGCGCTCCACGCCGTGCAGCCATTGTGAGGCGCTAGGCGGTAGCAGGCGAGTGAGATCGTAGCAGTCCAAGGAGAGTGATGTCGAATGCCCAGAGTGGTGGGTATGGGGGTCGGTGCGGGCGCAGGACAGACGACGGCAATGATGGCACGGGCACAACTGAAGCTTCGATTGATGTCTGGTTGGAGGTCGTGATGGGAGAAAAAACAGTCGCTAGCGCACAGACACAGTCCCCGGGTGCGGGCTCGACATTAGCCAATCAGAACCCACAGATTTAGCGAACTTACCATAAATGGACATCACGTGCGCACGCTGTACTTCACTTTGGCGGGCGGAAGGTGCTGTGGAGCCCCTGCCCGTTGCACTCGGAAAAAATTGTCGCGTGGTAAATTATGGGAGCTGTGAATAGCTTCATTGTTTTTTGAGAGCAGCACCACACCAACACAACACGACACCACCCAGACCGACGGACCGGCCACCCCGCCTGTTCTCAGCCACCCCTCCACAATGTCCCGGTACACGCCGGCAGCACGGCCGCTCGTGCAATGCCTGCGGGCCCGTGGCCGCCGCAGCGAGCAAGTCAGTCTCGTCCTCCGACCAGCCACTGCTGTTGCTGCCGCGCAGTCCTCGACGCCGGCTCTCTTCTCGACATCGACTCGCCAATTGGCTCCCACCACCTCCTCTACTTCTTCTTCGTCTTCGTCCTCCTCAGCAACACCGCCCCCGCCGCCACCACAACGACTCGAAGACCTCGAGGGCTGGCAGCAGGATCCCAATCTGACCACGCTGCCCTGGGCCGAGCGAGAGCTCATGCGCCGCGGCACGCCGCCCGTTGGCTCGCGGCGGCGACGTGCGGCCCTGCAGACGGCCACGGCACTGAACCGTGCCAAGGCCGGCAACGACACGCTTGCTGGCCAGGACGGCGGGCCGGTGCCCTTTGAGCTGATGCCGTACCAGTGCTTCCAGGAGGCCCGCAAGGTGCTGCGGGCGGACCGCGAGGAGAAGCTGCGCCAGATTGCCGCCGAGACGGCCAAGATCCGCAAGCTCGAAGAGGTCCTGGCGGCCGGCGACCCGTCCAAGGTCACGTCGCGCGGCGGCACGGCCTACCTGCAGAAGCGCCTGGGCAGCCTGCGCAAGCATCTCGAGCACCTCAAGGTCCTGGCCGACATCAACGACCCGCTCGTCAAGCGCCGCTTCGAGGACGGCCTCGGCGACATGAACAAGCCCATCTACCGCCACCTCGCCCAGGAGCGCTGGCGCGGCCGTCCCCTGCGGCTCATCCAGCAGCGCATCCAGCAGTTCCACCTGGCCCCCGATCTGCTGCCCCCCAGCCAGATCCACCCGTCCGCCGACGTCGAGCTCTTCTTCCGCACCTACAAGGTCGCCCACGGCGCCATCGTCGACAGCTTGATCTCCGAGGTCACGCCGCGCCTGCGCATCCAGGTCTTTGACCGCGGCACCCGCCTGGTGTCCGTCGTCGTCGTCGACCCCGATGTGCCCGATCTGGCGTCCGACGGCTTCTCGCGCCGCGTCCACTTTCTGGCCACCAACATCCCCGTCGCGCCCGCCGACCCCTCGGTCCCGCTGGCCCGCCTCGACCCCGCCAGCCAGGTCGTCCTGCCCTGGCTGCCGGCCTTTGCGCAAAAGGGCTCTGCCCCGCACCGCCTGGCCGTCTTTGTCCTCGAGCAGCCGCCCGTCGACGCCGAGTCCTTTGACAAGAACAGCAGCCGCATCGACACCGCCGCGCTGCAAAAGGCCTTTGCGAGCGACCCGGCCTCGGCCATTGCCGCTGGCGCCGACTCCTCCTCTTCCTCGTCGTTGTCGCCCACGGCCAACCGCGACAACTTTTCCCTCCGCAGCTTCGTCGACAAGCACGACCTGACAGTCGTCGGCTGCACGCTGTTCCGCACCCAGTGGGACGCCGGCACCGAGGGCGTCATGGAGCGCCTCGGTGTCCCCGGCGCCGACCTCGAGCTCAAGGCCACGCGCCTGCCGTCGCTCAAGCCGCCGCGCAAAGCCCGCGGCTGGGAGGCCAAGCACCAGGGTCCCAAGTACCGCCACCTGTGGAAGTACACCCACCGCATTGCCACCCCGCGCCGCAAGTTTGTGCGTTAAGGCCGGTAGTATGTGGGAGGAGCGGGTCGACGGACAGACTCTTACCTTTATTTCTTTACTATTTGGAGCAAGGTCGTTTGGCTGTTGTTTGTGCATACAAAAGTTATTATTTTCAACAGCATGTCGAGCACGTCGGGCACGTCGAGCATGTCCGGCCTGCCATGTGTAAGATAGCCAGCATTCTACAAAGTGTATCTATGTATGAGAATTGCCATGTTTGTCGTGGTTGCATGCATGTATGGGGCGTAACTTGGACTTGAATCATTATTCGTAGCCATCATCATGTTCTAGAATACAAAGTACACTCTTCTTCGTCTTTTGTCCGTTCTTCGCTTCTCTTGACCCTCCCTGTTGCCCCCTTTTGTCTCCTCCCCGTTCTTTATAAACATGATTCTCGTATCGTACATTAAAAAGGCAGAAGTCGCCTGTTTATCAACCGACCATGCGCACCCGATCCACCGCTGGTTTCCGAGCCGTTGTTGTTATCCGTCTCAAAATCCTTCCGCAGACGGGACACCGTGCTCAGCGGTGCAGGCATTGCACCGTCGGCCCGAATCTCCCGCACCATACTCGACATGTCCAGCTTTTCTGGTGCCCGCTGGATCGCGGCTGTCTCCGGGAGCAAGTCTTGCCATGACCACGACAGGTCTCCACCCTGATCCGATACTGAAGTAAACGATTCCACCTTGGACGCGTCTGTAACACTCGTGCGGGCGAGTGCCAGTTCCAACTCTGCCACTTTGGCTTCGGCCGCCTGAGCCCTCGTCTTCCAAGTGTTGCATTCGGTCGTTTTACTGTCCAAAAGGCGCTGCAGCTCCAGTTCCAACGCCGAAGCTGAACATTCAGACGAAAGCACCACTGACACTGGTCTTCCTTTGGAGCGGGACAGTACTGGTGTGCCGCCTCGTGCGAGCAATGACGTGTTGCCCGGCGGTGGTGGTGCTGTGGTTTTCTTCCCAGAGACCTTTGCTGTACTGTCCTTTGCCATACCGAATGGTGTCTGATGCCCTGTACCGGCTTTCACTTCGTTTCGGTCCACGGACCGCGCCAGCTCTCTCCGCTCGGTAGCGGCGAGCCGGCCGACTTTACCAAGAGGACCGTTCCTGCCCTCGCTCTTTGTAAGCCGCAGCCGTCTCCGCTCACTAGCCGTCCGTTGCAATGCTGACGTGTCGGTTCCCCGGCCCTCCGTCTTGTCGAGAGTTGCTTGTCTTGGCTGCACCGTAGAGTGTGGTGGTGTCACAAACTCTGCCGTTTTGGAAGGCGACGTGTTGCTCGTGTATTGGGACAGAGCCGAGCCTCGCTTCGGCGTGCGCGGCTTTGCCATCTGCGGGCTGGTCAGAGGAAGGGGCAACGATTCCGATGATTGCCAGGCTGCCGTGTCGAACATTGCCGCCATCGCCTTCACAGAGCTACCAGCCGCAGGGGACTTGGGCTCTTCCACATGGACCCTGTCTGGCTGTGTCCGTTTTGACGCCCGAGAGCTGGTCGAGTTGGCTCGCGTCATGTTGCGGGCGTCATTCTTTATCTCAGAGAGAGGCGACGTGGCGTCGTTGACCAGCTGTTCGATGGCACGCTGCTCCTGTGTAGCGTGCCTGGATTGCTTGTCCTCGCTCTTTTGTCCCACACTCACGCCCTTCACTGATGTAGCTCCTAATTCACGAACAGGCTTTTTCTGTGGCGTCGAAGGAGGCTTTCCAGTGCCGTAGGATCGCGACTTCGGCGACTGCCTTCCCACGGCTCCTGCAGTGTCCATCAGCCGTGTGGCCGGCGGCGGTAGACCTTTCACCCTACTCGACGGTGGACTTTCACGCCCATGGGCAAGGACCGTTGCACTGGCCTGTGCCTTCCATGGCCGTCTAGGCGTCGGTGAAACAATAGCAGTGGACTGGATAGGCCGGTTCTCCGGCTTGATGGCTGGTGAAGAGTTTCCTCGCACCCACTGTCCATGCGTCTTGGTCGGACTGTTGCCAGCAGACTTTGAGTCAAAGATTCTCGGTGTGTCGTGCGATGCCCTTACGGCCTTCTGCTTGCGGCTAGACAAGTCACCGGTCGTCCCGTCGGCCCTTTTAACCGGTGTTGGTGTTGGTGGCGGCTTGTTGGTATTCATGATTTTGGCGATCAGTGCGGCGGTCTTTGACTGCGGGGTGCCTCCAATGCCAACACGCCCAGCAGGTTCAGACAGGCAGGCATCAACAGCATCGATCGTATGGTGCGACCGCGTGGGTGTCGCTTTCCTACGCGACCCCGATGCTTTCCTGGAATCGCTTGTCTGGTGTGGCACAGCACCTCGAACCTTGGTTGGGCTCAGCGACAGACTCGACGGCGGGACCACGTTGTCGTCCCCTTCCGAGGTCCTAGAACGGCCATCGCTGTGGCCGTTGACTGCCTTTCTTGCTACCTTTGGCAGGTCCTTCGTCGGCGACGACGCCGCCTTGTCGCCTCCAAAAATAGACGAGAATCCACCACTCGCCCGGCGCTGTTTTGTCAATTTGGCGGCACCAGAACGAGTTGATATGGCGATGGAGCCCGGAACGTAAAAGGGATCCTCCACTGGTGGAGACAAAGGCTTGACGGGCTGCGGCTCGATTGCCGAGTAGGTAGAATCGGAAGCGATTGACATGTTGGAAGCGTAATTTCTGAGCTTTTTGCGCGCTGCAAACTCTTCAAACGACATGTCTGACGGTCGCTGTGGAGGAACATTGTTGACGGGAGGTTGTTTCCCGCTCATTGCGTAGATGGCGTTTCGGGTGTTCGAGGCGCTGCGCGTCTTGCGCAAATTTGCGCTATACAGATCTGGGGCCTGCTGGACCATTGCACCCATATTATGGTCAGTGAACGTCTCGGACCTAGAAGGACGGAGTGACCGCGGCATAGGCTGCGCAGCACGGGCTGCCAACTGGTGTGGATGCTGCAGCATTGACTCTTTCCTCATGATGCCCATGTGCTTCATCTCGTAGACAATGGCGCGCCAGTTTGTGATGAGCATCTCCGCCACATCGTTGGCGAGAAGGATCTTGTCCAACGTGGATGGGAGGTTGGCCAGCGATTGTTTGTCAGACGCCATGCTCTTGCGCCGTTTATCTGTTTTCGACCGGGGAGACGGTGTGCCGTGAGCCGATGGACCGCCAGACGGTGACGCAGTGGTGCCTGAGTCATTTGAAGGACTGGCTTCCGGGGCGTACGCGTCGAGTAGCTCACCCATCAAGAGCGGGCCGAAAATGATTCCCAGCGCTGCGTAGCCCATCAACTCGGAGCGAGGCAAGGAGCTCCCCTGGACAGCTTGGGCAGGATCTGCCGTCTCGGCAGAGTGTCCAATGAGAGAAAGCAGGCCGAATACGGCGCACATCAGCTCGCGCTGGAGCGGTCCAGGGACAGATCCAATGGCAAGAGCCATGAGACGGGCCTTCATTTGTCCCGGGTCTGCCCTCCCAGACTCCACGACCTCGTTGCTGGCATGCCCATCCGATTTCATAATCTCAACAAATGCTTCGAAGAGTCGGAGGTCGCCGAGGATTCCACCGGGAAGGCCAGCCAGGAGGCGCTTGAACATGGAGGCGACGTCGTGCACACCGGCTTTGATGTGGAAAGGCAGATTCGGCGATCGGACGGTCGCGGCAATGTCGTCGTCATTGTCGAGGTTGACACAATAGTAATCGTAAAGCTCATTGACGACTCTCATAGAGCCAGAGATCCGGAAGATGCCGCGAGTCTCTGGGCCTGCAGACGAGTTAGGCTGGATGCAAAAGGGAGACACGAAAGTCAGAGGTACGACCGACCATTTTGGACAAGGTACTGGGCAGCTGCGCGAAAGCACGTTGGCAGCATCAGGGAGCGAGTGCCGTAGTCTGTTGGGAGGTAGAGGAAGCTTTTGCCACAGGTGCGGACAAGTGTTCGGAGTGACTGGTTCTTCAACGTGTCCAGCACGTCAGACTTGGAGCCGCTTCCAGATCCAGGCTGAAGCTGGTTTGACGGGTCACTATCGCTTCGCTTGTGCTTTCCACCGCCAATGGAGTGTCTGCTTGACCGCCTTGATGTCGGTGCAGAAGGCTTTCCAAACGTTCGCGCAAACCAGTTGCGCCTGTCGCCTGTCTGGCTGTCATGTTCGATCTGCGTTGTTAGTACTGCCCTAACAGCCCAGAAAATAAAAGAGAAGCCATACTGAACCGTCTTGGTCATCTTCGTCTCCGGCGTGGGATAGTGGTCGAAGACCACGCTGTAAGAAATCGTTAGCGGATGCTCGTGACAGTCACGGCAGCCTGTACTGTGGAATCAAAGCGAACCTTTTCTGCAAGCCGGTTGTACTCGTGGAGGAACAGATTCTGTCGCGGTAGCATTGAAGAACTGTCTCCTCTGTTGCTTGTGAACGGATCGTCGGCCTCACTGCCGTTCGAGGTCCACGACGGTGTGGCGCTGTAGTATGCCGGCCGGGCAGGCATGATGTCCATCTGGTCTCGGTCGGCTGATCGGTCGTCGTCGGCGCCAAAGACAGAGTGCGGCCATGCTGGAAACGGTTGCCGACCAGATGCATCCATCGTGGCTACGGGGCCAGCAGGTCCGGCTGTTGATAACGATGATCGCATAAAAGTCGGGCTCGGCGGTCGGCGATGCAGGTCATGGCCAGCATGGGTCAAGGGCCGTTGCATGTTGCATTAGAGGCAAGCTAAGAGAAGAAGTGGTGTGGTGGGAACGGATGAGAGGAATGCAAGGGGAAGGGGGAGGGGAAGGTTAGAAATGGAGAAACGGTAAGAATGGGGAAGACTAGAGAGAAAAGGTGGAATGCGGGACGGGTTGTGAGAAGGATGGGAGAGCAAAAGGACGATCGAGGCTGCTTGGACTAGCGGGCGATCAAAACACGGCTGAACGCCTCAGTCGGTTCCAGTCAAGTTTTGGCTGTTGCAGCGAGACAAGGGCTCGACGATTGGGCCAAGCTCTACTTCTGTAAAGCACACGCCAAAATGGCAACCGAAGTCGAGGCTGGTCAGCACAGCGTCGCGCGGAAAGATGCAGACTGAAGGGATTGGGTTTGTTTTGGTGTTGTGATGCGGCTGGATGCGAAAAAAGTGGGTTTGTTTACTTTTGTCGATTTCGGGTACACAGTAGAGTGTTTGCGGTTGCTCGCTGGGCAGGAGCCCTATATGTATTTACGGCGTAGCGGCGGCGCTGTTGATGTCGCACGGACGGGAAGCGACGACGTATTACCGCGTATGTCGTATGTCGAATATCGTACAGAGTATTTCGTACAAGTGTGTTGGTTGACTGTTCTGGTGTACGGTTGGAAGGGCAGTGACCGGTCGCTATTTAGCTCTTGTTGGCGAGGCTTTTTTGACGCTTTTGACGCTTTTGACGCTTTTGGCACTTTTGACACTTTTGACACTTTTGACACTTTTGACACTTTTGGCACTTTCGACACTTTCGACACTTTCGACACTTTCGACACTTTCCTTTGAGGTGTCCATTGCTCCTTCCGTTTTGTAGACACGCTAATGTTTTCGCCTCCTTTTTTTCCTTTTCCTAGCGGCCGCATTGTACGACAATTCACCACCTCCACCTCGTATTCCCCCTCTTCGCTCCTTCCTCCCCCGTTCGCTTGTCAGAACACGCGACAATGGAGGCAAGCGGCTGAGCAGGATAAATTGCAGTGACCAGGAAACGGGTACTCCGCTTGAGCACAAAGTACGGAGTACGAGCAGCAAATGAGCAGCAAATGAGATCCGATACGGACTCGCCAAATTTGTGCACGCAGCCAATGAGGCTCGTGAAGCACAGAAAAGGATTCATTCTGAAGCAACAGGATGACGGAGCAGAACATGGAAGGTGCGAACGACAAGAGCATGTAATTACGGAGTAATTACGTCGTACTTCTGCAGAATGGCAAGGACAAAATGACAGACTTGGCAGAAGGAGCGTTTGGTCGGCTAAAAATACAAACTCACGTGCTACAGACACAACATCGATGTCACGACGATTATGCGGGCAGCTGCAACAGGCAGGTGGTCCTGCTTGTAAAACCACACAGGATTGAGGCCGAAGACACGATACCTCCAATGTAACATTCACAAGATCGAGGTGGGCGAAGAAGCTGTGAAATATGATGACAGATTGCGAAGCCGCGGCAAAATACTCCAGAATCTCTAAAAAAGGATATAAAAGAGAAGAAAATGGCATGTGCTCGGTCGACATTGTGCAAATCGAAAGGCAACAGGGGAACGTACAAGGAGAAAAGCAGTCGACCGATCAAGTTGTCCGGGCCCCGTCCTTTCTCAGGTCCCAGGCAGCTACCGCCAGACGCCGTACACCAATTCACACATCACATTACATCCATCGACCGTTCCTTCTGCCCAAACATTTATACTGCATCCGGCGTGACGGTGTCGTTTTCTTCGCCGAACAGCAGGACGTACTTGAGGATGTCGGACAGCGAGATCATGCCCCGCAGGCGGCTTTCGTCGTCAATGACAATAAGGCGGTGGACGCGCGATTTGCGAACGGTGTCAAAGATGGAGTCGAGCCGGTCGTCCTCGCTGCACGTGTAGATGCCAGGAAAGTCTTCGGCGCGCTTCGACAGGGCCTCGCCGACGCTCGACTGCAAGTCGTCGTACACGCCACCCTTGATGCAGGGAATGACGTCGACGGCCTCAAAGACGTTGAGCACGCGGTTGTCGGCGTCGACAATGGGCACGGCCGAGATGTTGTGCTCGACCATGACGTGGATCACGTCGAGGACGGAGTCGCTCATGTGCGCCGTCTGCAGGTTGCTGTAGGTGCCGAGGCCGATCTCGCGCACTGGCTTCTTGAGCATGACGGTGTTGTTTTCGTTGTTCACGGCGATGAACTTGAGGATGCGATACTGCGTGATGACGCTGACAACCATCTCGCGGCCGGTCTCGTCGTCCACGTCCACCAGCGGAATGCGCCGCGCGCGGGTCTTGAGCATCTCGGTGCAGGCTTCATACAGTGGCTTCATGGGGTGCACCGAAATGGTCTCGAGCGGTTGTGCGCCAATGGCCTTTTCGATGTCTGTGGGCACGGTTAGGGGTCTGATTCAGGTACAGTGATTCAGGTACAGCTTTTCAATAGGTCTTTTTTAAAAAAAAAAAAATATATATATATATATATATATNTTTTTTTTTAAAAAAAAAGCACTGGCGTCATACCTCGTAATCCGCTCAGGCGGAACTGGTCAATGTCGTGGAGCCGGTCCGGGTACTGGCAGTAGTACTGGATGACATTGATAAAATCTGTGCTCGTAAGCAGACCTGCAAAGGTCGAGTTGTGTGAGTCCCACAGCGGCGCGGACACGATGTTGTTCTGGATGAGGATTGTAAGGCTTTTGCGGATAAGAAGGTCGGTATCGAGGACAATGAGACGGAACGACAGCGGCAGGACATCGTAGCTTGTCCGAATCTTGAGAAACGCGCGGATGTTCTCAAGGCCCTGCATCTGTTCGCGATCTATCGCGGAGTACGTCCGGGCATCGGCCATGGCGCGTGCGCTGGTATCAGGGTTTGGTCGCAGGTAAGACGATGGTGTGACGAATGGCAGTTCGTGTGTGGCCACTCCTGCACCCGGTGCCGCTGCTGACGTTTGTTGCTGTGGTTGTACTTCCGCCGGCTGGCTGTGCTCGGCAGGCGACGCGGCCGTTGCTGAAGCTTGGGCGTCTGCCATCGGTGGCAGACGTGTCGAGAACGGCGAGGAGGCTGTGGCCGAGCAGACAGGTTTGCGACGGGAGCTGCCGGCTGTGGCGCCCGAGGTGCTTCCGTGATAACCTAGAAAGGCCCAGACAGACGACGGCGGCCGTACGTAGTCGTGGTGTTCACAATCTGGTCGTCGAGCAGGGGTTTGTTGTCGAGGCTGGCGAGACGAAGGCGGGGTGGAGAGGACGTGAATGACGCTTGACAGCCACGCAAAAGAGACTGTGGGGCAACGAATGCGGTGTAAGCGGAGGGGGCGCACAAAACGTGGTCGTCGATGCAGTGGCGATGATAAGCCGGGGTCGCGTGGCGGAGGGCCGATGGTGGTTGAATGCGGGAGGCCGGGATCTGGGAGGCTGAGAATCAAGGGCAAAAAGTGCACCGGCGGACAAGGCAGGTTAACGAAATGGCCAGTAGCCGCCGGCCTTTCCAGATGAAGAGGTGTGGGTTGAGACCCGCCGATTGGGATTGGCGGGGAAGGGGCGAGCGTGCTAGCGTGACAAGCGGCGACAACGCACTGAAAGGCGGACAATGCAAGACTGAAGCTGTTATCGGGCTCTTATCGGTTCACTGCAGCACGCCAACCAAACAGAAACTGCACAAATGTGACTATCGAGTTTACTTGAGAGCTGCGAATTGGCTGTTGTGAGTGACTGACGGTCGCGTGTTCTTACGTTGGGCGATGGTATGGAGTAGAACTCGAGATGCTACGGGGGAAGGTGCAACCGCTGCTCGTTGAAGGCACTGGGTCATATACACCGTTAAAATAGAGCTTCTAATATATTGACAAAAAGGCAGCTTGCATCGCATATACGTAAACGCACGTGGTAACAACCTGAACGACAAGTGTTTACGTGAAGAGAGGCCCCGCCGCAAAAACCCTTCTGCAGCCTCACGAGTAATTGCAGCCCACAGATGCTGTTCCCTCAATCATAGCCGTTTCAACACATTCGCTGTTATGCATACAGCCAAAACAGCGTGCCATCCATCGAGATCGCGCCTGCCGTCATTCCTTTCCGACTGTTCAAAACGACACAATTTGGAAGGATTCTTTCGCGGCCTGTTTCTTGGAATGAACAGGGAAGGCGCGAAGATGGTGCTGGGCAGCTGGGGAATGTGAACTGGGTGTGCTGGGCAAGTAGGGCAGGGCAGGCTCAATCAGCTGCCCACCCCGTCCTGTTGTATGACGACACCCCACCCACTACCAGCGCCCGTTGCACCTGCCAGTTGCCACTCCAGAAGCTTGGTTCCTTCCATCTGGCACTAGTGACAGTCACAAGCTTGCGCCGTTGTCGTGCATCCCTCCCTCTCTTTCTTTCAATGCGCGTTCTCCCAACAGGTTTTTCGCCCTCTCTCCCGCCTATTGTCTGGTCTTCGCTCAGCCTGCCAGTCGGTTCCGACGTATAAATGGAACGGCTCACTTTGTGCTTCTCACTACTTTTCCGCTGATCTCACCAACTGCCAATCGCTTCGTGCCCACCTATCGCAAACCGTGTTGTTTGATGATCATGCCAAACTGAGCTTTCGAGCTTCACTTTTAGGACGCGATTTTAAAATGGTGAGCTTTTTCGACCTCCCGGGCAGGAGTCATCCTACAGCTTCTAGTGTACTCTGCGCTCGTTTTTCTTGCCCGCGCTAACTTTTCACTCTCGAAGCAGTCCATTCTCTCTACTGTAGGCGATGCCTACCGGACGGTGACGTCCAAAACCGCCCAGCGTACGTACTTCTACGCGGTGCTCCTGACAGTCACATCCTCTATCCTCTACGGTATCGCTATCCTCGGCTACCTGGGGTTCTACCGCGAATATGTGCCGCATCAGGTGCGCACGGCGCCCGTCCACCTGCAATACGCCTCGGCCCACTCCCTGCCCTCAGCCGCCAGTACGAAAGCCGGCAGTCGTCTCTTTGCTGCCGAATCGGCGCTGCAGCAGCATCTGCAAGGCGCCCACCCGCACCATCCGTTTGCGCTCGCCGACCTTCGTGGTCTTGGCCTCAAGACCGACCAGGAGTACGACCTGTCTGTGGTGCTCTCGGTGCCACGCTCGCCCAACAATCTCCAAGTCGGCAACTTCATGGTCGAGCTCGCCCTGGCGGCCAGCAGTGTCAGCAGCGCATCGCCGGCCATCACTACCGCGACACGCCTTCCGCCCGCGAACCCACGTGACTTTCTCGAGTCGGGCGGCAAACGTCTGCTCTTTGCTGCATCGCGCCCCGGCCTAATGGCCTACACGGATCCACTGGTGGCCCAGGCGACGCGCCTCACGCTGCTTCCGGTGCATTTCTTCTCGCCGGAAGCCGCCTCCCGCACTCGCCTTATCGTCCCCATGGCAGAGTCACTGGCGTTTTCTGGATCGGGTGGCCCGAGCGCCGTGCTGCCGGCGGTGCTGTACCTCGAGCTCCGCACGGGCGGAGAGCACGAGCTGCAGACGTACGGTGCTGAGGTTGTGTTTTCGGCCAAGCTGCGTGGCCTGCGCTGGCTCATGTACCACCACCGGGTCTTCTCGTTCCTGCTGCTGACGACGACATGGTGGCTGATCGAAGTGGTGTTTATGCTGGCCGTATTTGTTGCGTTCGGTATCTTCTTTGGCGCCAGCCGCGGCGATGACGGATACGATAGAGGCCATTCGAACGCAAGATCCATTGCTGAGACGCCAGGCCATAAACCGAGCAAGCAAATCGAGCCCAAGAAGGAAGAAGGGTGCGGTAAGGAAGCGAAACAAGCGCCCGAGAAAAAGGCTGGTGACTCTGGTGTCAAGAGTGAACCGCCGAGCATCAAGAAGGAGCCTGAAGATGTTAGCTTTGGAAAGGAGACGTCTAAGTTGGCAGCCATCCCTCCAGAGGCTGTCACTACGACGAAGCCGGCCGAAAAGGATTCTACTGTGGCCAAAGATACCAAGCACGCTGATGACGGCACGGGCACCAAGGACGACAGCAAAGGCAAGAGCAAAGACAACAAGGCTGCCTCACCCACAGCTCCTTCACACAAGACTCCTTCCTCCGGAAAGACTATCAATAACCGGAAGAGCATCACCAACGAGCCTGGCGAAGATGGCGACGACGATTTCAACGACGACTACGACGATGACGACGACTACGATGATGACGAAGGCGATGCCGAACCCATTATTCCGCCGTCGCCCTCGCGGAAACAGAACAAGCCGCAGCCGCAATCGCAGACACAGTCGCGTACGAGTAGCCCGGCTTCACCGAAAAAGTCGAATAAAAACAAGGACTCGGCCGGGGCTACGGGACGGTCTTCCACGCCCCCGGCAGATGGCACTCCCGTGCGGCAGAAGCCGCCCAAGAAAGAAGCGTCCAACTTGTCGACAACCAGCACAGCCTCGGGCGATCATGGCAGCCCAGCAAGGAAAAGAATGTCGCAGTCAGTCAACGACATTCAGCAAAAGGCGACCTAGCGTGTCTACTTTTAGCTTGCTTGTTTTCTGTCTTCATGTTTTGTCTTTTGTATTAGGGCGTCCCGTGGACTAACTTGTAAAGGAACTACCGTTTATTGGTTTGGTTGCTTTCTCTTTTACCTTATGACTTGGTGTCCTTGGTTACATATTATATTAAGCTAATATCCTTTTGCGTTGCTTGTCTACTGTCGCTATGTGTACATGTCCTTTACAGCCGATCAAATATGATATTGCTACACGCATTCTTGTTCTTTCCCGTTTTTTCCTCTTCTTTCCTCGTTCAGATCACCACTCACGGATCTCACCGCCGGGTCCAATGAAGCCCGGCGTTAGCCAGGGCTTGGCGTCCTTGGCCAGTCGGCGCACCTGCTCCTCGTCAATCTCAATGCCCAACCCGGGCCCTGTCGGCATCTGGATGAAGCCGTCCTCGACGGCCCAGACCTCGGGGTTGTGCGTGTAGCTTGTGAGGTCCTGCTGTGACCCGTTCTGCGCGTTGTAGTGGATGCCCAGGCTCATCTCCTGGATGGCGAAATTGGGGCTCGCCAGGTCGACCTGCACACACGCCGCCAGCGCAATGGGGCCCAGCGGACAGTGCGGCGCGAGGGCCACGTCGTACGTCTCGGCCAGGGCGGCAATGCGGCGCAGCTCCGAGATGCCGCCGACGTGGCAGACGTCGGGCTGCAAAATATCAACGTGTGGCAGCAGCGGGCGCACGTCCCAGCGGCTGTGCAGGCGCTCGCCGAGGGCAATGGGGATGGTCGTCAGCGCCTTCAACTCTTCGATGCCCGTCGGGTGCTCGGACAGCAGTGGTTCTTCGATGAATAGGGGGCGATGGGGCTCGAGGGCCTTGGCGAGCTGCTTGGCCATGGGCTTGTGGACGCGGCCGTGGAAGTCGACGCCGACGTCCATGCCCAAGTTCTTGACGGCCTGAACACGAGCGACGCAGCCGTCGAGGGCCGCGGGGGCGTCGAGCCAGCCAAGGTCTTCGGTGCCATTCATCTTGACGGCGCGGAATCCCTGGTCACGGCGAGCAGTACTCCTCATGTTAGCAACACGAAGGCGTCATTCAAAAGGGTGGGGCAGGAGGGGAAAAGGGGGTCACTTGCGCTTGCTTCTCGACGTCGTCCGGCCGATCGCCACCGATCCAGGCGTAGACGCGCAGCTTGGTGCGCAGCTTTCCGCCGAGCAGCTGGTGGATCGGGACGCCAAGTTTTCGAGCTGTCAAGGTGTCAACGGCAGTCCTGAAACGACAATAGACAAAGGATGAGCGGACGGCCCAACAGCGACTGACCTTTCAGGTCCCACAGGGCAATGTCGATGCCGGAGAGCGCGCTCATCAGGACGGGCCCGCCCCGGTAGAAGCTCGTGCGCCATGACAGCTGCCAGATGTGCTCAATGTCGTCGGCCTCCATGCCCTTGTAGCGCTCAAACCAGGCATCAAGACAGCCCTCGACGGCCTGCGAGTGGCCCTCGAGTGATGCCTCGCCCCAGCCGACATTGCCCGCCTCGTCGGTGATTTTGACAAACAGCCAGCGGGGCGGTACCCGGAACCACTCCATGGTGGCGATCTTTCCCATGATGTCGGTTGTGTGGGATGTGTGGGTTGACCTGTAGAAGGGAGTCGGTGATGATTGATGCTACCTGCGGCTTGAAGTGTTTTGCTGTCGGAAGAAGATGGGCCACAGATGAGCATCTTTGTAAGGTGAGCACAAATGCGATAGGACTTAGCCACACGTTTTGAAGCTGCCAAAGGTCCCTATTGGACGATGTCGGCGATCCGGGGCAATGATGTCCTGTAGTTCATGCAAAACGGCAGTTGGGGTCGGGACTGAGTCGGAGCTGCTGTCGGGCTACTGTCGGGCTACTGTCGGAGCTCCTGGCGCGTGCGGGGTCGGCCACGCCGCTGTGGTCTTTTGGGAAGGTGTACTTTTCCGACGCTTTTCCGGTCAACAGATGCCACTAAAAAACAACCAACCTGCTTATCCTACTAACAGCCTCCAATGCGCAAATGACACGACGCGGCGACGACGCATCAGTGCCTGGACAAGAAAGTCTGGTGTTTCTAGGCTTTTTGTTGGTGATTTTTTTTAAAAAAACAATACCGTCTATATTCTATGAAGATTTTCCGACACTCCGTTCTGTGGTCGTTCAACCCCGTCGTGTTACTGCTTCAGCTTCCGCTGCGACTCCACCCACTCCTTAACAGCGGCCTTGAGGTCGGCCTCGCTCCACTCGCCAAAGATGTTGACACCTAGACGCTTGGGGAAGTTGTAGCGTGAGTGGCTGTCGAGCGCGGCCAGCGTGTCGAGCGCGCTCTGCGGAAGCTCCTTGACCTCGAGGTTCTGCTGAATACGCTTCGGCGTCACGGACTTGGGCAGCACCACGGTGCCGCGCTGCACGGCCCAACTGATGAGCATCTGGGCGGGCGTCTGGCCAATCGTCTGGGCCAGCGCAATGACCTTGGGATCGTCAATGGCGCGCGGCTTGCCGTAGATGTTGTTGCCCATGGGGCTGTAGGCCTGCACCACAATGCCGTTGTCGTGCTGCCACTTGAGGAATGCAGGCTGCTGCAGGTACGGGTGCGCCTCGATCTGGTTGACGGCCGGGCGGATCTCGGCCGTCTCCCAGAGCTTCTCGATGCGCTCGCGCGTAAAGTTGGACACGCCAATGGAGCGGACCTTGCCCGAGCGCACGACGGCCTCGAGCGCCTTCCAGGTGTCGGCAACGGGCACGTCAATGACGTCAATCTGCCCAGTCTCGGCGTTGACGGGGAACCGCTCGACATTGTCAACGTTGCGGAAGGCGACAGGCCAATGGATCAGGTACAGGTCGAGGTAGTCGGTCTGCAGGTCGGCCAGGGACTTGTCGAGCGCCACCTCGACGTCCGAAGGCGCGTGGTGCGTGTTCCAGAGCTTGCTAGTGAGCTGCATGTTGGGAAGGGTGTCAGAAAGAAGCGCCGAAGAGGTAGAGATACCGGTCGAGAGGGGATCGGAAAACTCACAAAAATATCCTTGCGGTCGACGCCCGAGGCCTTGATGCCGTCGCCAACCTCCTTCTCGTTTCCGTAGGCGGCAGCGCCGTCAATGTGGCGGTAGCCGGCGCGCAGAGCCGCTTCGACGGCGTTCTTCACTTCGTTGGGCTCGGATTGCTAGACTTGTCAGGAATTTGGCCAGCTGGAGAGAATATTGGAAAGCTGCAGAGCGGGACGGATTGGAACACCTCATTACCCATGTGCCCAGACCAATCGCCGGGATTTCGTAGCCCGAGTTGAGCTTGAAGGACGTCTGGAGCGGCATTGCAGTGTGGTTGTTACCGACGATCTTGCAGAGGCGGGTGGATTTTGTTGGGTGTAAGTTGGAGCTGGCGAATTGTTTGCGGTTTGAATTGCCTTGTTGATTTGAGTGACTGTATTCAGGGGCAGCGACAAAACTGTGCTCATTCACCTCATTAAAGCTTCCCATCGTGCCTTCCCCTCGGGCCCCTCTCTCCCCCCGCTCTCCCCCAGATATACACCCGAAAATGACGCTCTTGCCCTTGGTGCAAATGGGGCAGGCTCCGACACCGCGACGGAGCCAAGTTGCTAGTGCCGCCGTCGGACAGGGAAAGACCGAGTGAGTGGGTACACTTTTCCGTCCGTTGCTTCTTTAATTGCATGTCCGTTCAACGCACACTTTTGCCAGTCATTTTACGTCGAGCTGCTGTCCCGATATCAGAGTATCTGCGCTTAAAATACACTTGAATAAAGGGCCGATAACTTATACTCTTTTTAAATCTACATGGTATATGACTGATGGACAGTTTGGTGTATAAGTCATACAGAAAACTACGTTAGAAATCCACAAATAAAACATTAAACTTTAGATGAACATTTACATTTTGTATTTTGACATATAAAGAAGAGCTTTCTCGTTTTTGGCTTCCTTCAACACTTTTGTATTTGCTGTACATATCTGCTGCCTCGCTCTCTAAAAGATGGCAATGGCGTTCGGAGGACTGGCCACGCCGCCTGGCACCTTGAGCGGTACGCTGCTCACAAAGAACGACCATCGCTGCCTCTCCGCGCACTTGCGTGCCAGCGCCTCCAGGTCAAACATCTCCCCGATTGGTACCCCCCAGCCCGCCAGCACCCACTGGTGGATCAGCCCGCCGCCCTTCATCTTCTCCTCGTCTTCCGCGCTCAGCTCGGTGTGGCCCGGAACCACGTGCGGCCCAGCCAGCGGTGCCTGCTCAAAACTCGACGCGTCGCCCGCCACGGCCGCAAAATTGTGCTCCCACAGCCACCGCAAGCTGGACTTGGTCGCGGCGAGGCCGATGAAGTTGGTTGCCGGCCGCTTGGGGATGGCCTGCTGTTCTTGGGTGGTCATCGCCTCGTAGGCCTCGGTGCTGCCCGACCGGATAAACAAAATATCGCCGCTTTGCAGCTCGGGCCCCTTTTGCCAGGCAATCACCTTGTCCAGATCCTCAGCGGTAAACGCCGTCGACTCGTACGGCGGCGCGTCAATGCTGTGCGCCTTGCAGTACCCCGCGTAGTCCAGCAGCACGCCGCGCCCGACAATGCCGCCTTTGTCCACCCACGCGTCAATGCCAATCACGTCCGGTCGACCCTCGAGCTCGTCCATCGTCACGTTGCCGTAGAACCGTTTGGCCTGCTGGTACCCGTAGTGTCGGAACCCGTCCCACTGGCTCGATCCTTGCGTGTTGAACGCCACGTAGTCGTCGTTGACCGTCCGGTCGCGGCCGTGCGCGTCCTTCTTCACAATACGCTTCCACTCGAACGGCGGCCGTCCAAAGCTCGGGTGCGACGGCTTGTTAAGCGACCAGTCCAGCGACACACGCTCGCCCGTCTGGATTTCCTGGCGCGCCGCCGCGGCCACGACGGCCGGGGTCAGCATGTTGAGTGCGCCGAGGTGGTCGTCGTCGCCGTACAGGCCCCAGGCGTTGCCAGGAGGGCCGCTGGGGTCGAGCGGCAGGCTGTCGAAAGGCGGCCGCTCAGGCACCGGCGTGTCGACGAGCGTGCTGGAGGCCATGGTCACAACAGTTGTGGGAGTCTTGAGGTTGATGGTAAGGGTAAAACTGAGCGTGCGCTTGGATTGTGAACGGTCACGAGGCGTACCAAATACTTGTGAGTCGAGATTTAAATGGAAACCGGCAATAGTTTGTGATTTGCACTTCCCTCAAGGCTTTCTTTCAAGCATGCACCATTTCGCACTGGAGAAGGAGCAACCAGGCCATGCAGTGGGCCTGTGAGTCCTCTTCTCGGGTTAACGATAGGCGAACCATCTGCCCAGCCGATCTTCGAAGAGATCGGCTAGTGCGATCGTGGGGAGCTACCGCGGGGAAGGCCTTCGGAAAAGTACTTTCCGAATTCGGAAATGCACTCTCCATCGCGCTTTCCCTCTACAACAGCACCACTTTTCTGCACGTTTGCGCCTGCCGTTTCGCTCTTCACAGTTCAGCTTCCTTCCCTCTCAGCCTCACTGGGCACCCAAGGCAAGGCCCTCCGACCCGCAAACTTTGCGAGAGAGATTCACGGATACGGCACGATAAGTAAACTATCCACACCTCCACGATTCACAAGGGGCATGAATTCCAGTCCGCGTTCCGATGTAGATGCACCGCCCCCAAGAGGGGTCTCTCAAGTCCCGCATCCCAATGTCCACAACTCGGAGCCGGATAACAACAGGTCGACAGCCAAGCGCCGGAAAAGAGACGGCAACGACTTGCGGCAACGCGTGACGCGTGCTTGTGACCGATGCAAGAAGTGAGTGACTGAAGGAATATCGACGGCGACGGTCAGGACGCTGACAGCCCCAGACGCAAGGTCCGATGCACAGGTATACGGCCATGTAGGCACTGCATCGATGCCGGGGCGACATGTACCTACGATCTGTCCTACGCCCGTGGCCGACTTCCGTCGATTCCACTGGCCCAGATGGCCCAAACGGACAAATCACCATCAACATCGACGTCGCCCGTCCCGGCGACATCGCATAGAGGCTTAGCCTCTCCCGTCGTGCCAATAGAGCGGTCGGACGTCCATAATACGAATGGTGACGGTGTCCAGTCGACGAGCCAGCTGCAACAACAACACGAGACACAGAATGGACAGCAACATGGACAGCAGCAAGGGCAAGGACAGCACGGCCAGAGCCAGACCCAGCAGTCTACCCAGCCGCCGCCCGAAGGTCTGTCGTTCTTGTCAGCCGCAGCCGCAGAGATGGCCCGGCGGCCAGGCGATGCATCCCCATGTACTCTCGCCGTGCCGGGGTCTGCAATCCCGCTGGCGACACCGCCTCCTCCTCCACCGACGGCGGAGGTGCAGGCTGCTTCATCCCGCGTTTCGCCAGAGCCTCTGCAGACCGATCTTCAAGGTCACTACGTCGGCCCAGCCTCCGGAGTCTCGTTTCTTCTCCGCGTACAGAAGAAACTCCGCGATAATGTTTCCTTCCAACAGCCATCATCATCCATCTTCACCTTTGGCGATGCTCCACTCCAGCCGACTGCACAGGGACATGACGACCTAGATGTATTCGCTGGCTCTGACACGTCGTTGCTCTTCCTAACACAACCCGAGGCCAATGCTCTGCTTGCGCGCTACTTTGACTTTGCCGTGCCTACGCATCGCTTCTTACACCGGCCCACGGTCGAGTCCTGGCTATCCACCTTTTATGCCACACGAGGTCGCATGACAACGAACACGACTAGGAAGGGCAACAACAACAATGGCAATGATGGCAACGGTGGCAACGGCCGAGATACCCGGGAAGATGGACGTGCTCAGGCCGCCGTGCTCTTCATGGTCTTCGCCCAGGCACGCGATTATTTCCCCGCGTCAGATGTCAGCGCAGACATGGACTCCAGTGCTCATTTCTACTGCGCTGCCGAGCGGCAGCTCGCCCGAGAAAAAGGCGCAGTCCGTCTTGCCAGTGTCCAGGCCCGCTTATGCCAGTGTTTTTATCTGCTGTCCCAGTCCCGTATCAACCACTGCTGGAGCTTGTTTGGCACCACCGCCCATCTTGCGCTCGCCATTGGCCTCAACCGCAACCGCCGCGCCGATCCAGCCGGCGGTCTCAGCCAGATTGACGTGGAGTGCCGTCGCCGCACGTTTTGGTGTGCCTACAGTCTCGACAACTACTTGAGTGCGGCCCTCGGCCGCCCACGCACCTTCCACGACGAAGACATTGATCAAGAGCTGCCATCCATTGCCGAAGACCGTGACATTCTGCACGGCGAGATCATCTGGCGGTCGACACCGAGTGCTGGTTTAAGTAAAGGAAATCAACCCCTGGGCCAGGGTGTTGACCAGGGCGTTGGTATCGGCCTTGGAATGAATGTGGCAGAGGGTGGCAGCGATGGCAGTGGAGGCGGTGGGAGCGGTGGCAGAGGCGCTCTTCGCGGGATGTCTGTCATGCTAGCACCAGTTGCCCATGTCCGCCTATCCAAGATCGTCAGCCTGATCCTACGCGATCTCTACGCTATCCGGCCTATCTCGTCGACGGCCCGGGCCAGCCTCACCGAAAAGCACACAGACGCCCTACGAGCATGGCGACAGCACGATTCAAGCCTTGCCCGCTTCCTGGACGCCGACCGCGTCAGTGCATCTCTCCTAATCCCCATCTTTCAAAGGCAGCGCCATGTCCTCAATCTCGCATACTGGCATGCACTTTTGCTGACGCATCGCCCCATCTTGTTGAGCAACTTTGCCTACCTCCGACAAGGAGGGAGTGGCAGCAGCGTTGGCACTGGTGTCGGCAATGGTGGTGGTGGCAGTAATTCAGCTCCCGATAACTTCAGCTCTTTCCAAGCGGATGCACGCGGCCCTGATGTGCGAGGCCAGGCTCAGGCCAGTATGCAGCAATGCGTCGGTGCGGCCATGCACATTATCGAGATTGTCGACGATTTGTTCCAGGACGGCCAGCTTTTTCGAGCCTATTGGGTACGTCTGTTGCCTCAAACCCTGGTCCGTCTCTTAACACTAACAAACGCAGTTCACAATGTACTTTGCCTTCTCGGCCGTTGTCGTCGTTTACGTCTACGTAATCCAGCATCAGTCGGCACCACAGGAAACGTACGCAGTTTACCTCGCCGCCGCCGTCGTATGCCAGGGCCAGATTGATCGCCTGGCTGAGAGCGGATCGCTGGCTCAAAGGTACTCGCTCGTCCTCGAAGAGCTACGACTTGTCACTTTGCAGCAAACAGACGCTTTCCAGCCAGCTGTGGACGCCCAAAGTGGAAGGCTTCCAACCGGCATCAGCTACAGCAATCTTAATAACCATCAGCTGCCGAATGATCAGTCAGGCATTCATCGCCAGGAACAGCATCCCCATACCCAGCAACCTCGCTCTCAATCTCAACAGCAACAGCAGCTACAACCACAAACCCTCGACCTCTCTGCTGTGCCGTTGGCCGGTGGGTTGATTGGCGGACTCGCAGGCAATCTTGCCGACTGGAACGGTAGCCCGAGCAACTCTCTTGCCTACGTCACAAGCTGGGGTTGCTTTGACTCCATGGTGTCGTCAGGCTTCTGGCCACTCGATTCGTTGCCCGATGAAGACCACCATTTACGAGGTTGATCACGACGATCTACAATACAAAACCAGAAAAGAATTTATTGCTCGTTCTATTTGTTTATATCTACATTTTGGATTTGATTGCCACTTATCATCTACCTCACCAGCTCATCAAGGACATAGCCCACACGATGTCTTTGAGAATAGCCAGCACACACTCCGCATCTAGATCCGGTACTGCCTCACCGTTGGATGCCTCTACATACATTGAACGGCCCAGTGACGCATTCGTGCCCTTGGTAGCCTCGATGCCCACCTTAGCTCGGAAAAGTGCAACTGCCAGGCTTGCTCGTTTCACATCTCCGCTCTCAAAAGCACGCACAAATGTCCATTAGTGTGCGGTCACCTTGCCGTGCTGGTGTCGCCTGTTGCCAGTATAAGAACGCTTCAGACGCGACTGCCCATGTTTTGAATTCGAGGATCGATCCGCTTGTCTGTCGAGGCAGACCAGCCGTCAGCGCGACAAAAATATGATGGACAGCGCCTGAGATGTTTCCAGGACGCCAAAGACTGGTATAGCGGCGGCGCCGTGAGTGTGTTGGGTCGTGTTGGATATTAAGAAGTCGCAGAATGTCACTATTCTGCGGCTAGTTTGAACTTTACAAGTGGTCTTCTACGCACAATGCGGTCGTGCTTGGCCGTGATCTTTCAAAGATACCTCTTTCAGTCAAAAGTCAACAAAGGACAGTGGCAGGTCAAACTGGCGTTGTTCATTGGCCCCGCCCACTAATACGATGCTGCTTTTCCGGCAAAACCCACCAAAATATCCATCCACTACTACGGTACACGCATCGGAAAAGCCAACGGCCACTTATTCCCACAACCGTCTTCCCTGGACACCTCCTCACAACAGATACTGCGCCATCGAGGACTGTGCAGAGTGTCTGCAAGAGTTTTTGTGAAGTACTTCTGGACCTTTCGTGCCCATCTGTGTCTGCATTTATTGGACAACAAACAGGATGTCGCAGACGACGAAAGGCATCCCATGACATCTTGATTCTCGGCGTTTCAGTTACTATTTGGACTTTGCATCTCGCCCCTGTATTTCTCCAAGGCCCATCTACTCATTATTTTTACTCCCTTCCAATAATTCGCATTGTTTTTATATTGCTTTCATCTTGTTCTCATCTCACTTATTTCTTTACACCTCTCTTCACGTGTCTGCTCCAAAGCAACTCTGCACAACCAGTCCACAAGACCATTTATTGCACCCATCCGCGCCCGTCACTCTTCAATGATGGCTACTGCTGCTCCGGTCTCGTCGTCGGCCGCCAGCCCCTTGTCACCGCACAGCCAATTTCGCACAGAGGGTTCTGCCGTCGAGAACGACGCATCCTCTTCGACCCCGACACCGCCGCTACGCGTCGTCAACGATCTGTTGGTCCGCCGCGTGAGGGAGGGTCCTCATTCCCCTTTCTTTGCCTACCCGGCCACGCCGCGGGGCAAAGACGACTACGTTCATCACACGGTCGGAGACATTGACCGCTATGCAGATGCCGCGGCCAGTCTGTATCTGCAGTCTGGCGTTGTTCCGCAGCATCCAAGTGCGCAAAAGGCCGAGGTTGTTGCACTCCTGGCACCTTCCAATGTAGACTACGTTGTGTCGATGTTTGCACTGTCGCGGTTGGGTTTTGCTGTGCTGTTGCTGTCGAACAGGCTGGCCACGGAGGCCATTGTTAACCTGCTGCAAAAGACGCAGTGTACTAAGATCATCGTGTCGCCTCATTATGTGACCGCGGCCGTTGAAGTTGCAGCTACCGCGTCAACAGCAAACGGCCAAGGGCATGGTCCCGTCTCTGTCTTTAGTCTCAGCGAGTACGGGCAGTACACCACGGTGTCCGCCCCGACCGATACGGCAGCAGCAGCGGCTGCTGCTGACAACCACGCACTGGTCGAGGCCGCTTGGCCGTCGTTTGCAACCATGCCGGCAGCCAGTCTAGCAACCCGGATTGCCTTTGTCATCCACTCATCCGGCTCGACGGGCCTTCCCAAGCCCATCTTCCAAACGCACGCGGCCTGTCTCGCCAACTACGAGAGCGGTATTCCATACCGCGCCTTTATTACGCTGCCGCTCTTCCACAACCACGGACTCTCGACGCTGTTCCGCGCATTATGTGCCGGCAAAGCCGCCGCCCTCTACAACGCCAACCTGCCGCTTGCCGGCAGCACGCTGGTGGCGTCGATGCGCACCGTCGCGCCCGAGAGTCTACACTGTGTGCCCTACGCGCTGAAGCTCATGGCCGAGGATCCGCGCGGTATCGACGCGCTGCGCGCGCTCAAGCTGGTCCTGTACGGCGGCAGCAGCTGCCCAGACGAGCTGGGCGACCGGCTCGTCGCTGCCGGTGTCTACCTTGCGGGCCATTACGGAGCGTGCGTTTTCCGTCCTTGCATGTCTTCGTCCTCCTTTATTGTTTTTGTCTTTTCTGCTCAGTTGCCTTCCCAAACGAACCCGCTGACGCTGACCGACAGTACCGAAATGGGCCAGTTAATGACGTCCTTCCGCGACCCGGAGATGGACAAGGAGTGGGCGTATATGCGACCCGTGCCGTCAGCCAAGCCGTTCTTGCGCATGGTACCGTTGGGTGCCGGTGCCGAGGGCATCGACACAACCTACGAGTGCGTCGTGCTCGACGGCCTGCCGTCCAAGGTCTTGTCCAATAGCGACGACCCGCCCAACTCGTTCCACACGCGTGACCTGTTTGCCAAGCATCCGACGATGCACGACGCCTGGAAGCACCTCGGCCGTATCGACGATCGCGTCACTCTGTTCAACGGTGAGAAGGTCCTACCCATCCCCTACGAGCACCAGATCCGCCAGCACGGTCTTGTGCGTGAGTGTGTCGTCTTTGGTGTCGGTCGCGCCGTTCCGGGCATCATGATCGTGCCAAGCGACAAGGCCGCCTCGTTGGCCTCGGAGAGCAACAACAAGCTGCTGCTGGATGCGCTGATGCCCGCCATTGAGGCCACCAACGCGCAGACTGAGGCGTTTGGTCGCATCTCGCGCGAGATGGTCGCGATCCTGCCAGCTGACACTGAGTATCCGTGCACCGACAAGGGCACTGTGATCCGGGCCGCCTTTTACCAGCGCTTTGCCGCTGAGATTGAGGCCGCATACGTCCGGTTTGAGGGTGCGGCCGGCGACGGCGCAAAAGTGACCGCATCGTCAAAGCCTCTCCTCACTCTAAGTGAGACCGAGGTCGAGAGATACCTCCTCGACCTCTTCACCAAGGCTCTTGGTGTCCCTGCTGATCGTCTGCAGGCCGACACAGACCTGTTTGACGCTGGCGTCGACAGTCTGCAGGCCATCACGGCCCGTGCCCAGATTTTGAGAGAGATCGACCTCGGCGGCCGCAAGCCAGGCCACAATGTCGTCTTTGAGCTGCCCAGCATCCGCCAGCTCGCCCAGCACTTTGTGGCGCTGCGGACCGGTAGTAATGGCGAACATGACAGCAACGACACCAGCGAGATCAAGGCCATGGACGAGCTGATTGCCAAGTACAGTGACTTTTCAGCGTTCGCCAAGTTCGACTCGACAACAACCAAAACACGTCACGGCGGTCCACAGACCGTGCTACTGACCGGCGCCACGGGCTCTCTGGGCGCACACATACTGCATCAGCTCGTCCAGAAGGACGCACAACAGGTGGCACGTGTCTACTGTCTTGTCCGGGCCCCGTCACGCGCCGCTGCCGAAGAGCGTGTCCAGGTGACACTTGTCGCCAAGGGCCTATCGCCGCTTCCACGGGACGAGCGCGTTGTCTGTCTGTCCGCCGATCTTAGCCAGGGCTCGCTCGGCCTTGACGATACGGTGCTGGCCGATTTCCGCGAGACCTTGACCACCGTCGTCCACGCCGCCTGGGCCGTCAACTTCAGCCTCGGCGTCCGCAGTTTCGAGTCCCACCACATCCGCGGCACGCGCAATTTGCTCGACGTCGCCCTCTCAAACGTGGGCGGCGGGCGGCCAGCCGCCCGTGTCTTCTTCTGTTCGTCCATCTCGGCCGCCGCTGGTGCGCCCCTCCCTGCCACCATTTCCGAAGGATACGTTACCAATCTCCACCACGCCCAGGCCATGGGCTATGCCCGCTCCAAGGTCGTCACGGAGCATATTGTGCGTGCTGCCGCCGAGCAGACCGGCATGACCGCGCGGGTCTTGCGTCTGGGCCAGATCATTGGCGACGCCGAGCGTGGCATCTGGAACACCTCCGAGGCCATCCCGCTGATTTTCCAGAGCGCCCGTACCACGGGCGCCCTGCCGGCATTGGATGAGACGCCGTCGTGGATGCCTGTCGATGCCATGGCACGCGCGGTCTTGGAGCTGTCTGGCTTGACGGGGCGGCCTGAAGAAGACGACGCCGACACCGGCGGCACCGTCGATCTGTCCACGGTCTACCAGGTCCAGAACCGCAACGTGTTCCGCTGGACCGACGACCTGCTTCCGGCTCTGCGTGCCGCCGGCCTCGAATTTGAGATTGTCCCGCAGCGCGAATGGGTGGCTCGCCTTCGCGCCTCCGACCCAGACCCACGCCGCAACCCAGCCATCAAGCTCATTGATTTTTATACTGGAAAGTACGACAACGACCGGCCTGGACGCGCAGGCCTTGTTTTCGATACGCACAAGACGGAGGCAGCGAGTGCCACCGTGCAATCCGGCTTCGACGTCATTGGGAGCGGGCTGGTAGCAACGATGGTGTCCTGGTGGAAGACGCAGTGGTAAAGTGTTACGAAGAGACGGGGCAGGTAGCGTATTCCCTCGAAGCAAGTGAACAATAGTCTGTATCTCGTAGACAGTTCGCATATTAGAATATGAGACTACTGGACTTATCGAAAAGACATACAACTTTACTTCGTAGCTCGCACACTGCGAAGGCCACGTGCACTGTGCATGCACCGTGCTGTTTATGACCTCATTGTCTTCCTCGTGTAATTCGTAGGCACACGTTGTCACCGGCTCACCCAATGCCTGCTAATGTGATCGTTTCGTCACACCGCGCTCAACCTCATGGGACTCGAGATTGTGCGGATAGAGCAATGTACGCGACAGCGTGCCTTCCCATCTGTACATCCGAGAACCAACTATGCAAAACAAACGGCAACCACACCACCAATTTCAAAAATTGCTTTCACATTTGTTCCTGCCGCTCCACCTTGCCAGGACTCCACTTGCCGCCAAAGCTTTTGTCCAGTCCCAGCCCTGGCGCCAGCTATGCCCCACCACAGAGCTTTTCCTGTTGTTGATGTGCGCTGTTGGCTGCTGGTCGCTCTTGCCTGGTCAAATCCCCGCCATTTTCTTTTCATGCTTTTCGCTCCTACTTTCCTCAACCGACCTCCCTCTCCCCTCACTTGTTGAGCAGATGCTCTTTCTCTTTCCCTCCCCCACTCTGTAGCTGGCGTGATTACGCCAAAACTAGAAAGAGCGACCATGTTTTTGCTCACCGCCAGAACTGCACATTCCTTTTCCCCATCACTTTTCATTCGCTTTTGTGCTTTTGATACAACCCATATCTTACTGATCACGCAGGAACAGACTTTTTTTATTAAACAAAAAAGAATGGCTACTCTTGCTAGGTCTGTTCCTGACGGGAGAAGCCGTGTATCGTATAGAAAGTGATATTCGTCAAAGGAGTGTCTGCTGCCTACGAGTGATTTAGCCCCGGCAGGTACGACGTTCACTGCGAGCTTCGGAAGGTGCCTCTCTGCATTACGACGCGACAGTCCCGCTCCCAAAAGCAGGAGCATGTGGCCATCCTAGAAGGGAGAAGTCACGGCCGGTTGGCGTAGGGAAACCGCTAATGACAATTAAAGAGAATAAACTAAAGTGCAACAATGGAACGGCAGGGACAACGAACAACACAGGAACAAACAATAGATATGAGAATAGATCTGAGAGGAACAGCAAACGTGAAAGAACGTGCGTGTCACAGTAGCAAAGCACGTCCCAAATCCGGCAGCCACGCTGCATGACAACGATCTGCCACATCATTAACCGCCCCAAACTTTAGTCCCAAGATTCGCTGTTTGTTGTCCTTGTCCAGCTGCGCTCCGACAGTCACCCGCACACACTAACGGCTGCGCGCGTGCTGCATAGTTTGCCCCCGTTGTCGACGCCTTATTACGCCGTTAGGTGTGCCCCGGTGCCTCATTGCCTCGCTGGCCCAAAAGCCCCTCATTGACCGTGTCCCGCGCCCCTGTAACTTACGTCTTCAAGCCAGTCCTGCGATCTGTGGCTCTTTGCTCTTTCCCTTTTTTGTTTGTTTTCTTTCCTGCACGACTGCATGACGCCACGAATGCCCTTTCCTAGACAAGGAACAGGATCAGCTTCCAGACAGAACGCCCGGTATTAGAGAAGGAACAAAGCGCAAATTGTTTCCAGGCGGAAGGAAGTCCCCAGCCTCCTACGATCGCCTCGACTCACCTCCTTCCACTACTTCCCTGGGGAAACGCAGGCCGAATATTCTTCCCCTCCGAAATTTGCAGTCTCCTTCTCCTCACCGGCAATCCGCTCTCCGCCTTGTTGCTGCAAGCAACTCCATCTCTCAATCTTGCTCGAGAGTTTTCGTGGTTCGTCTCTGCCTCGCGTCTTCTCTCAGCCCCGCCAACCTCGACTCGACCGCTACGATTCGAGACGCTGTCGCAGACCACCCCGGTCCCTAACAAACGTCGAGTTTTGCTGGCCCACGAACCACGGCCTCGTCTCCATTTGCCTCCTATCCCGACATTCTTTCTACAGCACGTTGTCTCAACGATCACGATCGCACCGTCAGTGGCTATTGTATCGTTGCCGTACAGCTTAGTGAGCATCGAATACCGAACCCTGGTCGTCCATGCCGCCCAGCCGAGCTTCCTAGCCGCAACGCCGACCAACGCAGCTTGAGCACGCACTAGAGACCCACGCAGACTCTCCTGTCCCAATTTACCAGCCACAGCCGTGCAAGAATCTTTTCTCGAGCGACCTCCAGGAAGCTCGATTTTATTTATTATTTTCTGATTCGCACAGTATCGATTTCTCCTTGGGCCTTGTTTTCTCGCCATTGGCCGCATCACTCGACCTCTACCCAACTCCGTGCTGCTCTTCATCTCCAGGCATCCAGCATCAGCATCCCCTACACTCATACACAGCAGCAAGAGCGTACATCAACTGCTGTATTGCCCAGTTCTGTTCTCGGGCCCATCCTCTCGAGGTTCTCCCTATCCCCCCCCCCTCCGTCCACCACGATGCCTTGCTTTAAGGGCATCGCGGTCAGCATCCATGCAAATGGTGCGCCGCTCCCCGAGCACGGCATCCAGAAACAGTCGCGTGTCTCCCGCATCAACAGCTACATCCCCGTCCCGCAGCCCCAGCTGTCCACCGACTCCGGCAAACCAGAGGCCGCCAAGTTCGCAATCTCCATCACCCTCCTCACACCGGGCCTGCCCATTCCATACTCCACGCCCAAGGCCTCCGATGCCAACCCCTATCCCAAGCCACACGTCGTCGGCGAGCTGCCTTCGTCCGGCAGCGACAGCAAGTTCGCCGGCATCGTCACCCCCTACATCCCCATGACCAACTCCGAAAACGAGACCATTGCCGCCTACATCTACTTTGACGGCCGCGCCAAGGAAGAAGTGGCCACGTTGTTGCGGCCTGGCGAAGAAACATGGGTTAACAGCCGCTGGGTCCAAGTTCCTGAGACAGAGGGCGGCGGCCTGGCTGAGCGCGAGTTCCTGTTCCGCGAAGTCGGCCTCGAGCGCTGGCTTAACGGCCTGGATCTTGAGGGACACGACGCCGCGGCCAAGCTGGAAAAGAGACGGCAGCGCTTCGAGAAGCGCCGGCGGAGGCAAGAGCTGCAGCAGAAGCAGCAGCAGCAGCAGCAGCAGCAGAATGGATCTTCCACAAATACGAGCAACCATCGCCGAAAGAGCAGCACGAGCCGTGACCTGCGGTACGGCGGCGCCGATGCGCAGTCACCTGTCGAGGCGCTTGAGGACGACGACCTTTCGGACGACTCTGTATCTTCCGACGACGAGCTCCCCGAGGCGACGGGCCAGATCAAGGTCGCCATGTTCCGTGTGCTGGCTTCCGGCGAGATCAAAAAGGGAGAGTACTCTCCACAGTTTGACGCACACGATGATGACGATGCCGAGGGTGGTGGCAACGGCGGGAGCGGGGTCGATGCCGACGTCGAGCACACGACGAGTTTCGCCAAGCCCAAGACCCTCGACCCCAAGACCATCTCGACACAGACCGTGACTGGCATCGACGGCCCGGACAAGCCCTACGCCGTCTTTACCTTTTTCTACCGCGGCGAGCGTACGTCAACCCACCAAAAACGAAAAACCGGACCTGCGGTGTACATTGCCCCCCCGTGGTATAAATTTTGACAATGTTGCTAACTGTCCCGCCCAGGCCAACTAAGTAAAATGGGCATCATCCCGTCCGCCAAGGGCGCGCAACAGACGGCCCCGGACGCCAAGCGCAAGTCTGCCCAGCTCGACTTCTCCAGTATTGGTCCGCTCAAGACAGCCGGCACCGTCGGCTTCTCGACGTTCCGCGACAACGACGCCGACCCTACACGCCAGAAGAAGACGGGCCACAAACGGAACGGCAGCGTGGCAAACACAAACGCCACCACGAACACCATGGACGAAGACAGTGACGACGACGATGACGACGACGACAAGATTCTGGGCAAGATGGACGATGCCGACGATAAGGATGGTGGCAAGTCGTCAGACAGGCTGGCGCCCGAGGACGCCCAATTCTCGGGTGAGCTGGCTGACGGTGTCAACCGCATTCGGGTCTTAGTTTTTTTTTTTTTTTTTTTTTTTTTTTTTTTTTTTTTCCCCTTTCGGCTGTAAGCATATTAATGTAAATGGGTCCCTGCTAACAACCCCTCCAGCTCAAGCGGCAACACTCTGTCGACCCTGACAGCGCAGCGGCTTCGTCCAACACCGCCCGGAAATCGCCGAGCACGGGGCCTTTTGGCGGCGAGCTGACACCGACCGAGGGAAGCGGTGCCACGCCGAGCGCCTCGGGCCTAGCATCTGGCGTCGCCTCGGCTGTGTCGGGCGGCGCAGGCGGCAGCGTATCAGGAGGCGACGGTTCTGTGCTCGGCACATCGGCCAATTCAGGGTCGCTGTATGGCAAGAGCCTGCCAGACGACTCCGTGATTGGCAGCCCGCTCAAGCGACACCGGGCCAGTGTAGCCGAGGGCTCCGAAGCCGACCCAAGATCGGTCTTCAATTCGGGTGCCTTCCCACCAGCACTCGGTGATATCCTGGCCAAGGCTGAGGCGGCATACAACCGACCTGGTCAGGCCGGCAGCCAAAGCGGATCGGGCCTGGGAGCCGCTTTGAGTGGATCGCTCGGCACGTCACCGTCACCAGCAGCAGCCGGTTCGGCCACAACAGCACCGCCGCTTAAGGAAGAGGACGAAGAGGAGTTATAGTTGCGCAAGACATCCACTCTTACTGGCATATCGATTTGACCTCTCTAGGCAACATTGCATACCCAAGCGCCCTTGTCAAAAGCAGTATCCATTCTTATGGGTTGTGTTTTACATTCTTGCTCTCTTTCATCTTTCATTACCATCATTTTTGGCCCCATTGGAGGTGTCTGGCGGTGCGGTTTTCTTGGGTTGTTTTTTTTTTCATGTTTTCTTTTTACATACATATACTACTTTTTGGCTCGTTCCCGTTTTGTTTTGTCTTGTGGCTTCTCTTGCTACGGCTCGAAGAGAACGAATCATGGTTATTTCGGGGCGGTGACAAAAGGAAGAGCATGAAGGTGGATTCGACAGTACGTGCTGAAGGAGAGAGACGAAGCTGTTATAAGAAGGGCGTTTGCCGTCTTGGCTTCGGCCAACCAAGTTTCCTGTTGTTGTCAAACATCTTTCCTTGTCCCTGTCTCCCATGACACCCTCCTGCTGTCTTCTCTTGTTGTTCAACTCTTCTCTTCTTCTTTCTATATTGTTTTTTCTGTGGTTGGTTATCGCGTATACACACGACGACAATGACGAAACGAATGGCAAAAGCTACCCTTTCACGATTGCGTGTGCTCTCTCTCCTTCTCCACCGCTTTGACTGCATTCGACTGCCGTTGGGCTCATACTGAGGACCCAGACTTCACGTGCTATCCTTCATCGACAGGGGGAGCAAAGCCTGGGCCTTGTAGGTGATTTATTACAAGGCAGGGGGCCATGTGTACGCTTTAGACACAATGGATATTAGCGTTGCCTTTTAACTTTGTCTATTGTTGCCAGACTAATGTGGTGCATGGATATCCTTTAACGTATGAAGTGAATTATAGCGCGGGGAGTAAAAAAACAAATCTAGTTAAATGGAGACATGCCCGCTCTGAATGTTGCCCGTATAATAATAATAACAAAAACGCACACATTATGATGACCACCGAGTAAGCCCAAGGTTCCAGAAAATTTAGAAGCCAGAACCCTCTACAAAAGCCCTTTCCTTTTCCAACTCCTCGTCGTAGATGCGCTCCACGCAGACGACTTTGGTCAACACAGGGCGGCGCGTCGACTCTGATGCTCTAGATACCGCTGTCGTCTCCAGTCGTGCCTGTCTCGCCGCGTGGATGGCCGTCTCGACGGCGGCACACCACATGAGGTTGTCGCGCGCGGCAGCGGGGGTCAAGTTGGCGGCGCGGCTGCGGAAGCGGCCGCGCAGCACCCAGGCAAGCTCAATCTCCAGTTGGCGCAGGGCAGCAAGGCGTGTGAACCCCTCGACCAAGACACTGCGGGCAGCCGCAGCGGCCTCGTCCGGAGTGTACGTGTACTCGTCGTCTTCTTTGGTGCCCTCGTCCCGCTCTGCGTTCATGTCGTACTGCTCCTCGGTAATGTTGAGGAGGACGCGCATGCCGTGCAGGCCGTTGGCCAGGGCGTCACAGAGGGCGAGCCATTTGGGCCCATCCATGATCTTGGGCCCGTCTTTCGAAGCGTCCGACCCCTCGGCCGCCACATACTTGGGATCCCGCTCGGGTCCCGTCCAGCCCATGTCGGCAACGCTCACGTCCAGCTCCAGCCGCACGTGGCGCAGGCAGTCGCGCTGCCAGGGCTGCAGGAGCGGGATGCCGCCACCTACGTTGCCCGGGTAGGACTGACTACCGAGCACAATAAAGGAGTGAGCAGTCGACAGGCCCGAGCAGAAGAGACGCACAAACACAAACTCGCTCGTCTCAAAGGCGATGGTGCGGGCCTCGCGGTAGACCTGGCGGCAGCTGACGAGCAGGCCGACAGGCAACGCACGGCCAACGGGGCGGTACGAGGCGAGCAACGGGACGTCGTCAAAGACTGTACTCTTCTGGTCTCGATGGTCTTCTTGCGGGGTCTCGTTGGTCGGCGGCTTCGGTCTTAGCCGCCGAAAGTGCAGCGGCCTTTGGTGCTCGTTGCTGGCAAACATGTTCATAAACATGATACCGTCACCCGGGCCAAAGTGCTGCGGGCTGTCGAAGAAGTAGGGCGGCATACAGTGGAAGAGCGTGCTCGAGACGGACATGGCAGAGTCGTTGGTGGTTGTTGCTGCAGTGGCCGTCGAGCCTGGCTTTCGGTCAACCGTGCTCAGCAGCAGAACCCAACGGTAGATCTGAAGGCGGATTTCGAGGGGCAGGTGGAGCAGTGGCGCGTGTTCCTGCGAAACCAAGGGTGCTGGTGATATCTGTGTCCTAGTATAGGAGCTGCCAATCTCTTGTGGTTGCGTGTCTGCTTCAGTATGTGAAGGCAGTGATGCTTCATGAGAAGTCAGTGTTTTGACGTCCGTCTCTCCCGTGTAGTCCCCATCCGGTGACTTCCATGGCTGGGATTTCCGTCGTGTGGTAGAAGCGCTTCGTTTCACCCGTACTCCCGTGGCCTCGTCATAGTCGTCACCAGCGGCAGTAATCTTATACGCAGTTGACGGCGTCGACGTCACAATTTGAGACGTTGTGAGGCCGCCGCCAGTCCGGGTTTCCTCGGCATAGGCAGCACTAGCAAACAGCATTTCGCCCATTGTGTCGTGCGGGGTGTAAACAAAAGCCTGCGAGAAAATCGGGCAAAAAGCAATGGGCAGAAGAAAACAAGACGATGCTGTTGAAAGAAGGAAGGGAAAGGGGGAGGGTACGAGAAAGATGATTGAGCAACATGCAAGAAAGAGCCACGACTGGGGCGCTGTTGATTTGTTTAGCGGCACAGTGAGATTCCCAAGTTCTCGCTTTGAATTGTCGTCGTCGTCGTCTGACGTCTTCTCGTTCCATTTTGCACGTCGTAATTGTCCGTTATGTAGTTATGCCGCCTGCGCCAAACTGCAACTCTTACACTTCTCACTCCCTTCACACCCCGTCAGGTAGTCTGAACCGGGTTAAGGTCCATGGCCGTCATCCCAAACCAAATCTGATTCGACGAAAGACGACCAGAGACGGGTCTAACGCCAACTTGTCACTTTCTTCAATCAGCAGTGGCGGGTGAGAATCATCATCCGTGCTGTATGGGTCCATTGGGCTGAAGATGGGGGAAGCAGGTGGTGGAGGCGAAGAGGGGAATCAAACTATCGAATTTGGATAGACGCCTGGTGGCTGTTGACTGATCGCACGCGTTGGTAGCGAGGTTTGTTTTGCGCGTCATCTCACCAAAGTGGATGAGAGAAGAAAAGGGGCAGAATGGCGGTTGGCGTCAGATTCTGGGACGAGATTGTCCGAGTAGTTGCCCCCAATGCGGCTGAGGAAGGTGCAAAGTCTCGTCAAGTTGCAGGAAGGTGCGCTTGGGCGCTCTGGCGAGGAAAGACCGATCCAGGGATTGCGAGCCAAATAAGCACTGCTTTCTGACATCACGCACGAGAACAGGGCTGACAGCATTTTCCAGTGAGAGTCCCAATCAGCGATTTGACAAGTTCAATGCCGAAGATTCTTGGAACCAAGGCGAAAAAGACCAACGGGAAGGGGGCGCCTGCGACTTTGGCCGAGGAGAAAAAGCACAAGCACACGACGTCTGATCATTTACGGAGGACGAAAGAAAGCCTCCCTTCCCAGCAAAGGTGCAGACCCGATAACTACGACGGACGGCCTGGTACTGTCGAAGCCGGGAACAAGATACATTAATCTCAATTTGCCGGTATGCGAGACACTCTCAAACGAACTTACATGCACATGCGGCTTGTTTCTTTCCAAGCATATTGAAGCCATATAAGTCTTGTTTTAGTAGGTGCCTGAGAGTGCCCGGTAGTGCCTGCCGCGCCCAACGTCCGCTGCAGTTCAAATCGGCTCGACTTGCACTCCTTCCCAATACAGGTCCCCACGTCGTCGGTCGTCGTACCTTCGATAATTATGCGTTATGCATCTGACGCAACTGCCCTATAACACAGCACTCACACACGTCTTTTGGTTTTCCGTGATTACATCCAGTACGACTTTTTGGTATTCGAATCAGGTGCACTTATGAACCACACAATACGACACCAGCAGAGGGAGGAGACACGTCGTAAGCTGTTAGAGCGGTTGTAAAGAAAACTGCATGTTCAACTCGAACATCGAATCATTGGGTATTGTTTGTACAGCCTGTAGTCTTCTGCCCTTTTCCCGTCTTCCGTACTGCTTCTCCGTCACATTCGTCGCTGGGCTGCCGCTGCTGCTGCTGCCCGCTGCGACTCAATCTCAACGTACCGCGGCAGGTCTGTGTCGCCACGCGCCGCCAGCCACAGCAGCACTTCAGGCTCCGCGGCCGGGCCCGCTGGTGGTTGCTGGGTTGCTTGTGCTGCTGCTTGTGTTTGCGGTTTCGTCGGTGGTGCACCGTCGTCAATCATGATGACCTCGTCGTCATCGCCCTTTGGTTCGTCCTCGTCGTCCTCGTCGTCGTCCTCGTCCTCGTCCTCGTCTTCCTCGAGCGACCGCCGAAGCCCGGTCCGCACATTCTCCACGCCCATCTCTCGCTCCTGTTTCGTGTACACATCGGGTGCCTCTTCGCGGATAAACCGCCCCAGGCGGTCCATGCACCACCGCCGCGTCTCGTACCACACGTCGCCCAGCCCAAACGGCTCGCGCGGGCCGTTGTCGTTGTCCGAGTCGTCGCCGTCTTCGTCTTCCTCGTCTTCCTCGTCTTCCTCGTCCTCATCTTCCTCGTCCTCGTCCTCGTCGCCGTCCATGCCGCCGTGCCGCCGCCCTCGCCGCCGCCCTTTGGCCCCGAGCGACTCGGCAAAACTCGTCCGTCCAATGCCCCGCGCCGCCGCTGTCTCGCGCGCCCGCTCCGCAACCTGCTCCACATCCGGCTCCAGCTTCTTGCGGAGCAGCGACGTCAGTATTTGCTCCTCGGTCCGGCCCGGGTACATGGGGTCCGGGTGCACGACGATGCGCCGGAACAGCTCGGCATGCTGGGCCATCACTTCGTTGAGCGACGCCAGATTCTGCTGGAGGACAAACGACGATGCCTGGATGGACTCGGGTGTCGGCAGCAGGCTCGAGTCCACGCCGTCGCCGCGGCCGCCGCCCATGAGGACATCGCCTTTGAGACGCTGCACGCTGTTGGTGAGCTGGTAGAGCCGCGCACGGACCGTGTCGATGGCCTTGAGGTCCTCTTGTGTGAGGCCGAGGGCCGTGTCGTCGGAGTCCATCGTGGGTAAGCAGGAGTAGCGGACTAGAGGAATAGGCGGGTGGAGGAGGGTATCGTAGCGAGAAAAGAGTCGTGAGGGTAAGGGAAAGTCGTGTAGAGTCGTGTAGAGTTGAGCCGAAGAAGGAAGCTACGCGACGAAGCACTGAATTGGCCATTCATCGCTGGGTGGGGAAGGAGCCGAAATAGTGGGGCGCCTCCACCACCAACATCAAGCACGTCTCAACCAACCACTGACGTTGCACTAACATCACCTTGCAACGTCAGTTCCACGACATACTACTCCAACGTCTGTCGTACACCCATATATATGGCTTACAACATTCGCATTTCCCTTCATATATAGTATTTATATGACAATTGTTTGATTGAATTTGTAACTAAACTAATCATTTCTCATGTGTCGCGTTTGATAAAATGAAAGAAAGGCAACATTGCAGAGGCCATGCCGAGAAAGGTAATAAAAAGGTAGGAGACAAAAGTGTTGACAGATCAGACAAACTTGCTTTTGGGCCTCAGAGCTCAGTCATTAGCCTACGTACGTGCATCCTTGCCCCACCGATCAACCGGCGGGAAGCGTGCCATGCGCTCCAGATCGTCCAAGTCCATGTGCGAGCGAATGTACTTTTCGCGCCCGTCGTCGTGCGGGTCGTAGTCCCAGCTGGTGAACTTGCCCGTCTTGAGCGCCGGCCACACCAGCTGCCGCTGGCGCTGCGACTGGCGCACCGCCTTGGTGATGGCGTCCATGTCCCAGCGCTCGGCGGCCTCGGCCTCAAACGCGGTGAGAACCTGCCGGGCTACCTCCTCTTCCGCCGTGAGCACGGCACCCAGCTCCGTCTTCTTCTGCAGCGCCTTGGCGAGGTCGATCAGCTCATCAGGATCGGTCTGCAGGTTGAAAAGCTGCACGCCGTCCGACGGGCAGATGACAAACTTGTACGCGCCACGGCGGATCATCATGAGCGGGGCCACAGTGCCCTCGCCCGTGTATTCGGCGATGACGGTGTCCGGACCGCCGTCGCGGTTCTGCAGATGCGGCAGCAGCGACTGGCCGTCCATCGGCAGGTCCGGGTGCGGCGTGGCGCCCGTGAGATCGCACATGGTCGGCAAAATGTCGAGCGTCGACACGTTCTGCGAGACACGGTGGGGCTTGATGGAGTTGGCGTTGGCCTCCTGCCCCTCGCCGCCGTTGACGCCGATGCCGGGAGGGTGGTGGATGAGGAAGGGCACGCGCACCGAAGATTCAAAGTACGACATCTTATACCAAAGTCCGCGCTCGCCCAACATGTCACCGTGATCGCCGCTGAAAATAACAATGGTGTCGTCAGCCAGATCGCAGTCCTTCAGGATGCCCAGCAGGCGGCCGAGACAGTCATCGACATAGCTGACAGCGCCGTAGTAGGCGCGCTTGGCGCGCTTGACCTGCTCGTCCGTGAATTCCTTGTCCCACAGGTCGCACACCTTGAGGAGACGCTTGCTGTGCGGGTCCTGGTCCTCCTTGGGGATGTTGACCTTGGGCATGTCAATGTCGACGCCCTCGTACATGTCCCAGAACTTGCGGTGGATGGTATAGGGGTCGTGCGGGTGCGTTAGCGAAACCGTCAGACAAAACGGCCGGCGCGTCGACGGGTCCGCCCGCACATAGTCATATAGGTACTGCTCCGACCGGTACATGACCTCATTGTCATAGTCCAGCTGGTTGCTGCGCACGCAAACACCGGCTTGCTCAATCGAGCTGGCGTTGTGGTACCACTCGAGCCGCGTGTCCGGCTTGTCCCAGTTGACGACCCAGCCGAAGTCGCCGGGGTAGATATCGCTCGTCAGCCGCGTCTCGTAACCGTGCAGCTGGTCGCCAATAAAGTGCATCTTGCCCGCGAGTACGGTGTGGTAGCCTTGAAGGCGCAAGTAGTGCGCATATGTCGGAATGTCACTGCCAATCTGTGCGCCGTTGTCGTAGGCGCCAATGCCCATGGGCAGGCGGCCAGTGATCATACTCATGCGCGAAGGTGCGCAGAGGGGCGACGGGCAGTAGGCCGAATCGAACTGGACAGACTTGGCTGCCAATGCGTCCAGGTTGGGCGTGATGATTTGCGAGTTCGGGTTGTACATCTTCAGCTGGGGCGCTGCCAGCTGGTCAGCCATGACGTACAGAATGTTGGGCTGCTTACGTGTCGGCTTGGGCGGCGCCTGCGGGCCCGTGGACGAGGCGACGGGCGCGGAGGCGGAGGGTGCGGTGGCGCCGACGGCCGGCGACGCAGGCATCGAGTTGAGATCCGGGGCCATGGCGTTTCCCCGAACGCTGTCGTTGCGTATGAGTATGGGTTTGAGGTTGAGCGTGGGTGTGTCCTGTGTAAGTAACAAGTCTTGTCTCGTTGCCTCCTGTCAGACGAGAACAACGATAAAAATAGCGAGGCTGTCACGAAGACAGAAATATAAAATGTTTTCTTTTCTTTAATGTATGAACTGAGCCACACGTGAACAGGCAAGACAAGAAACGAGAAAACAATGCGGAAAGCAACAAGAGGAGTGAGACTGGTGAGAGGCGAGCGTGAGAGAAGGAAGAGGTGCGAGTCTGCCGCCGTCGGTACAAAAAATAACGTGATGGAATAACGCGGGGGACGTATAGATGAAGAAGGATAGGAAGGAGACGATGGGCGAATGTGTAATACAGAAACAAGAAACAGAAGAAAACGAAGAAGAAAGGAAAGGTAATCTGTACAAAATAGATGTCAAGACCTTTTCCCTGTCCCTTTTTTCCGTTTTGGCCACAACCACAAATCCCTTGACCGCTGAGCCCCAGAATGCACAAAAAATGGAACTCGTAATAGACGTCGAAAGGTCTGACGAAACTACCAACGACGTCGACACGAATGTAACAACAAAGCAAATAAGCTGCAGGAAGCAACGTATAGTCCAAGAAATCCGAATTTGCAATACAATGCAGCTTGCACCACAAGTAATCACAAGCACGCAATGTCGACGGGATCGTAGGTGTAGCGATGGTGCAATCGACACTAGCAGGAGGAAGACAGGAAAAAATAAGGCCCAAGGGATGCGGCGCGGCGGATATAAATACGTACTGTGACACACTCAAGGACAAACCAAGAAGGACGCCAACGAGCGGCTAGACGCCGACAAAGAAGGGGTGTTACGACACTGAGGCCGATTGTCAGGGTCCCACAACCCACTGGAGGCTCGCTGCGAGGAATCGCTGGAACGCTAAACTCTCCCGGAACGTCCGACGATTGGCCAGCGGCCCCTTAGGCTCGGAAAGAGTAGCATTGTGGACGCAAGTGGCGGGCAAAAAAAGAGTCGAGTCAGTGTAGCGTGTTATTTGGTGTGTATGAGTCGTGATAAAAAGGAGGGGATGTTTGGGGTTTGCCAGATGCAAGGGTTTGTTTATGTTGTCTTAGTCGGTTGGGGTTTCTGTATCGGGCAGGAACGAGGTGGAGAACGAGGGGCATGGGCAGACTGTCTAGAGAAGGTGATGCCAGCAAAACTGCGAGAACGGAAAGAGCCACACATAGTACTACTGGGACATCACGAGGCACAAACAGAAGGAAGCAACTGATGGCGATCGCAGTTGCCGCCGAAGAGAACGTACGGTGAAGTGATCGTCTACCGAAGGAAAGAGCTCACGTGGACTTCAAAATTTTGCGATGCAAATTGCCCAAACTGGCTTCGGTGACAGAAAACAAAGAAAAGATTGGCAGGCAGCCAAGCAGACCAAACAGCCACCGCCAGAAAAGAGCGATCAGGGCAAAAATGTGAACACGCGACCGAGCCGACCAGCCCGTGAGCAATTTCCTTGTCGGGTCTGGTCTGGGCAGGAGCGGTCCGCCACTCTCTTTCCTGGACAAATCGCACACCAAGACAGAGCGAACACAAAAATGAACGCCGTTCTAACCGGAGAAGTTTGCGGACCGTTGCGACGTACGAAATACAGACTCCCCCAACACAATCGCAACCACATGATTTCCTCGGGGGCTTTTCTGGCAATGTGCACGACGTCGCCCAACTAGACTCAACTAGGTATGATCCAGGGTCCATTCACGGACTGGCACCCACTTCGTCTCCCGTCGCCCTGCAAGCATTGCTCATCAACTCGAAGACCGATCGACGCGGACATTGGGTGCGAACGATTCATTTAACGTAACAACCGTCGGATGTGCTAAGCCTGTGGGTATGAAGGGGTGGAAGCGAAAAGATTTTCACCGCAGCCCGGTGTACACATGGGGATATGAAAGCAGATATGCAACCAGCCATAATTCCCTCTTCGCCTGGTGATGGATAAGAACAGCTGATGCCGTTGGACGCCGTGGCGTCGTCAGTATGACATTGCATACTCTGTGCATGCCTTTAGATACTTCGTGTCAGACAACAGACGGCGTCCACGGCGAAAGAAGGTTGAGCAACAATATCAAATCCCGAAAGCACATTTTTATTACAAGTACAATAAATATGACACATAGGAAAATTTGGTGAGCCCGTGTCGCCTGCTGCCAATAACGAATGAATGACCAGTCCAGTCCTCTCCCGTCCAGGCCCGTCCTGTGTCTAATGTCCCAGTACCCGGTTGTCCATTCCTTGTTCGCACCCCCGCATTAGCCAACCCCGAATCTCTCGGCCCTCTTCCGACTTCCGTCTTCCGTCTACCGGTCTCCGATAAAACTCGCACTGCCCACAGCCCTCGCCCACGTCACGCTCACTTCTTCGACGACTTATTACCCTTGTTGTTCTTGGACGGGGTCGGCGTGGCCGAGGCGGACGACGTGCTGCCCGCCGTCTTGACGCCCGACTTGGACGGCGCGTTCCAGTAGTACACCATCTGCGCGGCCAGCACCGCGTTCAGCGCAAAGCCGGCCACGAAGCTGTAGAGGATCAGCTTGTCGTCGACCTCCTGGAGCGTCGTGAAGATGCGCGACAGCGAGCCGGCCAGGTAGTTGAACACGGTAAAGGCGCTGAGCTGGCCTGTGCCGCCCTCCTGCCAGATGGCCACAATCTGCGGGATCTTGCTGGCCACGCCGAGCGCGCCAGCGCCGGCCTGGAGGTAGCCGAGCTGGGTCGCGTCAACGGACAGCGCGGTGCCCTCGGCCAGGCCAAAGAGGGCCGTGGCGGCCACGGCGAGAACGCCGGCCAGCAGCGCCGCCACGGCGCCACGCCCGCTGTAGTGCAGCACGAGCAGCGTAATGGCAATGTTCTGCACGAGGATGAAGGCCGTCTCGCCGTAGGTGCTGAACGGGAAGCCGTTGCGAACGTTGTAGGCCAGCGACACGAGGTAGCTGGTGGTCTCGAGCAGATACGACAGGAAACTGACGCCGGCGGCCGAGCGCGAGCGCACTAGGTTCAGGATCTGGGGCACCTTGACGACCGCCGACGCGGCCACGATGCCGACGCCCAGGCCCTTGGACACGGCCAGCTTGATGCAGTCGACATTGGTCTCGTCGACATCGAGAATGAGCGCCTTGTAGCAGGTGTCGCCAAGCAGGCCGACGCCAATATCGCGGATCGGCGCCGGCAGATTGTGCGTCACCGGCTGGATAAGGGACCGAACGGAGTCCATCGTGGGAGTTGGGCGTGTAGTCTGGGTGACGAGCAGTCGAATGGGAGAACGGAGCTCGAAGACGGGTCGGGTCGTCGTAAACAAAAGGGTGACACTCTGCCGAGAGGACAAGATTTCCGGGTCGCAAGGAACAGCTGTGGACGGGCGGAATCTGGGATCTTGGAAACCGGGGTGGTGCAGATGGCTAATTGGTAAATTACGTCGCAAATTGGATGGAAGTGTCGTAAGTCGCTGCCGACGGCGCGCCCAAGTATTGGGGACACCCTGGCGCGTCGAGCTACTCTTAACGCCCAGACGTAGTTCTTGTGATGCGTGGTCGCGTGATACGTCATGTGACTCCCTTATGCTTGTTTTCTGCCTCGTTTGGTTTCTGTACAACTGGGGGATCAATCTTTGTTGTACGTATGTCGTATTACAAAACGAGCTCTTGATCTAAGAAAGGATGAGTTTCAATAATCCTTTGTTCAGGCTATATGTCAGCGTTATTGAGGTGCGATCCTTACATTGCCTCCGCTGTATAAATGCCTAGAGCTAGTACCTCCTTCCTCCCTCCTTCCTCTTCCTCTGTAGACGTCACCCGAGGCGCACTTTCCTCTTCAAAAGCAGTCGTCTAAGTCTCTCCCGTCCGTCTTTCACCACAGTATGCTTCAAGCGATTTGGGCCCAACCCATTTTGGCGCAATCCACTTCCGCCTCACATGCAGTTTTGCCCACGCTTCGCCGTCGCTGGCATAGCCGGCATACTGACAGCACAGCGGATAACACACGTGTTCCTCATCGAAGTTGACTCCATTCCGGAGATGCCTGACAAGGACGGCCCAGAACATCCTGGGACTACACAAGGAGGTTGAGGGTGGAATGCTGCAATGGCGCCCGAGGATCGTCCCACACCGAAGCAGCCGCCCGAAGACCCATGGCTGCAGCAGCGCAAAGTCGTAGAATAGTGACGATTAATCAGACGTTTTGATCCCAGATGTAAGATGCAGACGACACGATAACATGCCTCTTCTCGTGGTGTTTTACGTCGTTTGTGGGACTTCTTTACGGGTTGCCTTTGGATCCCTGTCAACTGCACCTCTGAACAGTCTAGACGACTTCGTGTTTGTCTTGACACAGTGGTATATTTGGTATCCTCATGCTCAAAAACGCGAAATACAATGTGTTCTCCAAGTTGCCAAACAAAATCCTGCTTCGACCTTCTCCCTTGGCCCTTAGTCTCCCGTGTCCAGCTCCAGGTCGAGCTGCACACCGTTGGTGACACCATAGTCTTCGAGCGTCAAGTGGTCCTTGAAGGGCCGCTCACCCTGCCGCCGCAGCATGATCTCACTCGGGTCCCGACCGATCCGCGCTGCCACCATCACCTTGAACTGCCGGATCAGGTCCGAGCCCATACACGGGATCGCCGTCTTGGATCCCAGGCGGTCGTTGACGTGCACAATCATAAACTCTGGTGGTGGAGCTGGTGCCCGTGGCTTTTTCTTCTTCTTTTCTTTGTCCTTGCCGCCAGACGACGTAGCCTTGTCTTTGCTCTTTTCGCCATCTCGACCGTCGCGATCCCGTCGTGGCGACCGGTCGCGCTCCTGCCGGTCAAACCCGCGATCGAATCCACGGTCGACTCCACGATCGCCCTCGCCCTCGCCGTCATTGTCCCGTTTCTTCTCCTTCACTTTGAACCCGCCACCGGACCGCTTCTTGGGCTTGGGCCGGTCGTCTGCCCAGCTCTTGCCATAGTCTGCGTCGACGTCGGCGTTGCCACCATCGTCCTGTCTCGAAGGCGCATCCCGGTCCTCGTCTCGGTCTCTGCCCCGATCGCGCCGGTCGTAGCGGTCAGCCCGGTCCCGATCGCGGTAGTGGTCGTCACGGGGGCTGTCACGGTAGCGATCGCGGTTGTTGCGCCCGCTTCTGTCCCTGTCGTAGCGATCGCTGCGCTCGCGGGCTGGTGACTGGCTGCGGCTGGGCCGTTTTCGACGCTCCGGGTCGGGCGACCGAGGTCGCAAAGTCTCCGTATCTCCCATGAAATGAATGTAGTTGATTGTGTGCAAATGGGAGTTGGAATAAGAAAGGATGGTTGTCAAGGAACGTCCAGGTTAGCTCGCTGGGCCGTCGCGAGGCAACGAAAAGGCTGAAGGCTGGCGTTGAGCGCTGGAGCTAGCGTGGGGCAGCAAGCTCTAGTTTAATTCAGCGCAAAACATAATTCGGTCACGTGAGGATTTCATTTCATCCCATGACATATTGTAATCAAAACTCAAACTCACTCTCCTCATACGACTTACCACGCGCCATGTTGTACTTCGGCCTGTCTGAATTTCACAGCCATTCTCATCACCCAAAAGTCGTTGCATGAAACACAATGGTGACATCTTAATATTACTCGTAACACTTTGTCGACCTCCACATAAAATGCACTGCGACCTAGATACCGGAAATTCTATTACAACGTTTTTGCTCTCTTAGGAGGCCGTGTTTCGTTTTCTTTGTGTGGTGTGCTCTTTGCCCCCTTCCGCAACTAGGCGTGCGCAGTTTCAGAACAAACAACGACAGGCAAGAGAAAAGAATAGGACGTAAAACGTAAAAAACCAAGCCACCACAGGGAAGCGGGAAGCGGGAGGAGTACAGCAAAAAAAGAACGCCTGACACTGACACGTACACGCCTTCGGTTTCTCACCCTTACATCTGCACCTCCACACGGCCCTCGGCACCCGGCGGGCCAGCATTGAGCTGCGGCAGCAGGTAGGTGATGTCGTCCCAAGGGTGACGGTACAGGCCGGTGCGCAGTCTCTTCTGGTCGAGGTAGTGCGCAATCAGACCGATACTCCGGCCAAGAACGAACAGACCGTTCAAGACACCCATCTTCAGGTAATCCTCGGCCTCCTCGGCGCTAAACGCACCGCAGTTGCGCATCAGGTCAACGAAGCAGACAGCGACGCAGCCGTCGACGTTGAGAATCAGGTTGTCCTTCTTCGACGTCGTCACCGACTCGACGGCCAGCGCGTAGTCGAGCAGCTTGTGGTTGGGGAACTTCTCCGTGACGTACTGCTTCACCAGCTCGACACGCAGATCCGGGTTGTTCCGTGACTTGACACGGTGGCCGATACCGGGAATCAGCTTGTTCGCCTTGCGCATGCTGTCGACGAACTCGCGGGGGCTCAGGCCCTTGTCAAAGGCGCGCGTGAACTCCTCAGCGGCGCCGTCCAGGGCACCGCCGAATCGCGAGCCAATAGTCAGCAGACCCGACACCAGCGCGCTGATCAGGTCCTTGCCGGCACGCGTGGTGATAATGGTGTTCATGGCACCCGACACAGCCGGACCGTGGTCGGCCGTCAGCATCAGCACCATCTCCAGGAACTTGGAAGCGTAATCGGGCAGGCGACGACGGAACCACAGCAGCGACATGACACCGCCGATGCCAATGTCCTCCTTGAACACATCTGAAATGGGCATGCCAGCGTACAGCAGCTCCTGGCCACGGTCGTCGGAGATCGTGGAGATGAAGGCGGCGGGCTTGCGGATGAGACCCAGCTCCTGCGCCCACGAGTAGTCGATGGGGATCTTGGGCACAATCGGCTCAGCGCTGGGCTTGATGGTACCCTCCTTGACAAGCTTATCGTACACGGTCTTCAGGAGGGCGGGCATGTCCTCGAACGTGTCAGGAACGAAGAAGCCGGCTTCCCGCATCGTCTTGTTCTTGGTGGCAGCCGTCTCCAGCTGGGAGTTGGCAAAGGCACCGGCGTGGCCGAACTGCACCTCGGTCTTGAACATGCTCGCGCACGTGCCGATGGCCCAGGCGACAATCGGCTTGGTGATGACGCCCTTCTTGACGGCGTCAATGACCTTGTACTCCTCAACACCACCGACCTCACCGAGCAGTAGCAGAATCTTGCACTCGGGGTCGGCCTGGTAGCGCAGCAGATGGTCAATAAAGGTGGTGCCAGGATAGCGATCACCGCCAATGGCCACACCCTCGTAGACTCCATCCGTGTTCTGGGAAATGATGTTGTTGAGCTCGTTGGACATGCCGCCCGACTTGGAGACGTAACCGACAGAGCCCTTGCGGTACAGCTTGGAGGCGACAATGTTGTCCATCATGCCACCAGTATTGCCAATCTTGAAGCAGCCGGGCTTGATGCCACCGACGGTGGCGGGGCCAATGATGGTGATGCCCTTCTTCTTGGCGATGTGGGCAATCTCACGAGCTCTCCGCTCCGGGACGCCCTCGGCAATGATGGCGATGGTGCGGATCTGGGGGTTCTCCATCAGCTCAAGAGTCGAGCTGTAGACACTGCGGGACGAGGCGAAGTTGACCACGACGTCAACGTCGGGGTGCTTGGCCATGGCCTTGGAGACCTCCTGGTAGACGGGCAGGAGGGTCTCGCTGGTACCCCAGTACATCTTGCTGACGAACTGGCCACCAAAGGTGTAGATAATGCCAGCGACGGACGGTGTTGGGCGCTTGCAGATGAAGTCAAAGTCCAGCATGCCCTGCACGGCACGGGGCTGCAGACCGTAGACGAAGCAGCGGGTCTTCTCGTTGAAGAGCGCATGGGCGGGGAGCGGGCTCAACGGCCGGCTGGGCGCCGCAAACCGAGTGATGTTGTCATTGGCAGACAGGCCAACGGGCGTCTTGGTGCCGTTGGTGCCAGCGGGCGCAGTGGCAGCAGGCATGGTGGCGGTTGTGCGAAAGTTTGCGGTGCTTTGTATCGCAAGGAGAAGAAGCTAAATAGAAACTTGTGTGAGCAACGGTGGGCAAAGAAGCGTCCACGCCAACGAAATTTCGGGGACAGGAAGCTTGTGTACACGCCGCTTTCTGTCGAAATCAAGCATGGGAACAGAAAATGATTTCCAACAAGAGTAGGAAACGACGCTGCCGGTTCCTTTTTCTGTCCTGCAAGCTCGAAATCACTTGGGGCGAAGACGGCGAGGAAAGGGGCAAAAGGGTGAGGGGGGCAGCAGAGACGTGTCTGCTCAATTGGAGCTATGTACCTTGGTGTCCGAGGGATATGTGCTCGCGGTGTTCCTCTCGAAGTGTTCGTCTGGACTTGTCGACTCAGTGTTCGATCAAAGTTCGCGATGTGATTGTTTGGGGGATGAAAAGGAAAATGTAGATAGCAAAGCGGGTAAAAGAAGAGAGAAAGAAGCGACGGAGCTGCTCGGTGGTCGCTCTTTCTTGCTTCGGAGAACTTTTTCTCTTTTTTTGGGCGCACACCTGCCGGGCTGTTTGCTCTCATGCACCTTTGTCGAATTGGGCCAAGCCCAAGGGAGAAAGAGCGACGGGGGAGCAACGGCTGGCGGGTAGTGCATTTTGCTGAGCTCTTTCGGGGGAGGTTGCGGCTAGGATTTGTGGTGGCGCGGGTGTGCCTGTGTCGCAGTGAGTGGTGCAGGAGGGATTGGGGCTTCCAGCGAGCGAAGGTGCCGTGTGGGTCGCAATTGGCCCCTGGCGAGTAAAGTAGCGGTACCTCGCATTCTCTCTCCCCCCACTACCTGAATCGCAGCAGCCCTGGCAACCCATTCGCTGTTCTAACAATCGGTGAACGGCCGCCGACTGCCCGTCATTGCTACCAGTGTCGAAATTGGAAGCCACGGAGACCATCTGTACTCAGTTTCTCACGGAGTTCCTCCTTCTGCTTCCCCAAGTGCCAAAGTGCTGTCTTTGCAGCAGCGCGCCAATTCAATCGCAGGAGGCAAAAATGGCATATGGCATGGGAGTTGGGGGTTCCCACCGAGATTTTTGTTGAATTGGGGGGTCACTGAGACCGAATTTCGCAAGCAATTGGGGATCCCATAGCGCCTCGACAAGTCGTAGGACTTTTGAGGCGGCTCTCGCAGTGCGTGTCACCGATGGCACGGACAGCCGATCCAGCTGTACTACCCTTGGACTTCGCGCTAGTAAATTGGGGTTGCGACAGGTACTGGTACGCGGCGGTGAGTGCAATATGCGCCTTCCCAGCAACGGAGAGAGAATCGACGAGGAAGGTGCACAGTCAACCGAGGCGCGTGACATTGCCATGGCAAAAACAGCAAGAACGTCCGTCCATGCCGTGTAAGTGAACACGCAAACAGCTTGTTTTCGGGTATCGTATCCAGGCAAAGGCCACTCATGAACCTAGACAAATATAGAACAGAATGACAACCCAGAAAAGAGGCTGGGCGGCCGCGGCTGATAGAATGGTGAGAAATGCACCGAAAATAGAACCGGGACGGGCAGCGCAATCGAAGGTACAGAAGTAATACTGTAAAGTTGTATTGCCTTGAATTGACTTGAATTGGGACGAAAGCTCTTCAGGGCCCGTCATATTAGTGTACTTCCACTAAATTTAGGTGTAATCAACTTGGCAAGCGAGGGTGGGGAATGCGATAAAGTGTCCTCTCATGTCCTCTGAGATCCAGCGAGTTTGTGCTCATAAAATTGCGGGCGAAAGCAATGTCAAGAGCAGGGAAAAGGCCGTCATAACCCAATCGAGAGAAAAGCAATGAAAAGCAAATGCGCCGTGGAGACCGTACGAAGCAAAAATAAGAAAACCACCGGAGCGACCAGAAAACAAAGGAGACTTTGATTTGTTGGGTGAGGGGCGGTCGCACTAGCAAGCCGCTGATGCCAGGTGTCGAAAAGTCCTACGCTCTTGCCTCGTGTTTCTGTTGCCCCTTTTGGAGCTGTCTCGGTTGTCCCCAAAGAGATCTCCGAAAGGCAAGAGCGACAGTCTCTCCATATTCCAGACCCATCCCATTTCTCACGCATCACGGTTGAGGTCACCTGGGAGTCTCTGGCGAGAATGGCAGTTGAAATCCGGCATCCAGCATCGAGCGACGTAGGAGCAGCAGGAATTGGGGCGCACCAGACTCGGTCGTGACAGGAAGAGGTGGCGCATGCCAGAGAGCTGACTACATCGCTGACTCCATCGCTGACCACCAATGGAGGCTGGAAGGTACCCCTGCCCCACTAGGGAAGGCGCAAATAACCCCAACGGCTGCCCGAGATCCCAAGCGTTGGGGCGTCACCCAAAACACCTTGCGACCAGGGAAAACAGGAGGGAAAGGAGGAAAACTCAAGAGCTGCACTCGGTAATAGCGCTTGCCATGTACAGGTACTTCCTGTCGCACACCGCCGATAGCTGCAGTGCGAAACCCTGCCACTTTAGGATTTCCCCAAGGTTTTTTATCGTCTCGACCGTTCTTTCTGTTTCTGCGAGGTTTTCTTTGTCGTGCCGCAGGTCGCTGTTGCCCCATCCAAGCTTCCCGCGTTTTTTTTTTGTTCTGGGTGGTTCCTGGATTCGTACCTTGTATTTCGTAGTCGCAGCCACAAGGAGTAGTCGTGTTACTCCGCCGAGATGCGTACCTTCCATTTCCCTTTCCGCAAGCTGATGGGGCCTTGCACACCGTTGCTAGGCAAGCCGACCGCTTTTCGCCTGTGCTGCTGCCCCCCCGAGCCCCCCTCCTTCTGCCACTCTGGCCCTGCTCCAAGGAAAGAGTAACCGCCCCCCCTTTCCGTTCCAAAAACGAGCTACGCCAATAGTTTTCGGCAGGAGCAATTCAGATCGACTTCGAACGTAAATAATTTTCTCTCCTTTGCATCTCTTTGCAGTTTATCCTCCCCTTTGCGCAAGAACAAATCCGAGAACCAATTCATCTCCACCCCACGATCCACGTTGCTCAATTGCCCAAAGGTGAGTTGTACCATCCAGACGAGCTGCTGCAGCACTGGCAACAGCTAGAAATGCGCCCCCCCAAAAAATGAAGATGTTCGCCGCTCGCAAAAGAGCAGCTTCCCAGGATCTTGTCAGGATCAGCTTCACAGTTCTCCCGGTGTGGCCAGGCTGGCCCAACTGGAACTCGAACTCGAACAATGAGCGCAATGACTGACCTTTTGATCCTTCTGGCCGTCCACTTGTGACAGGCACAACGAACCAAGTCGATCGTCTCTGCAAACCTAGCAGAAACGCACAAAGCACGCGAACAAGACAGAGGAGAGACAGGAGACGCACCAGAAGCAGATAGACCAGACACAGAACATAGCCCAGCATGTCTGCCAAGTCCATCTTCGAGGCCGACGGCAAGGCCATCCTCAACTACCACCTGACGCGCGCCAAGGTCATCAAGCCCTCGCCGCTGCCCGCCTCCACGACGCACAACCCGCCGCCGAGATTGGCATCGCTGCACTTCCCGGAGGATGCCACTGTCGAGTCCGTCCTGGACCAGGCCGAGGTCACCTACCCGTGGCTGCTGCAGGCCGGCGCAAAGTTCGTCGCAAAGCCCGATCAGCTCATCAAGAGACGGGGGAAGAGCGGTCTGCTGTGCCTGAACAAGCCCTGGGCCGAGGCCAAGGCCTGGGTCGCTGAGCGTGCCGGCAAGGTCCAGAAGGTCGAGAGCACCGAGGGTGTCCTGCGGCACTTCCTGGTTGAGCCGTTTGTCCCGCACAAGCAGAACGAGGAGTACTACATCAACATCAACTCCGTCCGTGATGTGAGTGCTCAATCCCCTTTCATTGCCCTTTTCTTGCGGTTGCTGTGTTTTCAGTGTTTCATGCGTTGCTTTTTTCCGCACCACAAAGACACGTCTACCAGAAAGTCATGCTCTGTCTTCATTCCACTGAGGGTCGACTGGATGCGATGAGATGAGACGGGGGAATCTGGTAGACAAGAAGCCAAAGTTGGCAATGTCGGTTGCATAAGCCACAATCGTGCGGTTTTGGAGACTGGCAAAAGTCCAAAGAAAAGAAGAAACGAATAATGGCGAGCGACAAATCAAAATCTGGTTTGTATGGCGACGCTCTATTGTCTGTATGAGACAATATACAAATGCAATGTCCCGAGTGGGCAAGAAAGAAAGCAAAACAAAAAAATCTGGAGAGTTTTGTTTTGTCTCGGGCTGCTTTCCGGGCGCTTCTGCTTATATGGCTGAAGACACCGGTGTTTTTTGTGTATTTTTTTTTCTTTTTCGGGAAGACTTTGGCACTCCGGACGAGCGGAGGCTAAGCTGAGATTACTTGGTCTCCGTTTTTGCGCCCCTACCGATTCTTCATTGCACCGCTACAAGTCGTCTTTTTAGCCACTGCGTCCCCTGTCTCCTACTTATCTGATCCACACAATTGGCCCATTGGCGACTTACAACTGGATAAAATTATGGAGTATTAACACCTTACTTTCTACCACAACAGGGCGACTGGATCCTTTTCACCCACGAGGGTGGTGTTGACGTTGGTGATGTCGACGCAAAGGCCGAGAAGTTGCTAATTCCCGTCGACCTGTCTGAATACCCGTCGAACGAGGAGATTGCCGCGACCCTCCTCAAGCACATCCCCAAGGGCCTGCACAACGTACTAGTGGACTTCATCACCCGCTTATATGCTGTCTACGTTGACTGCCAGTTCACCTACCTCGAAATCAACCCCCTGGTGGTCATCCCCAACGAGGATGCTACCTCTGCCGCTGTTCATTTCCTGGATCTGGCTGCCAAGCTGGACCAGACTGCCGATTTCGAGTGCGGTGTGAAGTGGGCCATTGCCCGTTCGCCGGCTGCCCTTGGCCTGACCAACATTGCTCCCTCCGGCTCCGGCGTCAACATCGATGCCGGCCCGCCGATGGAGTTCCCCGCGCCGTTCGGCCGTGAGATGACCAAGGAGGAGGCGTACATTGCTGAGCTGGACGCCAAGACGGGTGCCTCGCTGAAGCTGACCGTCCTGAACGCCAACGGCCGCATCTGGACGCTGGTTGCCGGTGGTGGTGCCTCGGTCGTCTACGCCGATGCCATTGCTTCTGCCGGCTTCGCCGATGAGCTGGCCAACTACGGCGAGTACTCGGGTGCGCCGACGGAGTCGCAGACGTACCACTACGCACGCACTGTCCTTGACCTGATGCTGCGCGCACCAATGAGCCCCAAGGGCAAAGTGCTGTTCATCGGTGGTGGCATTGCCAACTTCACCAACGTGGCGTCGACATTCAAGGGTGTGATCAAGGCGCTGCGCGAGTACGCCAAGGCCCTGAACGAGCACAACGTGCAGATCTGGGTGCGCCGTGCTGGTCCCAACTACCAAGAGGGCCTGAAGAACATGAAGGCGGCGACCCAGGAGCTTGGCCTGAACGCCAAGATCTTCGGCCCCGAGACGCACGTGTCCGGCATTGTTCCCCTGGCCCTGATCCCGGGCCGGTGGGAGGAGTCGAAGCTGGAGGAGTTCAAGGCTTAAGCTGTGAGCAGCTATGTGTTTGACGAATAGTGCGTGTGTGTGCGTGTGGGTGTGTGCCGAGTATGAGAAGTTGACTTCTTTGGTCAATGGCAAAATATGAAGAAGAGAAAAGAGACATGATATGTGTCCTGTGGGCGCTGCTTCTACTAGACTTTAATCTTTGTATTATGTTCTGAGTTTTCAATTCAAAAAGAGGCATATGCGATTTTGCAATGTTGAGTTTACTTGGAGTTGTGTTATGATACATGTGACCAGGGATATGAGGTCTAGTCGTAACAGTACTTGGCTTTTTTTCTTTTTATCGTGATCTGCAGCTTTTCGTGTCATTATTTCACCTTCTGTCCAGCTTTGAATATGTTTAGAAGAACTCCGTACAAAGCTTGCGATGTCATCTTTGAATTGAGGTTAAGTTTTTTTTTTTTTTTTTTTTTTTTTTTTTTTAAAAAAAAGAATTATAGCAGCAAATAAAAATAACAAATAATAAATAAACAGGAACGTTGAGTATATATATGTGCGCGTATTATCCACTTACGTCTTTTTCTTTACAAAAACTGCCTGCATTCTTTTTCATTTTACCCATCACTGGAAAACCTATCCAGGTCTACAGCTGTGTCGTATGTTATAAGTACCTGCATCGACAAACGTGTGGCCAATACTTTTCTCTAGTTAGACACCCAGTCATTTCGGGGCAAAGACGAGACTTAAAAGGTTGCAAGATTTTTCTATTACATCCATCACAGATTGTGACAACGATCTAGAGAGAAAATGAAATGGGGATATAAAGTAATGACACAAGAGAAAGTGGATAACATGAAAATGACGAGAAAAGGGAGCAGGGAAATAAAAAGAGCACCGTAAAAACATATGAGAGAAAAGCGATCGTTCGTCGCAGATGCGAAAAATGTGAGGTTACTTCTCGAAAGGCAACACAACGCAAGGAGGATCAGGGTTTGAAAATGGAAAACAGGCACAAAACAGCCAAGGCACTGAAAAAGAAACTTGCCCTCACGCTAGCTTAACTTCAACCACTACCAACACAACCTAGTCGTCGAATCATTGTGACCACCGTTACAAGAGCAGAGTAAAGAGAGCGGGCAGAGCGGCACCAAGGGCGACGGCGGGGGCCCAGATCAGATCGGTGCGGCCAAGGCCAGCGTTCTTCTTGGGAGAGGAGGAAGAGCTGCCCGAGGAAGAAGTGGCGGTGCCAGTGCTCGAGGCAGTGTTACTGCCGGGCAAGTTGACAGCGTCGCTGGACAGGGGCTTGACGGCAAGGTTGGTGAGGACGGTGCCGTTGGGGTTGCGGACGGTGTAGTTGACGTTCCAGTTGGAGATGGAGATGATCTTGCCGCTGGGGGTGGGGCTCACACCCTTGGACAGGATGGCGGCGGCACCAGGGGGCAGGGCAGGCAGGGTGAAGTTGGTCTCGAAGCCCTTTGTCGTGATGAGCTTAGAGCTGCAGACAGGCGGGGTCGTGACGGAGCTGTTGGCCGTGGTGGACTGGATGGTCTTGAAGTCGACCTTGGCGTACTGGTTCTGCAGGGTGTAGAAATCTTGGAGAATGTCGACGGAGCCGTCGGAGCTGATGTTGACAAGACCAAAGTCTGAGACCTCGTTGGCGTACTCGTAGACGACGCCGCCGCTGAAGACGGGCATCATCTGGTCGCTGTAGATGGTGCCGACCTCGGTGAAGACACGGGGCGCGGGAACATTGCAACCGTACTCGGAGAAGAAGACGGGGATGGAGGTGCCAGTGAAGCCGGCAACCAGCGTGTTGTAGCCGCTGGTGGTGAAGCTGCTGTCACCGCACCAGCTGTAGCTGTTGAGGGCAAAGATGTCGGCACGGCTGTTGTCGTTGGCGTCGCCGCTCTCCGCGCACTGGAAGAAGTTCCAGGAGTCGAAAAGGACGGTGCGAACATCGGCGGCCGAGTAGCCGACGGGGATGACGCGGTCGGAGTGCTTGGCAATGTAGTTCTTGATGTCACGAGTCACTGCGCGGACGTAAGCAGGGTCGATAGCACCGCTGGAGGCATCAGCAATGACCTCGTTGCCGGCAAAGAACAGCAGAGTGTTGGGGTAGTGGCGGAAGGCCTCGACAATGGCAAAGGTGCGGTTCAGGTAGCTTGAGGTGTAAGTGGTCCAGGGAGCGGTGCCGTCGAGCGACTCGCCGACAAGAGGCGAGTTGACGTCGATCATCATGTACATGCCGGCGGCGTTGAAGATGCTTGCGCACTCATCATGGTTCAGGTTAGGATCCAGGTTGTAGACGCGGATAGCGTTGATGCCCAGAATCTGCATCAGGGCGGCATCGCGCAGGCACTTGGCACCGTCGCTGAGGGGGTCGAAGCCGAGCTCCGGGTTGTAGCCGGCCGAGCCACCGGGTTGGTAGGCAACACCGACGACCTGGAAGCGGTCGCCGGTCTTGGGGTTGACAAAGTCGCTGCCTTTGACCTCCAGGGAGACGACGGCAGCAGCAATCTGCGCGCCGAGGGCGACGAGTGCTGCAGACAGCTGGGAGCGTTAGCATCTTGGTTTTGAAGCAACACGGGCGACAAAGACGGTGGTCGTATGGCGCATAGATCGCCGTGCCTTATGTTCGGGTGATCTGCCTTTTGCCGTTTTGGTAGTTGGTGTTTTTGTTTCGGAGATCGCTCTAGGACCGGCTCAGGTACAAGGAACCAATATCTATATCTCGGCACGTCCCAATAGGCAAAACTGTGGCCGCTCAAGGGGGCAATATGGTCGCCTAGAGAATAAAACAGGGCTACAATTGAAAACAAATGCTACAAAAAGCACAAACTTACACGCATGGTGACGATGTTGGGAGAAACAGGCGAAAGTGAAGTCCTGAAAAAGCGAAGAGAAAGTGACGGTCGGCGACGAAGGAGCGGCAGATGCAGAGAAAGCAAGACAAAAAGTACACCAGATCAAACTGATATAGGCGTATGAAAAGATTCGAAAAGGAGTGGACAAAGAAGACGCAAATGACGTTGACGACTTTTTCTGTTTTGTGCGAGACGTGATTTTGGCGAGAAAAGGTGTCGAGATGGGCGACGGTGGCCTGCGGAAGGAAAGGGAAGAGAAGGAAGAACAAGAACTGAAACAAAACAAAAATACGAATGAGTGGACGAAAGCTGCAACGAACACAACACAAAGGTGTCCTGGCAGTTTCAAGATAGAGAGTTGGTGAGAGAAGAGTGATGATTAAGGGGGAGGGAGAAGCGAAAGAAAGAGAGAGCGAAGACAAAGAGACGGGGGAAAGATGAGAAGACGAAACAGGTACACAGGTCCACAAAGACGGAAGGCGCACGAAAGGCGCACGAAGGAGAAGGCACGGAAGCGACGTCGAGGAAGGAGCAACAATGCCCAGTAACACCTAGACGGAAAGTGTGGCCGGCGGCTCGTTGACGTGTGTCTCAGGGGAGGGAAGGGGCGTGCTGGGCGTGCTTGCCCATTTGCCAATACGAGACGCTGTTGTGGAAAGAGCGACCGAGCCAAGGGCCGCAAGAGACCAAAAAGCAACCCAAGCCAAGGACAATTTCGTGGGCGTCGAGGCTCAAGTGTGGAAACTACGGGGCGGCATTGTATCAAAAGCGGCTAGGGGTGAACAAAAGGGAAGGAGCGAACGGACCAAGAAAGCACGAGGCAAAAGAGGCAAATGGCGCGCCGGGGCATGTCATCAAGCAAATCGGCCTGTGGAATGGCCGTGGTTTTGGACTCGAAAAGAGGGAGAACTAGCCAGGGGAATACGACGTGGTGCGTATGGGATACACACACGGATACGAACACAGAGGGGGGCGCGATGTGCGATGCACCACTGACAGGTTTGTGGTACAGAATACAACAAACGGCAGAAGCACAAAGAGTACGACATACGTGAAGCACAAGGAGCTCAAGACATTCGAACAACGCCAACCGGCACGGCAGGCGCTGCGACAAAGGCGCAGAGACACAAGACACAAAGGGTGAAAGAGAGACACGCGGCAGCACGGCGCCGAGCACAAAGGCCGACCAAACGAACTACACGAGGTGGCGTGTGCCGTCATTCCTGGACACGAGTGCCCGACGTCGCCTGGATTGGCGTACATTGGCATACATTGGTGAATTGGTGAATTGGCGCATTGGCACACGCGCGCTCCATATCTACCGGGTCGAGTACGATGCAACGGAAGTCCCATGGAACAAAAGCATCGTGTGCCGTCAGAATGGGAGCGAAATAAGGAGGCCAAAAGACGCACAAGAATTGAGAAGGGATGGGAAGGACTGGAGTCAATATGGCAGTTTCGAATTTTTCCTATTGGGTTCTGTGACTTTGCCAGGTGCAATACAGCAGTACGACGTACTCCGGGTCTTGTTGTTTTTTTTTTTTTTTTTTTTTTTTTTTTTTTTTTAATTTTGAGGCTGGAAATGAGGCATCTCACGATATCTGTGGGCAATTTTGGATGCGGTGGTGGAAGGCACGACCGGCTCCGCTAAAATACGGCCCACTTTTGTCGTGTGTCAACAAACAGCGCTGTCTACCCAGAGGCTCCACTGAAAGGTTGCGCAAGAGCGTTAAAGCCAACCATTTTGGATTTGACGCCCCTCCATTCCTGACGTTGAGGGGCAGTCGTACCTGGTTTGACGGGATTAGTCCGAAACAGGAAAGGCAGCAGGGAAGCCAATATTGTGCAGCTAATTAGCGGCCGTTGATTCTTCAAATAAAGGGGCAAGTGCGACCGCGCCTCCGGAGTACATACGAAGTACAGCAAACGACGTCGGTGCATCTCCACTTGTCATTCTGAATACGGAGTATGTATGTGTATGTCGTAAGACGCAGTCATCCAGGGTAAGTTGGCGAAAACAAGGACAAAAGAGATAAAGGAGTGCGACAGTAGCATAAGTAGAAAAGAAGAAACTTCAACACCAACAGTAACAAGATATTTTGATGACGATGATTAATCTCACTCGAATATCGACACGTCCTACAAAGATCGCGAGACTTCCATACGTGTCAACATGAGAGCGGCGTAGTCACGGTCACTGCCTGTATTTCTGCCCGTGATCCCATGGTTCAGACCATTCAGTGTCATATGCAATTCAAAGGTGATCAATATAAAAAGTCAGGGTCCCTACCGCTGATGTTCGGGTTGCACCTTCCAAGAGAGGCAGTGCACAAATTAACTGCCGATCGCCCCGATAGTTGCATGGCCAAGCATAGCCAAGGTAGATAAATAGCCCGATTCATTGAAAAGAAATGAGTCTCAGACAAATCGCGAGTCTCTCCTTCAGAAGCCACACCCGACGGCCACGACCGGAGCCGACGATTGCATGGAGCTCCGCGTTCGTCGTGCCTGGTTTGCCGAGCTGAAACATACACATTTTCCAGGACGTAACGAGTGCAAGTCGATACCCGACTTTCGGATATTTCGATCAGATGCGCCTTCTATTGTGACCACCGCCCTTTATCCGGCCCGGTTTGCCTTGTCTCTTTTTGCCCTTTTGGCTGTGCCGCCTTGATCGGCCATGGCCGTGGCGCACGATTGGTCTCGATCCACACGGAATGCAGTGAAGGCTGCGCCCTATGAAACCTCCGAATAGATTAAATAGGATCGAAGAGTGAGAAAATCAAACGACAAAGGGAAAATACAACATAAAGAAAGTCACAACGCGGCGTCTTCCGTCCTGCACAATAAACATGAAAGAAGACTATCATTGAGCCACATCAGCCGAAACTCTGCAAGCGCCTTTGGCCCTGCAATCCTCTTTGCGCAGCACCGTATATATGGCGATCCTGATCCTCGGGTAAGCATAATGTTGGCCAGAAGAGTCCAGGTCTGGACCGGCATGGACTGCAAACTGCACTGCCAACCAACCAAGTGCCGTGCAGGAGACGAGATCTTTGTGATGGGGTACCCTGCTTTTGTCCCTTGACGTCTTCCTATGCTTTTCGTCTGCTCTTCGCTTGTCCCATTCTGCTGCGTCTGCCTCGCTACGCCGCAGCCATCGCACCGCGGCGGCACCAAGTCTGCCCCTTACTGAATAAACATCTGAGAGACAATCATTGGGCATTGTTTTGTCTTCCCGTTTTAGCCAGTGCCGCCGCCGCACCCTCCCGCCTTAATGCCTGTTTTGATCCTTCTCGCGGAGACGCAGGAGGTATTGTTGCCGGCGAGATTGGCCTTCATAGGCAAGGCTGCCTCCTTCCTTCTCTTGCCTATATATTGTCTTTTGTCTCACGTCCATCGTCTCTCCTGTGCCCTCTCCCTGTGTTTTGTCCAAACGCCAAACATTGGAGTTCAACGAATACCAAAGCCCACTGTCTTCTTCTTACAACATCGTTCCCTCCGCTACTAAGCTTTCCCAGTGCGCTCCATAAGCATGCTGGTCTCGTCGATCATGGCGGGTGTCGCCATGCTCCAGTTCGCCACGCCGGCTGCCGCCGACCCTACATTCCCGGCCACCGTCGAAATCGACCTTGTCTTTCCCCGCAACGGCTCCACGTTCCACCCCGGACCCAAGTTCCCTGTCGTGTTTGCCGTGCAAAATGCGCCGGCCGCAGCCTCTCTCGACCTCTTCATCGAAGTGCTGTTGCACAACTCGTCGCGCGGGCTCTTCCATCTCGAACACCTGGCTGCACTGGACGCCAGCAACGCCAGCCACGCCGCGGCGTTTGCGCCCAATGCGCCGTCGACGTTCTATTGGCACTTTGCCACGGACAAGCTGCAGGGCACGACGGCGACAGACTGGACCATCAGCTGGGCCATTCTGGCGAGCAACTGCTCGTCGACCCCCGGCGCGGAGGACGACGGCGGCGACAACGACAGCGCCACCGATGCCGGCATCGTTTCGTTCTCGACCAACACAAACGCAGCCCCGCCCGACCTCGTGGCCGCGGCTGCCGCGGACGCCGCCAGCAACGATTTGTGCTCGGCAAGCAGCAACGAGGCTGTGACATACAACGTGACAGCCGTGCAGAACGTGTCGACGATTGAGAGCAGCAGCGGGCATGGAAAGCACGGCAAGCACGGTAAGAATGGCACCGAAAACCGAACGGCACCGGCATGCGCAGTGCTGCCGGCGCTGCGGCCCACGCCGAACCCGTGCGCGGCACGCCTCGACGCGGCCACGGCGTCCAACATTGCGGCGGCCGTGAATGCTTCGGTGGCGAGCAACTCAACGGAATCCAATGCACCCAAGAAGAACAGTGGCGCAGCGGCCTTGCTGGGCCGCCAGTCGTCGCTGCTGGAGTCGGCACTGCTGCTGGCGGCAGTCGGCTGGCTGATGTATCTGTAAAAGTGAAATGCTGGGTGGATTGAAACGGGGAGTAGCGTCGGTAGTGGTCTTGGTATAGCACGTGCATTCAACAATAAACTAAAACAAGAAATTCATATTTTGTACAGAGGATAACGTTAAGCATGAGATGTGACGTGGAGATGGAGAGATACACAGACGGAGGGAAGATGGCACTTTTGAGAGAATCAGACACCACGGAGACAGGAAGCAGCACGTTTGTAGGACGGATATGGCCAAACCGGAGCTCTATCCACGTTTTGTGTCACCTTCGGATGCAATTGGATCGCTCCTTGAGAGCCTTACATCTGCTTCGAGACACCTGCGGCCGCACGCGCCTGCTGCCGCGCCAGGCGGTCGAAGTGCAAGAACGAGCCGAAGCCGATCAGAAAGGTCAGGCCCGTCCAAAGCAATCCGTCTTGCGACAGCACTTTCATGCCGCGGGACGCGAGACGTGTGCGGGTCATCCACCAGGCCTCGGCGATATGAATGGCCAGGATGGGTACGGCGGTCAGGTGCAGCATGAGGCGGAAGCCGTCGGCGCCGCCAAAGATGAAGTTGCGCTCGGTGACGCCGACCGCGCCGAGGACGCGGGCCCAGGTGTTGGAGGTGGTTTCGTCGCGGCCAGTATACATAAGGCCGCAGAGGACGAAGTAGAGGACCACACCAAACATGACGAGGAATTGGACAACACCTGGTAGTTGGAAACTGACGGGCTCGTTCGTGGCGGCAGCAGGGGAGCCCGTTGGTGGCGAAGACGAAGAAGACGCAGTAGACGCAGAAGAAGGCCGCGCGTTATGCTCTGGGAGAGGCACGCCAAAGGCTTTGCGGGCATCCATGGCGAGGGCAATGATGCGCTGGCGGCGGTCGTCCCAGGACGTCATGGGTGGGGTGAAGGGTACGACGTGGACGGTGCCCGTGGTGGCCGTGCGAATGTAGAGGGCATTCAAGTCAATGTCGACGAGCTCGGGCGCACCCTCGGCGGTGAGCTGCTTGGCAGAGAGGCCATTGACGAAGCGCAGATAGAGGCCGAGGTCAAGGGTGTGCTCGCGGTTCATGTGGGCCATGGTCGCCTGCTTGGACTTGTCGTCGATGGACGCCATGGTGGCGGGTAGGTAGAGGAAAGAAGAAAATGAGAAGAAACAGAAGAATGTAGAAGGGGTGTGAAGGGATGTGAAGGGGTGTGAAGGGATGTGAAGGGGTGTGAAGGGGTGTGAAGGGGTCTAGGGCAGACTCTCAATTGAATCCAATAATTGACTTGGTGATGTTGAGAGAATCGAGACGTAGGAGGGATGAGACGGGAAAGAGGATGCGGTTCGAGCAGGGACGATGGTGTTTGTATTTAGATCGGAAGGAGCTGTTGTGGAACTGCTTCTTTCGGCAGAGGTACGATTTACGGATAGCACCTGCTTTGGGGAGGTGCGGGTCGGTTTGGCGTGGTGCTTTCCCATTTCTGACGTGGTAAGCATTTGTGGTGGGGACGATCTGACTTGGAGCAAACTTATAAAAAGGGTAGGTGCGATGGAAGAGCAAAGCTGACATCACATCAGAAAAACGGTGTGACAATGCCATGCATTAGGTGGGTAATTTGTTCAAACGTACGAATTAAAGATCTGTCATACGAAATTCTACAGCAAAACAGCGTCAATATGCAAATAACAGCCGAATGGGATTCGGGCAAAATAGAGCGCCCAAGAGCGCTGCAATACCACAGTTCTCATCCAGTGTACTGTAAACAGCAAGACCAGCCCACCATGCCGTTCGTTCCTTCCTCGCCACTTTCTAGCCAGACTTTGGTTTCAAAACATTTGTTCTGCGGAATTCCGGACTCATGATGACGACGTTTCTGTTCACCTCGTAAGACCACCGCCGACTGCACCGACTGCAGTATCGAGGCCCTGCGCGGCAGGAACCGGGTCGTTCAACTCCATCCAGGACTCGTGCGTTGATCCTGCGATGCAATCCTATTGCTCTTGTGGTCGTGTACCCATTAGAATTTCTTCTTGTATTACTCGTTTTCCTCCTCCAAATCTCGTTTCTCAAGGTGCGCCGCAGTTCCCCTGCCCGAGATGTCCCGGAACGCCCGCCGACGCAAAATAATTGCAGCACTGGTGATCTTCGTTTTCTAGCTCTTACTGTCGCCGGTCTGAAGCCTGCCACCAACCATGACCCCAAAATACGGCACAATGGTTGTGCCGCAGCAGGACTACCACCAACTGCCGCCGACTGCCACGCTTTACCAACGGCTACCTCCCGTTCTGCCTCGCCCTCGACTTTGCTTTTCCCTTTGGCCACCAGTGTCGCCAGGCCTGCTGGCCCATTACCCGCACTGTGGGCAGGCTCATCACAATCACCGACACAGACACCTCGAGCCCGGACCAGATGAGGCTGTCGGTGTTGTCCCAGGTTGGGTTCAGCGAGGTCGTGGCAAAGTGCACGAGAAAGTGCAGACGGACGCAGCTGGTGACGAGCACGAAGACGCCGAGACCAAACATGGCAAAAGCCGTGACCATGGCAGCCGTCGCGGCAGGAGACGTCCTGACGGATGACGCCGGCGACGGCCGGACCAGGCTTTGTCGGAGCAGCCACAACAGCGGCCAGGGCACCAGCAGGATGGCCGCATCCTGGGCGATGCTAAACGCTGCAGCCACGTATGCCAAGAGACGCACATTGAGGCAGGCGCGCTGCTGGTGCTGGGGGACAGACGATGACGTCCACCGTGCCCAGACTGTGCTGACGGGGCGGCACTGGAAGGCGTCGAGAACGAGGAAGATAATGTTTGGCAGGAGCACAAGCCCGGCGAGCACAAATACGGCGATGCGGAACGTGCGGTAGTGGCCTCTGTAGCGGCGGGCATCACGTGTGGTCGGTGGTGCTTGGGGTGCAAACACACGGAGATACAGGAAGAGGAGGGACAGCTTAATCAAGGTCAAGATGGCGAGGTACAGCATCTCGTCAACGTAGAATGCCTGCCGGAGGTCGTCCTGTGGTCAGCTCTATTTAACGCGAAATGCGTACGTCAACACCCCGGAGCAGAACGTGCAAGACTCACTCGCATAGCTTGGACAATCGTGTCGTTCGGCAGAGTCCATATGTCGACGCCAAATGCAACTACAGCGGCTGCGAAGTAGACCAACGTTAGAAACAGTTGGAGCTTCCCGAGCCCATTTGTTGCAGAGAGGACAGTGCTACTTGCCGTACTGGCCGACGATCAGAAACGCGATAAAGACAGGCTGCGACAACGTCAACACCAGCAAGCTTTCATAGAGCTCTAGAACGGCAGAAGCGACTCTTCCCACTCACCGTCAGCAGCGTCACCAAATAGTCATCGATGGCAAACCTAGCTGCCTGCTTTATACGCCCGAACAGCCGCAGGGCAAGACAGATAACTGCCGGCACCTGGATGGCAAATAGAGCCACGAGTCTGGCCTTGCGGGACCGCGTAGGCCATTGGCAAAGCCGAGACAGCGTACGAAAGGTGTCTGAAGGAACGCGGACGGTGTCAGTATGAGCAAGACGTCAACAGAAAAACGGGAGCCTCACCTAGAGCATCCGCCGGGGAACAGTGCGATTGAAGGCAACTTCCGATATCCTGGACAAGCGATGGGTTTTGGCTGGCAGCACAAAGTTGTGGAAAAGCCGTCATCGGCGGTGCGAGCTCCTCGGCCATTTTCACGAAACAGATAGTCTGGGTAGTGGTTAGCTTGTGTGCAATGCGTCTCGTTCGTATATTCACACTTTTGCTCGTTCCTACCGCACATGACGGCCAAGGTGACGTGGTCACCTGGGCCACTTTGATTGCGCGTGTAGATGTTCTGTCGAATTTGCTGGCTGTTGATACTGAAATACACAATAACGACAGGGAAAGTAGTGGCAGTAAAATCAGGAAATAGGCATCTTGAAGACGGCCCTGTTTGGCCATTTTGAATTCAGGGACGAGGCCGAAACGAAGGAGTTGTCGTGGAAATTGTTGACGGTATCTCGACAATTTCTCATTGTTGGCAGCGGTCCTCACCAACGAGAAAGACAGGACCGCGGCCCTTATATCATTCATATTCATGGATTTCTGTTGTCTTCACAATCATCTACACGTCATCGTCCGAAGTTGCTGCTCCGCCTAACGCTAAAAAGTCTAATGGTACTCTGTCGTACACATGTCAAACCGAAAGGGCTGTCACTCAAGGTCAAGAGGCCATCCAACGAGGTAATCTCAGTTTGGATCTGTGTGTAATCTTGCGCTCAACTACGGAGAAAATTAAGTACCACTTTGATACAAATTATAGAAAAAGTCTTCTTTAATAAAAGAACCGTTCATCGAGTTAGTTTTGTAGAAAGAGTGAGAAGATATCATTTGATCGTATATATATAAAAATTAAACAAGACTGGCCCACGTTCTATCATTGTGTTTTCCTGATTTTCATGTATGTATACATCAACAAATAAAGCACGGGATGCGGTTCTCCCACAAATGCTTTGAGACACAGGCACAGGCCTCCTTTGTACGCCCATCATAATCCGTGCACTTTATCAGTTACATCATTACCATAGACAGCACATTCGCAGTGACTTCACAAGGCATTTGGTCCAGTCTTGCAAGTTTTCATATGGCCAGCCCCCTTTTGGAAAGCTGTTTAGATTTTTATTTGTATTTTTGTTTACCGTCCTGGTCCTTGATGACCTATTCAAGCGTTCACCCCCCGTCCACTGACTGCTGTCTTTCCCATTCTCTTCCTTTTCGTTCTATGTTCTTCCTCCGCATCATGGTGATGATAATAAAATGACACACCCCACGCATGCCAACATTTTTTTTCCTTTCTTTTTTTTCTGTTTTCCAGATGTCGCCATGCAAGATAAAACTGACAAGACATTCAATCGTCAAATTTCCCCGCTCACTGTTCCTACCCTCCTGTTCCTTTTCTCTTCCCGTCCCCATCGTTCCATTCTTCTTCCCGCCGTCAAATATATGTGGATATTGTGGATGGCCTCCGTTTTTGTTTTCCCTTTCCGATGTGGATATGCGCTCGTTCAAAATGCAATGCAAAGAAAAAGGCGGAAAGGCGTAAATGTGAAAAGACGAAAAGGTGAAAATGGTACAAAGGACATCAAAGAAGTTTAAGTAGAAAGAACACGCAGAGAAAGCCGAGCAAATGCTAGATGAACAAGATTATGAAAAGTATGGGACCGAGGCTCGCAAGACAGCGTGTGCCTGGGTACGGTCGTAGTTTTAGTCTTTGTGGTTTTTGTTGGTTGTTCCCACCGCATAGGTAGAAATAGAAATGGGTATAGTCGAAGGCTGAGATATAAAAATCTTCGAGATAAGAGGAAAAGCGGTTGGAGTTTGTTCGATGCCAAACCATCGAAACAGGGACTACCATTGAGAGTGCGGTTCGCTCATGCCGGAGCCATAACAGCCGCCGCAAGAGCCACCCTATGACTCCTCGTTGCGACGTGGGCCGCGATGGAAGTTGCTGCCGTTGCCGCCGCTGCCGCCATTCTCACCACCGGGTCCGCCACCACGACCACGGCCACCACGGCCACGGCCACGACCGTCACCGCCACGGCCGCGACCGCGGAATCCGCCACCGCGACCGCCACGGAAGCCGTCGCGCTCACTACGGCCACGGTTGTGGCGCTGCACCTGGTGGAAACCGTCGTCCGCAGCCGCGTTCGGCGTAGCCGCAGCCGGAGCAGCGGCCGGCGGGGCCACGTCGGGCTGCTCATCGGCCCAAGACTGCGTGTTACCGGCCGCGGCAGTGGTAGCAGCGATGCCGGTCTCCGTCTCGGCAAGGTCGCGGGGCACCTGCACCCATTCCTGTGACATGGTCAGGTCCTTGGCGCCGTTCGTGGCATCCCACTGGTTCTCGGCCACCGAGTTCGCGGCATCGTCGCCGACATTGGCGTTCGCAAGAGCGGCCGGGGCGGCATCGGCCGACTCGTCAGTGTGGCCGTTGGTGAGACCCGCAGCCTCCACGAGCGGGGTATCGGTGCCGGCCTCGATCTCGGTCAGGCTGGCGTGCACGAGGGTCGGGTCGGAGCCGACCTGGGCGGCGGGAGCCTCGGACGCAGGCTCCTCCGAGGCCTCAGACACGACCAGAGCGCCGGCGTTAGCGGCGGCAGCAGCCTTTACCTGGGCGAATGTCGTCTGCAGAGGCTCGTTGGAAACACCCTTGGTCGTCTCGTCGGTGCCCTGGACGAGCTTCAGCATGGTGGCCACACCGTTCTCGTCGCCCGAGTACACCTGCAAGAGCACACCCTCGAGGGCAAGGTTCTCGTCCTGTTGCTGGTTCTGGTCGTCGGCGCGGCGAGCAGCAGCGAGGCGGAGGAACTGGGACACGGTCAAGAGGCTGTCGTGCAGGTTCTTTTCGGCGGCAGCAGCGGCTGCCGCAGACGCCTCGCGCACAGCATCGGCCTTCTCCTTCTCAAACTTGTCCGTCAGGGCCTTGGTGACCTCGGTCTTGTCGGAGACCAGGCGCTGGCGGTACTCCGAGTCGAGCTTCTTAAACTGGCTGTGCTGCTCCTCGAGCTGGGCAAGCTGGGCCTGAAGGGAGGGCTTTTTGAGGATCTGGGCTTTTTGGTCGGCGTTGATAATCTTCTGGGCGACGAGCTGGTCAAGGCTCTTGTCCTTGTGCTCGGCAATCAGGCCATCGGTTTTGGACGCGTTCATCTACAGCAAAGAGAGGAGTTTGGGTGAGCAAATGTGTTCAGATTAGAGGGTCTGTGGGGAGTCTTGAGGTCAGCTTACGAGCTTCTTGTTGATGTTGCGGATGTTCCTGAAATTGAAAAAGACATGTTAGCATTCCCATGCCGCCTCGGGCCATCTGGCGCCGACATGCAGCCGTTTTCTTCGATAGGGTACTGGAACGCACTTGGAAAGCTCCCGCAGGTAAGCAGGCTCGCCCGAGTCATCGCCGTTGGCGTCATTGGGTGCCACCGACACAGCCTTCTCAGACGAAGCGGTCGGAGCAGGCGACTCGGTGCGGCTGGCCTTGGCCTTCTTCTTCTTGGCCGACTTGGCGTCGGTAGGAGCCGCAGGATTTTGCACAGCAGACGCAGCCATTGTGTTTGATTGGGTTTGTGCTGGTTGCTTGGTCAGGCAAGCCTCGTTTTGGGAATTGGGTTTGGTATCGAAGATCGAGGGTTGGAGGAGCGACGACGAGAGCGTTGGACGCAAGAAGTTGTCGACGAAGGAGATGAAGAGGAGAATGACGAACAGAGTATGACTGCACGATGCAAGCAAAGATTGGAGAAACAAGTAGGACAAAGGAAGAGGAAAGAAGAGGAAGACAGGAAAAAGAGGGAAAAGGACGCAGGACAGCTAAGAATGGGGTGCGTGGCCTAAAATAGCTGCTCCAAACAAATCGGGTACGGGACGGAGAAGGAAAGAACACAGGAATTGGCAATGCGGGTGAGGCTGTGAATGCTTTTGGAGTGGTGGACGACGGAGAGGTCAGTGAAGATGCTTGAATTTTGATTATTTCGAGATGTGTTTTTGTTTGGTGAGCTAAGAAAACCAGTGCCTTCTTGTTTTGTGCCGTGGGAGTGACTCGAAAAAAAACCGTTTGGTGTTTTGATATCCCCCAGCGCAACAAGGCAGGAACCACCCGCTTGTCTCTGCCTCCTGCAGGCAGGTTGAAGAGGTGCGTTGGTGCGCTCTTGCCTTCCGTCGCCTTCTACCCACGCGACTGTCTTCCCTGTTGGGCCAATCAGCGCGCAGCTGGGCCAGGGCCTGGAGCTAGCACTGCTAGTGGTGCCTGGGAGGATTCTACGGGCACTGTTTGGTTCTACAGCCCCCTGTACCCACAAACGAAGACTGGACAGTAGCAACCAGCAAACGAGCAACTGGGCACGAGACGTGGTCTTTGGTGCTGCACCGGATACCACGGCCTGAGGCAACGACCGACACGACACGACACAACGACGGTTGCACAGCATTGAGCGCGAAAGTTCATCTTGGTATTAACTTCTTTTTTTATATTTTTGTTTGTTTGTTCCCGTTCTGTTGGCTTGGTCTCCCTACCTGGGTCCAGCTGTCGTGACATTGGCAACTTCTTGTGCAAAACAATTTGATAGCGAAAAGGTCCGGACGTTTCCCATCTGGCCTCCTTCCTATGAGGAGGCCTGGCTGATCTGTGCGCAGCTGTAGAATCCATTCGACACTGACCCCCATCTTGGTTTGTCCGCCAAAGTACGGTTTGTCTCGACGTTGCGCGCCGACGGTATTTGGACCGTTCCCCAGAAATGTGAACTGCGCATTGCCGATGCGGCTGCTTCTAGAAAGCTTTTGCCAGGGTTGTGTGCAGCACCTCGACAAATGTTCGAAAATCCACGCATTGTCGAGCACGGTCGATTTGTCGCAGAGCCGGGCCGTTGGTGGCGGGTGTCATCTGATACCGATTCTGCTAGGCATTCTCGTTTGTTTCGAACGGTGCGGGTATTGATGCCAATATGTGCCGTTGCTGTTGTGGTCGCGTTCGTGGTCGCGGTCGATATTGCCATGGTCTCCTGCGCACGTCAACCCTTGAACTTGAGAACAGTGTCCTTTAGAAAATTAGCATATCGCATCGACATGTTGGACCACATGGTGCAAAAAGCGACTTACCGCCGTCACTTTCTTGACGCTGCGTGCCGTGATGCCGCGCTCACCGCCGCGCTTCGACTCAATCGATGCTTCCTTGACAAGGCTGTCTTGTTAGCTGGGCTGTGCCTGTTTGTGTGGACCAGGGAAGGCTGCCATCACATACGTCTGCATGAAGAGGAGATAGTCGAGGAAGATCTGAACAGTGAGAAAATAAGAGTTGTTAGCTGTAGTTCGCTTGCTGGTCCGGCATTGCATCACTCACAAGGACATCGGCGTTGCGGCTGAGGCTCGTGTTTGCGTGCGCCTTGACAATCTTCTTGACCGTCGCGCGCGGGTACAATTTCTGTCCGGGTGCCATTGCTGCTAGTGTGCAGTAGGGGTATTTTGACAGAATTTTGGACGGTTGATGATGTTGTTCGGATTCGTGATTGAGGTCGTCGTGTGTTGTTGTCGTCCGTTTGTCGTCACGCAGTTTGGGGTTAGATGTTGACTAGGCGCCTGTACTCAGAAGCGGAGTCGCGTTTGGCGCGTCGTGCCTGCACTGAACATTAGGTAATAGGGTGGGGCAAGGCGGCAACTTGTGGCGGAAGCTGGCAGCCACAGTTTGGAGAATGGTTGCTGTGCAAGGACAATCGTACCGCCCAATGGGGATTGTCACAATAGGATGGGCAACGCCGACTATAAATTGGCATTGAGTTGTAGTTGTTTGAATATAATATGTGTCAACCGACGTGGTATGATTGTGTTTGACATACGGCTGTCTCTTTGCTTGGTTTAGGGCATATAGGTGCTTGCCTATCTGGTCGATAACAGTATCTTACCTACAGCGCCCCGCTCCCACATAACTTGCAGCGCCATTTGGTGGGGCAGTCCAAGCACCAAGAGTGAAAAGCTTCTCCTTTTCTTTGGTCTGATCTTGTAGCTTGCCATTCACGACGACACCATTCTGTACGACCGCGACGACACCTCATTACGCAACGACGACGACGCTGCTGCACACCTTTTCATCATACACGGAGCTGTGACGAAAACGATACGCGCCATACGGGATTTCTTGCGCACCTTTCGCAGTGCACAGCACACGTGACAACAGTTTGCATCACCTGCAGCATTCCTATAGCATCTCGACGGAAGTGCATCATGCAACGGCGGATGGTCAGTCTCTTGCACCGCCCCCACGTCCTCACAGACCCTCTACTTGGTTCTTCTTATTTTTCACCGCTAACCATGCCCAGCTCAGCAGAGAAGACGAGGAGGCTGCGGGCCCCGAGGCCGAGGTCCGCCGCGAGGACCAGGAAAAGATCAACAAGTTCAGCCGGCTGCACCAGCGCGAGCTGAACCTGGAGGAGCAGCTCAAGGCGAAGAACAAGGCCAAGGAGGAGCTGGACGACATCAGCACAGAGCTGGAGCTGGTCGACGAGGACGACAAGGTGCCGTACAAGGTCGGCGACGCCTTTTTCCAGGTCAAGGCGGCAAAAGCGCTCAAGATGGTCGAGGCGTCCTCGACCAAGATGGAGGAGGAGATTGGGTCGCTGGAGGAGTCATTGAGCTCGGTGCGGGAGGATATGACACAGCTCAAGGTGGACCTGTATGCACGGTTTGGCCGGAGCATCAACCTGGAGACGTGAGAAGCGGCGGGCCGTTGCTTGCCGCCTTTCTTCCTCTATTGCGCGTTTACCTTTGCCGTCCCTTTTCTCTTGTATATTTTGGGTCTGTTTCCTGCAGCGTTTCCATCTTAGCATCTCAATGCAGCCTTTATACCAACAGCCACGCACTTGCTCTGAAGCATGGTCCTTTGCGTCGCCGCCGTCTGTTTGTGGAAAATAATGGCTTTGTGTTTCCAGTTTCCGGGCTTCGTCTGTCATGTCTTTTTTTTGGGCGAAATGGTCTCGGTTCAAAACGTGTAAGCCTACTCAACAGAACCAACTGCAGTCTGTGACGCCTGTGCTTTGTAGCCGAAAACATCAGCTTTTGTGAAGCTTATATTGTCGTCTACGTCCATGATTCGTACGAGGTGAAAGTGTCAACAAAAACGGGCCCAGCTGGCCGAGACTGAGCCCACCATTGCGACCGTTCTTTGCAACCTTGCGGCCATACGGCCATCTTGTCTGTTTGTCTAGCCCTTTCCACCAAACTCTTAAACGCGAAGCCGCGAGATCAAGCCTGTCGGGCGGCTTTGGTGCTTGGCTCCTTCTCTTATTCTCTATCCGCCCCCGCCTTCCGTCCTTGTGGCCACTTTGGATTTGGGTCCATTTTGTTGGTGCTCCACTCTAGCCCCGACCCCGGCCAAAGGACTTCCATGTATTTGGGCGTACGGCTTTACGTCGTGAAGCTTGCCATTTTTTGTCTTTTTGGTCTATTTTGTCCTTGATTATTCCTTCTTTTCAATAAGTGGTCAGATAACACACATCCTACAACGTGCGACAACTGTTGCACTGATTCCCCTTTTTCTTGCCGCCCTTGTTCTTGCGGCCCGCATGTCCCCCGGCAGCCATTGCCTCTTTGGGTGTTGTATTCTGTTCGCTATCGCTCCTTCCCTCCGGCTAACACGGCCGATGCCCACCTCCTCCTTCTCCAATTATTGTCTCTCGGTAATGCTCTGAAGGCAGTCGATAGGTCTCTCTGTATTACTCCGTGCGTCGTACAACAGCTCACAGTGTCCAAGCACGCTCTTCGCCAGTCATTCTCGTCGCATGTCGATCGTCCACAGCTACCTCCAATGAATACGTCTCCAGCTTGCCACGCGCAAGAGTGCCGCACTTATGCCGCGCCTAATGTGACGAGCAGAGAGTGGTTCTGGTCCGCACCGGGCGATTTTCGGAGCCCATTTTGAGGGGCGCGCTGACCACCTTGCACGCTTTATTTTCGACTCCGATGCTGATGTGACCAATGCACGCCGCTGCTACACCGTACATCTTGTCTTGTTCGGGGCCCGGTTGATGTGTGGACTTTGCGGTGCCCCCGTTGTACATACCCGTGCTTGCTCGCACCTTCTCGGACGCGGAATAAAGGTCCCTGTCGTAGTTGCCTTCGTAGAGGAATCGGAAGCAAGTCTCGAAACGAAGAGCCGGGACCGGGGCCTCGCCTATTGTGCTCTGTCTACGGAGCCAGGAAACCACCTAAAGAGTGGACGCAGTTGCGTTCCTTCACAAAAAGTGGAGCTCCTTCCCGGGCCGGGCATAGGCACTGGGCGTGTTATTTGCGATTTCCGGGGCAAGAGGGGGGTTGGATGGGCACGCCTTTTTCTTCTGGTCCTGGGACCGGTGCAGGACACCGTGCCCAAGCATAGAACAAGACTACGGAGGTTGCACCCAATGAAAATCATAAAAGAACATGACCGACAGACTGTGGAAATGGAGTAGCATGCTCCATAATCCTGCGTGTTAGTCGCTGTGTATCGTTCGCCGCCTTGTTGTTTCCCCATTGCTTTGCTCCTTCCTTTTTGAAATTTGACTCGGTTTATTTCCTTCTGTTTTTATCTCGGTTGTTCCTCCCTTCTCAATTGCCTGGTCCCCCATATCTCCGTTACTTCGTTTTTTCTCTTGTTCGCTCTTTCCGCTTGCCATGTTTTCTGTTCTTTCCACGGTCGCCTTCTCTCATTGGACCTTCCGGTCCTTGACTTCCTTCAATCTGACGATCCTTTCCTCTTGTTCCATTTTCAAACTTCCCACCTGTATTGAATAGTCGCACTGGACCTCGACGAGTAACACAACACGGTCTGCTTGCTCGAAAGTTACAATCACAAGGTGTGTCGGAAATCCAACTCCGTTTGCTGGGCCTTTGCTTGATATCTGAGAACCGCCATTCCGTCTCTGCTTCGCTTCATTTTGATTTCCATTGTTATAAGTGGGAGCCATTCTTTGAATTCTATTGCCCTGGGACAAGGAACGACCAGACCTCGGTCGTACGGAATACTACCCACTGCCTGGGGACGGGCATGACTCGACAAAAATGGACGACAAATCATCGTCGACAGCCGCAGTTCACCAGAACAAGCAGGCAATCGGCCAGAATGAAACCGATCGGATACAGCAACATGGTACGTATGCAAAGAGAATTTTTTGCCTCGGTGTATGCGTTGTAGCTAACACAAATAGATGGCCTTTATCAGATCATCAGCGCCATTGACGAGAAAGACGCAAAAGACCGGTACCGCGAGGAGGCAGCCGACAACACCGTCGGCGAACGAATACAGCTGGACGACGACGGCACCAAAAGGCCCGAAGACAACCAGCAGACACCGAGCCTGTCCAACAGCGAGAACGAGACCCTGATCGTGGCCTGGGAGGAGAATGACCCGGAGAACCCCTACAACTGGTCCAAGACGCGGAAAATCATCCTCCTCATCACAACCATGACGTCCATCATCAACAGCACAATGGGCAGCGCGCTTCCTAGCAACGCTGTGCCCTACATGGCGAAGGAGTGGGGCGTGACGTCGTCCACGCAAATGGTGCTGCCCGTGTCGACGTACCTGGTCGGCTACATTCTGGGGCCTCTCGTGTGGGCGCCGCTCAGTGAGCAGTACGGCCGCCGCGCACTGGTTCTTGTGACGTTTGTTTCTTCATGATCTGGACCATGGCCTGCGCCCTGGCACCCAACTGGGCCGGCTTCCTCGTGTTCCGCCTGCTCACCGGCGTCTTTGCCAGCGCCCCCATCGCCGTTGTCACGGGCATTCTGGCTGACGTCTTTGGCTCGGCACGCACCCGCGGCCGCGCCATGTCCATGTTCATGGCCATGACCGTCTTCGGCCCCTTGTTTGCCCCCATTATTTCTGGCTACTGCTCGGCCACCATTGGCTGGCGCTGGACCTTCTGGATTGCACTCATCTATGCTGGTGTGTCCCTGGTCCCGCTCGCACTGTTGCCCGAGACGTATGGGCCGATTCTGCTAAAGCGCCGTGCCGTCCGCATGCGCAAAGAGGACCCCAAGGCCAACATTGTGGCGCCGCACGAGCTTGAGAAGAAAAATCTGCGCGAACTGGCCACGATTGTCCTGACGCGCCCTCTGCGCATGATCGCCTCGGAGCTCATTGTGTCATGTGTCTGCATCTACCTCGCCCTTTTGTATGCCATCTTCTACATGACCTTTACCGCCTTTCCCCTCGTCTTTGTGGATATCTACAAGTTCAGTCCCGGCGTCGAGGGCCTCATCTTTCTGGCCATTGGCGCCGGCACCCTCCTGTCGATATCCATCTTTTACGCCTACGACAACTACTTGCTGAACGCCATTGACCGTGGCGAGGCCTGGACCAAGCAAGAGGAGTACCGCCGCCTGCCGCTGGCCTGTCTTGGTGGACCCGTCTTTGTGATCAGCTTGTTCTGGCTAGGCTGGACAGCCAGGGCCGACATCTCCTTCGTGGCACCCATGCTGGCTGGCATCCCCTTTGGCCTAGGATTCATGTGTGCGTACTCCCCACCCGGACATTTCTCAATTTCTTGATAATAAACTAACGCTCGACGTATGTTCTTCTTCCGTTTAGTGATCTTTATTGCTCTTTTGAATTACTTGACCGGTATGCTCCGTTCGCCTCTCTCTACAGTGAGGACCTTGCTAACTCGCTATAGATGCCTACGAAATCTTTGCGGCATCTGCCAATGCTGCCTCCTCGTGCTGCCGGTCCCTTCTTGCCACCGTATTGCCCCTAGCGGCCATGGCCATGTTCAAGCGCCTGACGATTCCCGGTGCCTGCAGTCTTTTGGGCGGCCTGAGCCTGTTGATGTGTGCGATCCCTTTTGTGTTTATCTGGAAGGGTGAGCAGATTCGGGCTGGCAGCAAGTTTTGCATTGCCCTGCGCGAGCGCAAGGTTGAGATGCAGCGGAAAGTCGAGGAGCAGCGACAGCGGCGTCTTCTACATGCACAACAGCGCCTGGGGCAACCTCTACAGCAGCCGATGAATCCCGAGCTGCAAAAGGAGACCGTGTAAACAACCGACCGAGGCTCGAGCTCTGGCTTATCAACCAAATCCAAACAAACACAAAGCGAATTGAAGCAGTAAAGACAATGAGGACGAAATATGAGGCAAAATAATAGCTACCGGAGCCATGTCTCCTCGAATGAGGCTGGGCTGAGGAAGATATGAGACATTGAATTTTGAATATTTATCAGCGCAAGAAAAGACGGACGCACTGTGTATTTACATTACGATGGAAATTTCTGACATATAGAGACGACTTACTATTGCATTAATTCTACCTTAATTTTACGCATCCTATGGCAGTTCAACCGACTTCTAGCCGTATATGTGACTGGCAAGTTGATATCCTTGTGCCTTCTTGCCAACCCAGTCCGTCTCCATCCTCGAAAAAATCTGTAGCCAAATACAATGGAGGCATGGTAGTAAATACTATTAGAACCCCAAAACAACCCAGGACCTCAAAACTGTGCACAGAAAACCGGCCACCCAGACCGAACGTAAAACGTGGCATAAAACTAGAGCGTTACGATGATAACATGAAAGGAAAAGAGGACTCTCCCCGCGAGAGTAGAGCACTGGTTTGTGGAGTAGATGAAACCGGAACAGCTTGCATTTGTTGTAGTGTGTCGTAGAATGTACGTGTGCGTGTGCTTAGTTACTAGTTCTGCTTCAAAGCTGGTTGCAGAGTGCGGCCTTGGAATGACTTTCTGTTCTCCTTCCTGCCCTGGAAGATGGTTTCAAGGTCGTCACCGGATTGAACCGTGCGCGTCAGTAACGGTGTCTTCGGCTTAGTATGCCCGCTCCACGTCATGTATTTGGCCGATGCGGTATCGAACTCGGCTACTTTCTTGACCGGAGCCGAATCACTCTTGACGGACATGGAGTCCGCTGACTTCTGAGTTGTGACTTGAGCGTTTGCCTGTGCCACAGCATGAACGGCGTCGCTGCTTTGATGGGAAGCGGTCTCTTGGTACTCTTGGTACTCTTGGTGCGACGAGCAGGGGCTGTTGTGGAGTTCCAGGTCTTCGAATTTGGGGGCGGGCGTGCTCGGGAGAACGGCAGAAATATATGCTCGCATCTCTGCATATGCATTGGCAATGGGTGTGGAGGGCACTGTTTCCGGGGATGCGATGTCGCTTTCTGGTAGCGCAGCGCAACCATCCGCATTATTTACCTGTTTAGGTTTCACGGGGGTCGTGGGTATCGTTCGCTGGTTGCTTTCCATGTCCACCAAAACACCAAATATACTATCAATGCCCTGTATCACAACTTCGTCCTTGAGGCCTGGCGTCTCAGATGCAGCTGAAGTAGCAATCTTCTCCTCTGACGTTCCCATGGCCCGAGACTCGGGCGTACTCCTTTCAAGTTTTAAGCTGGATGCCTTGGAATGAGTAGTTGCGGTAGCGCGTTCTGGGCCGAGGGATCGGCTTGAAACGGCGGCGGCAGGTGTGAGGGTGGTGAGAGATGGCGTTGACATCTGCTTTCGGTACATGACTTTCTTGATACCGGCGAGGATGGCTTTCTCGATCCCACTTGAGAAAACTCTGGAGTAGGATGGCTCAGGCTCCGGCGGTTGGACGTCGTTACCCACCGCCTCTCGAGGCAAAGTGACAGAATCTTCTTTGGAGGGTGGAAGAACGGCACCTTGACCCGTTGTCTTCACTGGATCAGTTGCTTTATTGTTCTCGAGCCCCTCTTTCCAGCTCGGCTCTGCCCACCACGAGTCAGACAATTGTTGCGCATGAAGCGAGGACGCTTGGCGGCGGATGCCTGGTTTTCCACCGGTGTTATGAGCTTGGTTGTCACTCCAAGGGCCCATGATAGAAGCCGGCGGCGGTAGATCCCGGAAGCCTGACTGTTGGTGGCTCAATGGATAGGTGTCTGACATGCTTCTTCTCTGCGTGGTTGCAGTGGCTCCACTGCGAAGAGGACTGTTATGGTCGAGATTTTGCAGTTGTCTGTGCCACTCCTTTGCCATTTTATCAATGTCGGTTGAAGTCGCACGGGCGGAGGCTCGGGACGATCCATACATCATGGAAGCTGGTTCGCTCTGAGAAGCAGGCTTTTCCTTGACACCATTTTTGAGAGAGGCACCCGACATTGAATGGTATTGTGACTTTGTGGAGATGGAGTCTTTATCGTCATGGTTGGTGTTCTCCTTGCGCTGACTGTCAAACTGGGCACCAGACGAGGCAACAGAGGCAGCGACCGTCTTGTCGACGGACGCAACCGACTTCGATTGCGGGATTTGCTCAATGCATGAAAGCTCCGAAGCTTGCTGGGCTGAATTGGAAGATTTTCTGAGCCCGAAGGTGAAACCTGTTCGTAGTTAGCATTGTACCCTCTGAGAATACTAGTTAGGGGGCTTTGGTCACATATGTTCTGGGACGGGGAAGGGAAAAGGGATAAGGCAGAAGCAGTCGACGTAAAACATACGATCCAGGGAGAGCAACGGAAGCCGTTTAAATCCATTACGACGAGGAAGGCTCTGCGTGTCAGCCTCACCACCGTCATTGGAGGCAATGGTTTCGGCTTGAGCGGCAGCCGAGTTGTTTGAGTTGGACAAGTCGTTGACGAGCGGCGGAGGAAGATCCAGAGTACTAACATACGACGACTCAGAGGTCTTGCGTCTGCTTTTCCTGAATCTGGCCACGGCAGTCAGAAGAGGGGAATCTTTATGCGTGGCGATAAAGGTATCCGCTTCGGCCTTTTCGACGGCGTCGTCCGTGCTACCGATATAATTGGAAGTATTGCGAGCTCGGCCGGACACGACGATGCGGGCCTTACGAGCTTCGTGGATACTGCCGTCCTCATCCATAGAGCTGAGAGAGTCCGATACGGCCTGTGCTGTTTCAGAAATGTCGGCGTCATCTTGTTGGCCCTTTATCTTGTCCTTGCTATTCTTCTGGGCCGGACCACCATTTGATGCAACGTGCTTGACGCGGAGGCTCTTCTGACCTGGTTCGGCCACATGAGTGCTGGAGGCCACGGTCTTCCCAGTTGTTCCAGTCGTTACTCCAGCGGCCACTGTGGCTTGCGTTGAGGTCGGTACAAAAGACAAGGCCCCTTCAGGAAGAGGGCGTCTTGCCGAAGGATCAGTCGCAAAGGAGGCTGATATGAAGTCACCGAATTCTTTGCCCAGATTACCGCCTCCATGATCTTGAATACGTTCGCCGGGTCCCTCCGGCAGACCAGCTTTTCCGGCCTGCGATGCAAAGTGCTTGGATGAGACGGAGGGCGGCAGCATGGGCGGCTTTGGGAGGAGGTACGTGTCCGACTCTTTGCCTTTGTTGGACAGTGCGGGCGGGACGGACAGGTCATCGCGGCTCTGCGTGAATACGAACTCGAGAGACGTCCGGTACCCACTGCCGTCCATGACTGCCACAGTATTGCGAGGATGGGTTAAATCGAGACTTGAGATGTCCGCTGGGTCTTCTTTGATGGTGGACATGGAGGATCTCTTGTAGGTGCGCGGCTGGTGCGGCTGTGCCTGGTGATAGTACTGTTGCTGGAACTTTTGGTACTGTTGACGCTGTTGACGCTGTTGCTGGAGATACAAGAACTGCTGCTGCTGCTGCTGCTCGTTTTGCAGCTCTTCTTGGATCATTTTCTGAGTCAGGCGGCGGACTTCAGCACGGCGTGCGGCCGCGATGAGATCGTCGGTGCTGCACGAAGACTCGGGTGTGCGACCCTGATTGGCAGTCCGGGCGGGCGGGGTCCGTCCAATGATGCCAATGCGGCTGATGAGGCTGGTGAGCGGGCTCATGCCTGCGCCGTCTGAGCCACCAACGCCGCCAGAAGCACCTCCAGAGCCCAAATTGACCGGCGTGCTGGGGACGGGCGTGGCACCCAGGCCAGCGGCCCTCATCCGTGCGTGGCTCAAAAGCTCGTCATCGCTGTCGGTTTCGCTGTCGGCAAGGCCTTCAAAGTCTGGAATCTTGGGGATGGGGCAGCGGCCGGCCCCCCGACGCGGCGAGAGTGCAGCATGCAGACGGGATGACGCACGAGGTGGTGGAGGGGTGCTCGGTGGGACAGGAAAGGTTGTCTCAGAAAGGACCGGCCGGGCCAGCTTGGCGGGCCGCGGCGCAGCCGGCAGGGAGGACAGAGACAGCGGCAGCGGATGGCGCTGCTCGGCATCGGGCGAGAGGCCCATGGAGTGCCGGTTACAGAAACAGAGGCCCATTTTGAGAAGGGTGCGTGGTAGCCGGAGAAGAGAAGAGGATGCTGTGACAAAAAGGTCAGAATGAAGGAAGAAAAAAAGGAGTTTTGCTGTCAAGATACTAGGAGGGAAAAAGAGGACGGTGGGTAAGGGAGACGAGAGAAGATCGTGTCCTACCGAAGCACAGAAGCAGTGTTTGATCAGGGAAGATGCTGTGCGAGTGAGAGGTGAGGCGACGAAGAGGGTAAACAGAGACAGAAGCCCATGATGGGTGATGGGCGAACATGGCAAGACAACAAAGGCGATGGGACGTGGTTGAAGGCGCAACAGAGATGGAAGGTGCATCGCGATGTGGGAAAGGAAGGAGGCAAGGCTGTGCGTGGCTTTTGGTAACTACTTGCGGCGAGCAGTTGAAATGAAAGATTGGAAGGTACGAGAGGGCAAGGGCGGCCTCGTTCCTTCCCGATTTACACAGTCGCACCTGCCCTGACATGGCGGATCACCAACCAGACGAGAGGTTGGCCTGCTGTGCTGGGTCGTTCCTTCCCAACGTAGCACAAAATACGAAACGCACACGCAGGTCACTATGCCTCGATCAAGGAAACAGCGACGAAAGCCAAAAGGTCACGTCATCGAGCCAACACGTCATCATGTATGAATGAATGTCAAATTATAAACAGAATGCGCCCGGGTATGTACAACGAGATATGAAACGACGAGGTAGACATGGCGCTGCGACAAGACAAGATGCGCCGACAAGGTCATACTCCAAACATGATATCGTAAATGTTGTAGGTAGAAGCGATGCAGGATACAAATGGCATAACTATTGAGACAGGAAACGAAACCGGAAACACGTCGAATTTAGATGTCCTCCCAGGAGTAATCGGCCCAGAGGTCGCCGAGGTTGAGGCCGAGCAGTTCATAGTTGAAGTCTGGGTTGACGACCTGCTGGGCGGCCTGGAGGGCGGTGGGATCGGCGTTGGGGTTGGCGGTGCTCGACATGTTGGCAAAGTTGGTCATCCACCAGGCGGCGGGCGGCGCCGGCATCGCAGCATCGATGACGCCGGGGGTGGCGGAGGCCTGGGTCATTGCGAGGAAAGGCGTCATTTGCTGGCGGGTGTTAGCAGGCTGGTCTCGAGAGACAGTGAAAGGTGGCGGCGACGGCGTCGGGGGCGTTCGACGTACCTTTGTGAGATCCGACACACCATTGGCGCCGCTGGAGTGCGGCGGTGGTGGTGTCGATTGCTGCTGCTGCTGCTGCTGCTGCTGCTGGAGCATTTGCTGTTGCCGCATGGCCTGTGCTTGCTGGATATGGGGCGGCGGCATTCTCCGCTGCTGCTGTGGTGATGGCAGTGATGGCTGTTGCGAGAGTTGTTGTTGCTGGGCTTGGGCAGGCTGCTGCGGCTGCTGCGGCTGCGGCTGCTGTTGAAGAAGAGCCTGCCGCGGGGTCTGGTCCTCCTGCGGATCCTTGGAGCCCTGCTGGCCTTGCTGGCCTTGCTGGCCTTGCACACCGTCTCTATTCGTCGTCTGCGGCTGTTCTTGCCGCGCCAGCAGCTTGTAGTGCAGGTTCACAAAGCGCTCGGCCGACGAGGCCTTGGCGGCTTCGGGCGTCTTGTCACCCAGATGCGCCTCCAGCAAACCGGTGGCGGCACACATGATCGAATAGCCCCAGGGCTCGTTGTTGCCACAGCGCAGGACACGGTCTTCCTTCATCGCCAGGCACTTTTCGAGCAGCTTCTTGGTGTGCTGCGAGTTGACCATGATCATGTTGGTGGAGCCGCGCGACTGCAGCATGGTGACACTGCACAGGTTGATGGACAGGGTCAGGGCGTCTTCGCGCAAAAAGTTGAGCGTGCGCACGCCCTGCTCGGCGAGCTTGTCGTGCAACAGGACCATGTCGCGCGCCGCATTGTAGTAGATGATTTCCGAGTACTGGTACTTGGAGTTGGTCTTGCGCAGCTTGAGGTAGGGCTGGTGCAGCGGAATGATGTACTGGCGCAGCTGGATATGCAGCAGGGTGTAGGCCAGCAGGGGTGTCAGCTTGGCCGTGCTTCCGTTGCCGTGGCCGCTGCCGCTGCCGCTGCCGTTGTCATTTCCCTTTCCATTGCCGTCGTTCGCCTCATTCTCGCTGGCCGCCGCGATCGCACGCACATCCCACGACGGCAGCGCGTCGATTTCCTGGGTGATGTCGTTGGTGTAGCGGATGACCTGGTCGTAGTCCAAGTCGTCGGGCGGTCCCGTCAGCACGCGGCTCAGCTGCAGACGCAGCGGCAGGCTCTGGCGGCTCAGGTGCTGGTAGGACGAAAAGGTGTACTCGTCGGTGGGGCGCGACTGGGGCAGCTCGGTGGTGTCCTCGTCAAAGTCCTCGTCGGCGAGGTTGCGTGGCGGGTGGACGTCGAAGCGCAAGGCGCTCAGCAGCGTGGGCAGGCCGTGGTCAAAGGACGCCTGCATGTCAAACTCCTGGATGGTGGCCCAGATGCGGCGGCGCATCTCTTGGTTGTAGACCGACACGGAGTCGTGGATGTGGCTGGGCTCGCGGTGCAGGCCGACGGACACCGCGTCTTGTGTGAGGGCGCCGGACGACTTCCAGAAGCGCTTCTTCTTCACGGTGTTGACGCGCTTCGCCAGGTAGAGAAGGCAGGCGATCTGGTAGTGGACGAGCTTGCGGTGCTTCTGGCTCTGGCGCTGGTTCCAGGCATCGCAGGCGTTGATCCACTTCTCGGCCATGTGGTGCGACTGCGAGACCATGCCGACAAACTTGCCGGTCGGGTTGCCGCGCAGACAGCTCGAGATGGACATCACGGACAGCAGCAGCGCCGTAAAGGCGGGTGTGCGCGCGTGACCGGGCTCCCAGAACAGAGCGTAGTCGCGCTTGAAACTGGGGATGTGCACGATGCGGTGGACCTGCTCGAACTGGTCCAAATAAATATTGACCAGCACGTCCATTTCCGTGCGCTCGGGCAGCAGGGCTTCGAGCTCGGGGTCGGGCTTCAAGAAGCGCGCCTCGCGGTCCTGCTTGCGCTTCAGGCGGTCCTTGCTGTGGTGGTGGTGGACGTGCAGCGGGCGCAGCCACTCCTCGGCGGTCTCCTTCATGAAGGGGCACAGACCCGTCAGCTCGCTAAACGCCATGCACGCGTTGTGCGGGCCAAAGTAGCGCGTCTTGAACTCCTTGCCGCGGAAGAAGCGCAGCTCGTCGCCGACCTGCATGGCGGCCGCACCGCCGGAGCCATAAATGGTCTCAACAAAGGTAGTGGGCGGCGAAGGCGCGCCCCGGCCGCCCTCCTTGTCCTGCGGCGAGTCGTCGTCGTGCAACGTAGCACTCCCGTCGGAAGGTGCCAGGAGCAGCTTGTTGTTGCCGTTGTTGGCGGCGCCGGCGGCAGATGCGAGCAGCTGCTTCAGCTGGGCAACCTCGAGCTCAAGGCGGCGCATGCGCTCGCCATCTACGAGCGAAGACGGGCCGGAGCCTGAGCGGTGCGAGTCGCGGCGGTAGGGAGGGACAATGCCGGTGTCCGACATGTAGCTGCCGCCGACTCCGCCGCCTCCTATGCTGTTAATGCCACCGCTGCCGCCATGCCCGCCGGGGCCGCCTCCCAAACCGCCGGCCAACGCAGAGATGCGTGATTCAAAGTTGGCGAGGGCGCCCTGCGACAGGCCGTTCTTGGCGGGTGGTGCAAGGCCGGGGCGGGTCTCGTAGGTGCATCGCTCGGGCGTGCCGGACTTGATGCAGCGTTCGCAGGGGAAGCCGCGGTCGCAGGAGAGCTTGCGGCGTCGACATTCGAGGCACGACAGACGCACCCGCTGGCGCTTGCGCGGTGGGTGGTCACCCCGTTCGTCGCCGGGATGGCTCTCGCTGCGATCGCGGTCGTGGTCGTCGGCGTGCGAGCGGTCGCTGTCCGGCGACGAGCCGCGGCTGCTCGGCGGCTCGGAGCCCTGTCTCTTCCCTGCAGCAGCTTGTGGCATGTCTGTCTGTGAACGACGAGGCGACGTGGGTGGCTGCGGTGAAGGAGGTGGTAAGAAGCGGCCGGCGGGCGTGTTAAAGGAAACAGGTGAGGCGTGATGTGGCCCGACTCGCTGTCCAAGGGCTGCTGCTGTTCGCTGGCTGAGGTCGCACAGCGTGGATTGTGTAGCCCCCCGGACTGTCGACCTGTTCGACCTGCGCGTGCTCGCGTGTATCTGCTATTGCCGTAGAAGCACCCCCCGCTAAGCGTTGCTCTGCCTGTGTGCCAGGTGAGGGTGCTAGAGGCGCTGTTATCGTTGTGTGGATTTGCGTAGATTGGGGGTTCAATTCAATGGACCATGTTGAGATGAAGATATTGACGCTGAGGTCAGAGGCGGCGTGGTATATGTGAAGATGCAACGAATGAGGGTAGACATAAAAGGAGAAAACCAGAATTGTCGAGGAGAAACCAAAAAAATCGAGGTTCGTCGCAAATTGACAGAAAACAAAAAGAAAAAAACATCATGAACCGCAATTGTGGCAACGGAAATGACCGCACAAAAACCCTGTTCTGCATCGGACAGACATGTAGTGCCAATGGGGCAGGTGCAACGAGCGCTGCACGAGCGGCGCCTTCCCCTACGGGGCACTCCGTGCGCTGTTGGGCAGCCTAGCGCCTAGCCAGCCACAAGGATATGCGCGCACGCCAGCAACTTCCTACTCCGTTCCCGGCAGGTGTTCTTCAAGAGGGCTTACGTAAAAATGCCTTCCATTGCCGCCCTTCGGAATAAGCTCGTAACGCCGATAATGACCCACAAAGCTCCACCCAATGCACCCGTCGTGAGTTTTTCAGGGCGTATTTGTTAGGCTGGCGCCTGTCTTTCAGGGCATTTAGTGTGTCCAGGGCTTCAAGCTGTGACGGCAAAATGGTGTAAGTGGGATGAGTCGATGTGAAGTTCTTTTATTTTGTTTTGCTTTTGAGAAACAAGAAAAAATAAGCATGAGACGCCAAGGCTTCAACTTGCGGAGAACTGCAGCTGACGGAACCCAGTGAAACGGGCAGCACCGTAAATGTGCTTTGTAAGATATGTAATCCCTTCAATTGGGCACAAGCGGCCTGGCAGTCCACGACGGGCGAAAAGAATGAATAGCTAATATATCTCGCTTCGTTGGCTCTATGTTGGGGGGCTTGGAGGCTATTCATAATAAACACGAATACGTCGGTAGCAAATTGGCTTGATGGGATTAGCCTTCTGCATGAAATATATATATAGCTTGTCGTGTACCGCGGACATTGAACATCCAAAAGCCAGCGTACATCTCAGAAGAGTGGCTGAATGAAAACATCGAATACAAAACATCAGAGGTCGGTATTTGTTAGAAGCTATTATAAAATATAAATGATAGTTAACGAATGCTATACACTCTTAAAACAAGTACCTCGGTATAAGCTGTTTGGGCCTCCGTTCTAGCCTGGCGACAAAGCCTCGTTTCTGGGTTGCTGTCGGTGACAACGAACATAGAGCGATGACGACACTCGATAGTGACGCGGCAGTGGTCTGCGATCGGAGGTCCGCAGTCAACGTCAAGGGATGAAAGTCACGACTATGACGGACTTACCGTGGCACCTTGTTGCCATTACCATGTTCCTTCCCCGTGGACTCGTGAGACGGCTTAACTCCGTCCCGACATTGAGCCGCTCTTGTATACGAACTTTCCTTGTTGGGATAACACTTTCCGTTTCTGCCTGGTTGGCGTCGTCGACAGCACAAGGAAGGAGGGAAGGGATCAAGCGCCTGGTTGACGAAGGAAGGAGAAGAGTGCAACGCTGACGGCCATTGGCTCCTGCCCGCCTATTTCACCCATCGACTGAACACGGAAGGAGGCCGTGAGGAGACGTTATCAGATTATCAGGATCAACGGAAACGTCGTTCGGAGGTAAGAATGACAGCCGTCATTGGTGCCAAGTAGAACTGCACTCAACTCACAGCGATGAGTCAACTCAACTGCATATGCCAGGGGCTCGGACTTCCGAGCTGTCACCAAACGAAAAGAATTATGGGTCCCGCTTTTATGTTCCTTAACAGAGTCTCCACGTACGATTATCAGATCCCGTTTATCAGATGGGAAGACAACAACCAACTCCACGTGGTTCTTGGCGCTGGGGAGCGATTTGGTTAATGGGGCACGAGGCACATTTCCCAATCTCCTGCGGTCGCTGGTTTTGGCACGAATACGGTCTGACGGTGTACCGCCATGCGAAAGAAGAGCGGCTATACGTCGTACCCAGGTGAGATGCACCTTCCGTTGAGCACAATGTGCCTGGTTCGGATCAAGCAAAAAAAGTGGAGACAGAATAGCGCTCACCGCCTTTTACCCAAAGAGGCAATGGCACACAAGCCCCGCGCCCCACTTAATCCTGTTTTCTGCCACTTCCATCAAGACGCGTCAACTCGCCATGGAGCCGCCCAGCCGCGTCCGTCAGCGCGGTGAGCACCTGCCGCATAAACGCAGGGCATCACCGTCTGTTTGACAGCCACTGCCCACACACACTGCCATGGCTCCGATCTCCGTTCCGATCACGTCCAGGCTGCCGTCGTCGCTGCGCATTGCCGCGAACAACGCTACTGTGACGCGTGTGCTGGGCCGCCTCTCACGGCCGGCGCTGCTGTCGCTGGCACTGGACTGGCTCGACGAAGGCAACCAAAGCTTGACGGCACCCTATTTGCGACACCGGAATCCAGATGGAGACGACGACGACGACGACGACGGCGACATTGACGGTGATGGGGACTTTTATCCACCGGCAGCGTCGCTCGAGGCACTTCGAGAACACTACACCGACCTACAGGCGCGCAGGGGCTCGAAACGCGAGGTGCTCGACCGCATCTTGGAGGGCGACTGGCGGCATGGCCTCAGTTTATACCAGCTGGCCATGGCTGACCTGCAGCACCTCTACGACCACCCGACGAGCCAAAAGTGGACGGCCTTTCAGGTGGTGCCGTTGACGGCCAAGGCCGAGGCCGGCGGGGCCGGCACCGGCAACACGAACGACACCGACACCGCCAACAGCGAGGCGTCCGCCGTCGTCGACAAGGCCTCGCTCGTCGTGCCGCGATTCCACCCGTCGTCCTTCCTGCGGAACTTGCAGGCCCAGATTTTGCCCGACATCAAGGTGCACTACAACTTTGACCGGCACAGGCACCTGCCACTGTTGCTGCTCCGCATTTTCATTCTCGACTCGCCCTACAACACGTCGCTGACCGCAGCAGGGCCATCGACCGGCCATGGTGAGAGCCGCCCCGCCACTGTCGAGGCCTCCCGCACCGTCTATGTGGCCTTTCCCGACGCGTCGCCGTTTGTCTACCTCTCCAGCGCCCAGTCGTCGGCGGGCGAGCGCGCGCCGGGTGCTCCGGCCGTCGGGGCCAGCGGCAGCGCCGCGTCCCTGCGCAGCCTCGTTGTCGAGGCCATCCCCAAAGCGCTGTCCCAGCCGCGCGAGCGCTACGCGCTGAAACCCACCAACCTGGCCACACGCAACCTGGCCGAGCTGCTGCAGCGCCGCGGCGCCGGGCGCACCAACACGGCCGGCGGCGGCTGGGGCATCTATGCAGACGAGAAAACGACGATTGAGTCGCCCCTGAGCACGGCGCTGCCGGAATCGGTCGCATCGCGGCTGGAGGGGACGCGAGGCCGTGACAAGAGCGCCAGCAGCAGCAGAAGCACAGCCACCGTGGTGGGTCGCACCAAGCGACCGCTCTCCCCCGGAACGGAGCGCAGTCGGCAGGAGGCGAAGCGGCGGAAGATCGTTGCGGCGGCCCGGTTTGGCCTGTCGGCGAAGATGGGCGACGGCTGCGGCGTCGAACGTGTCGATATCGTCATGCAAGACCCGTTCCCAGGCGGACGACGTTTCGACCGGAAAGAGCCAGGCGAGACAGACGGCGAGCCGGTAGTGGATGTGGATGCAGATGCCCCACCTCCACCACCGCCAATGGCAGACCGGCGTCGATCCAAGGGCGGTAGACGCAGTCAGATTGATGCGGTCTTGGCTCGAGACGAGGAGGAGGCCGAAGAAGACGAGGCGAAAGAGCGAGACGAAGCAAGACGAGCGGCTGGCGAGGATCAGGATCAAGATCAGAGTCAGAATCAGGATGACGAGGGGGATAATGGAGGAGACTCGAGTGAGTCAACGTGGCGACCACGCGTGGCGTTCACCTTCCATGGACCACATGTCTTTGCTGGCATCAGGCAGTTGGTGGAGGCGGGAGTCATTGATGGTGAGAAGATGCCGGGCTGGATGACGGGCGAGGAGGGCGTCACGGTGGGTGCGGTGCGGCACGGTCGCATACGTGGGCACAAGGGCTCGGGAATGCCCTGAGGTTGTGTTGTATGGTTTGACGGCTGCGTTTTATGGCGTTCTGGTTGTTCTGGTAGTTCTGGTTCATGGTCGTAGAAGATACGCACACGGCGTTTGGATAAGCGTGAACTGTTATAATGCCAACTTGCTTCTTTTCCAAAATGATATGCTGGTCTATATTTCTATGTCTCCTCTATATTCTACACCTCGAACATCTTATGCGGTACCAAACACCTTGACTGTGTTAGCCCACGCCGCCTCGCATACCTCCTCGACGGGGACGCCCTTGATTGCGGCCACGATCGTGGCGATGCGCTCAATGGTGCACGGTTCGTTGCGGCCCTTGACCATGGCGCCCTCTACCCACTTTTCCTTCTTCACTACTTTGAACCGCTCAGGCACGACCGGCTCCTTCTTCTTGCTGTTGTTATTCGCAGCGTTGTTGTTCTGCTTCTTCTGCCGAGGCGGCCGGGGCGGCCGGCCATTGCCGGCAGCCGCCCCGTCGGGCGTGGCATTACCGTCGGCCGTCGCAGTTGCAGCTGCCTCCTGGGCCGCCTGCTCGGCCGCCTGCCGTGCAGCATCCTCAGCGGCCTTTTCGGCAGCCTTCCGCGCCTCCTCGGCCTCCTCAGCCTTGGCTCGCGCCGCCTCTGCAACCTTGACCAGGTACTTCCAGCCCTCGTGGGTCGGCCGCACCTCGCACCAAGGCCCGTCCGTCTCGAGCATCAGCCGGTCCAAACGGATGGCGCGCACCACGTCGCAGTTCTCCACCGTCTTGAGACTGCACCCGTTGACGCCCAGGTACAGCCCAAGGTCCATCATCTCCTGGGCCTCGGCCATCGTGCCCGTGAAGCTGTGGACGACGCCGCCACGCGGAAGCTTCTCGAGCGTTGGCCCGAACTGGTCCTTTAGCAGACGCAAGAAGTCGGCATGGGCAGCGCGCGAGTGCAAAAAGAGCGGCAGCGGGTGACCGGCCGCGGCGAGGTCGGCCACGAGGGCCAGCTGCGCGGCAAAGGCATGCCGCTGTGTGCTGGCCGAGCAAAAGTGCAGCCGGTCGTAGTCGAGGCCCATCTCGCCGAGCGCCACCAACGCATTCGTGGGTTCGGCCGTCAGCACAAGCTTGCGCAGCTCCTCGATGAGCTGTGCCGACTTGGCCAGGTCGATGTCGCTGTCCTCTGCATGTGGTTTTGTGGGGTCGGGACCGCACACGGGCGTGTGCTCCTCGGTGTCGTCGTCGTCGTCGACCTCATGGTGTCGTGTATGTCTCCGCTCAAAGATGGCGCTGCTGCAGGGATGGATGCCTGCCGTTGTAAAAACAGTGTTGGCTGGAATTGTTAGCAGGTAGCTACAAGGCACATGGTGACGTCCATGGCGTCAAGGGACGCGCAAGACGTACGAAATCCCCCGGCTAGCTTCAAGGCGTCACGGGAGCTCTTGAAGCTGGAACCGGTGACAATGAGTCGTGAGCAGCCGACATCACGAGCACGCTGAACAATGCCAGCAAGGTCGTCGGGATGCTGCTGCTTGCCGCGGTAACGTCCGCGGAAGATGGGGTCTGCAAGGTTAATGCCAATCTACCCATGTTGTCAGCACCCATTCACGGTGACACTGCCACGACAACACAACACACTAGCCGATATAAATTCTGTGCATGTCTGCCACGTACGTCAATATATCGGGGACTGTAGTCCGGGCGAGGTGGAACGCCGTTGGACAAAGCTGCTGGCGGGGCTGGCACTGTGGCCGAATCCGCTGCAGTGGACATGGCTCGGGCGGCTGTTGCTGGGACAAGGCCCACGACAGGTACGGGTGTTTTGTGTTTTGGTGTACGCGGTGTGTGTATTGCTAAGCTGAAGCGAGCGGGGCGCGTCCAAGTGGGAACCAATCTCGTTGTCAAACCCTTGGGTAGGGATGTCATCTGGGGTGTGTTGGACTATAAAAAGTGGCAATGTTTGTCCGTCTTCGGCGGATGCGTGAATGTTGACCTTGCCGACCAAGAGAATTCCCCAGCAAATAGGCAGTGCCAAAGAGGTGGCTCGCAGAATAAATACGTCGCTGTTCACCACTGTAATGAGTTCAAGCCATCCCGTGAGTCACGGTTGCGATGGTGATCCTGGCGCCGAGATGAGGCCAGAAAGTCTGTGAATGAGATTGAGGCCGTCCAGCGGGTCGAGTCACAGGCGATTGGTACCAAAACGGGCAAGCGGCTAGTTGCAGCCTGGCGGCCTTGCGTTCCAGGATGCAATTGACCTGGGAGGTAAGCGGTGCAGTGTAGGCGCGTTGTCTCGGAAGACGGGCGGATTGCTTGCGACTGGATTGTAAAGCATAAAGTGTGTGCAGAGCGTTGATTATGGAGCAAGAGGGGCATTTGGAGGCTCCGCGGTGAACGCGTTGTTGTCGCGTCGCTGTGGAGGGAGGGGCGGGCCAGTGAGGGCAGCGAGGGCAGGTACGACGGGGAGATGTCAGGGGTTGCACAGGCCTTGTTGTGGAAAGGGCGACTGTTCAGCTTACTTAATCCTGCCTGCCCTCAACTTTTGCTGGGTCTTTGTTTTCCTCGCGCCACCAACGCCCCGCTTTTTCCATCGACGCGTTAAGTCATCTGTCATCGCGTAGCGCATTTAAAGTGGCCGTCGCGGTACACGACTTTTCTTCTGCATCTGCCCTCTGCTCGTCCTTCTCTCCTCCTCTCATTTCCTCTCCAGGCCCAACCATCACCACATCCCATCTCCTTTGACGCGTCTCTCTTGCATCATCCCATTGCCAATTGACTCCTGCAGCTGCTGTCTGCATCCACACGTTCCCCTGCCTCTCTATCAGAGGCAGCCCAAACGACGTCGTCGTCGTTTTCTCCGCATCTTCCTCTCTCCATTCCTCCCCTGTAAAGGGCTTCTTGCAGACACACACAACACGCGATGTTTGTTCGCAAGCGTGGTGAGTTCTCCCCGTGTCTGTCCCCATCTACTGTATTCGTGACCAGCGTGCTGACGACATGCCTTTCTCTCGTCCAGATGGACGCCAGGAGCGCGTCCAGTTCGACAAGATCACGGCCCGCGTCTCGAGGCTGTGTTACGGCCTGGACATGGACCACGTCGACCCCGTGGCCATCACCCAGAAGGTCATCTCGGGCGTCTACGGCGGTGTCACCACCGTGCAGCTGGACGATCTGGCTGCCGAGACCGCCGCCTACATGACCGTCACCCATCCCGACTATGCCGTGCTGGCCGCGCGCATTGCCGTGTCCAACCTCCACAAACAGACCAAGAAACAGTGGTCGACGGTCATCAGCGACCTGTACCACTACGTCAACCCCCGCAACCAAAAGGCCTCGCCCATGATCGACCAGGCGACCTACGAGTGCGTCATGCGCCACAAGGAAGACTTTGACTCGGCCATTGTCTACGACCGTGACTTCAACTACCAGTACTTTGGGTTCAAGACCCTCGAGCGCTCCTATCTGCTCAAGCTCGACGGCAAGATTGTCGAGCGCCCTCAGCACATGATCATGCGTGTGGCTGTCGGCATCTGGGGCGACAACATTGAGCGTGTCATTGAGACGTACAACTACATGTCCAACAAGTTCTTCACGCATGCCTCGCCGACGCTCTTCAACGCCGGCACCCCGCAGGCCCAGCTGTCCTCGTGCTTCCTCGTCGACATCAAGGACGACAGCATTGAGGGCATCTACGACACGCTCAAGACGTGCGCCATGATCTCCAAGACGGCCGGTGGTATTGGCCTGAACGTCCACCGCATCCGCGCCACGGGCTCCTACATTGCCGGCACCAACGGCACGTCCAACGGCATCATTCCCATGCTGCGTGTGTTCAACAACACCGCCCGCTATGTCGACCAGGGCGGCAACAAGCGCCCCGGTGCCTTCTGCATCTACCTCGAGCCGTGGCACGGCGACGTGTTCGAGTTCCTCGACCTGCGCAAGAACCACGGCAAGGAGGAGGTGCGCGCCCGCGACCTGTTCCTGGCTCTGTGGATTCCGGACTTGTTCATGAAGCGTGTCGAGAAGAACGGCGAGTGGACCCTCATGTGCCCCAACGAGTGCCCCGGCCTGGCGGACTGCTACGGCGAGGAGTTTGAGGCCCTGTACGAGAAGTACGAGAGAGAGGGCCGTGGCCTCAAGACCGTCAAGGCCCAGAAGCTGTGGTACGCCATTCTCGAGGCCCAGACGGAGACCGGCAACCCCTTCATGCTGTACAAGGACCACTGCAACCGCAAGAGCAACCAGAAGAACCTGGGCACCATCCGCAGCTCCAACCTGTGCACGGAGATTGTTGAGTACTCTGCGCCCGATGAGGTCGCTGTGTGCAACCTGGCGTCGCTGGCCCTGCCGTCGTTTGTCGACTACACCAACGAGGTCTACGACTTCAAGAAGCTGCACGAGGTGACGCAGGTCGTTGTGCGCAACCTGAACCGCATCATCGACGTCAACTTCTACCCCGTGCCCGAGGCCCGGAACAGCAACCTGCGCCACCGTCCCATTGGTGTCGGTGTTCAGGGTCTGGCAGACGCCTTTTTGGCGCTGCGCATGCCCTTCGAGTCGCCCGAGGCGCGCGAGCTCAACAAGCAGATCTTTGAGACGATCTACCACGCTTGCCTGACGGCGTCGTCGGACTTGGCGGAGATCGAGGGCCCCTACTCGTCGTACGAGGGTAGCCCCGTGTCGCAGGGCATCCTTCAGTTCGACATGTGGGACGTCACGCCGTCGGGCCTGTGGGACTGGGATGCGCTGCGTCTGAAGATCAAGGAGCACGGTATCCGCAACAGTCTGCTGATGGCACCCATGCCGACGGCGTCGACGTCGCAGATTCTGGGCAATAACGAGTGCTTCGAGCCCTACACGTCCAACATCTATCAGCGCCGTGTGCTGGCTGGCGAGTTCCAGGTCGTGAACCCGTGGCTGCTCAAGGACCTGGTCGACATGGGTCTGTGGTCGGACAACATGAAGAACCGCATCATTGCCGAGGGTGGTTCGATCCAAAACATTCCCAACATCCCCGCCGAGACCAAGGCGCTGTACAAGACGGTGTGGGAGATCTCGCAGCGCACGATTGTGCAGATGGCGGCCGACCGCGGCGCGTTCATTGACCAGTCGCAGTCTCTCAACATCCACATGCGCGAGCCGACAATGGGCAAGATCACCAGCATGCACTTTACGGGCTGGAAGCTGGGTCTCAAGACGGGCATGTACTACCTGCGCACGCAGGCGGCTGCCCAGCCGATCCAGTTCACGGTGGATCAGGAGGCGTTGCGCGTTGCTGATACCAATACGAACCGCCCGGCTCTGGCGCCCAAGAAGCGCGCGCCGCCCAGCGGCACGTACCCCACGTCGTTGTCGAGCGGCATGCCCCAGCCCTCGTACAGCAACGGCCGCACCAACGGTGTCAGCACTAAGAACGGTGCGCCGGCGACCGGTATTGATAACGGCATCCCGACGCCGAGCACGACGCCACCGCCGCCTGTCGCTCCGGTTTCGGCTCCTCGTGTGGCTGCGTCGCCGACCAAGCCGATCCCCTTCAAGGCCGACGTTGAGGAGGGCGAGTCCCCCAAGGCACTGCCAACGGAGCCGGCCGGCAAGCCCAAGATTGAGGAGCTGGCGGACCCGGCGCTGAGCGGCAAGAAGCCGCAGAGCGAGGACGGCGACGAGGACACCCAGGACCGCGAGCACGACATTTACGCCGACGCGGTTCTTGCTTGTAAGTTTCAAGTTCACGCTCATGTAATGAAGCCTTGACTGCCGTGGCCTGTTTACTAACCACCTTGTAGGCAGCATTGAGAACCCCGAGGCCTGCGTCATGTGCAGCGGTTAGACGGAGAGCTCTACTATGATCTGTGATCTCTGTTCTGTGTGTGCTGATGCACTCCTTCGAGGCTTGTATTTGTACCATCGAACACCGCATCTGCTGTGATTTGGTTTGCCGTTTTTCGGGTTTGTTTTTCTGTGATGTGCCTCTTTACGTGCTTTCTGTGACAACGATTTGTATCTTTTGGGGTACTTTTCCCATATCTGCCTTTTTGCCATGTTTCCATTTCTCTTATGTTTTGTTTTGTTTTGTTTCACGGGTACACACTATTTGTTATGAAGGAATTGTTTTTTATCACTATGCTCCCCTCGGCCTTGCGAGAGGTTTGTTTACGGGGAGAGCAATAATTGGCCATCTTTCCGTCTGGGACTGCACAGACGAGAAAGAAGGAAGGCAGAAGAGACGACGGAATAGAAAGAAAGATGCGCTATGAGTTTACTGCTGTCTTTTTTGTTCTTTTTGGCATATTGTACTGCAGCCTGTTTTTCACAGCATAATTGCCATGCCCTATTTGCCTCTTACTTTAACCAATTTGCTGTGACTTGACTCTCATTTCGTTTGTCAGCGATGTCAGTTTGTTAGGTTTTTTCCTTCCTTTTTTCACAATGTCTCGATGTGGTATGGCAATAAAACATGACTCGAATATGTCTTGTTTGGTCTGGTAACGGAGTATTGGACGCCGTATCAACCAACGTATCGGCAAACATGCCTTTGCAATTCATGTTGTGTCGTTTCACTTTTACAGTTTCTCATGGCACTGCAATCACCGCAAAATGGCCCGGCGTTGTACAGACCGACACAAAGTATTTACGCAGATAGTCTGTCATTCGGGAACGAGATGAGACTCCTGCGCTCGTGCCTTTTTCTCTTGTTTTCTTATTTTACACCGCTTGGCTCTCAGACTGTCATCATCGCACAGATGCCTCATTTCATGACAATGCAATAAAGACCACGATGGGACCTCTGAACCTGTGTCTCCCAATTCCGCGCCAGAAAACTGAGGAAACGACGCGTCTGGGGATCGAGGGAGAAGGGAGAGACCGCTTTCCGGCCCAAAAGCAAAGCAAGCTTAAGAAACGGACTCGCATCATTACCTCATTGCCTCGACTGGCATTTTGGAAAAAGAATATCACGAGGGAATGGGAAAAGTGGGAAGTGGGTATAAACATAAGACATGCCAAAGGTGGTCTTGCGATCGCGAAAGACTTGGCTCCTTTGTTCTCGACTCTTTGTGGTCACTTTGTTCTCGTGTGTTGTGGATTGCATTCCGATGTCAGGGCTGGCCAAATCGTCAACGCAAACGTAAATACAGAATAATATGGGGACAATCTCATTCATCTCATGCTTATTACGAAGTAGATTTGTGCCGGCGCCATGGACTTTTAAAGCGTTTTCGAGTTGATAAAATTTACATTACCGCATCGTCTCCAATCCATGTGCCGGAGCCCGATGGAAAGGACCCGGTTGCGTCGATGGCAATTTTACACAGCGAGACAAAAGTAGAAAATTATTAACACACAAAGAAATGGGGAACTCCACAACGCCGTCCGATTTAAAAAGGGGGCCTCGACGAGCAATTTCCAAACTGCGGCGGGTAGAGGACAAACGGAAGAAAAAGGAAAGACATAGGAGAGTCAAAAAAAAAAAAAAAAAAAAAAAAAACAGCCTGAAAAGGGAAAGGAAAACAAATTGCAGAGGAACATAGCTGCAGTCAAGGGAGAAGGGACCCAACTCGCTTCGCACTTTTCCTGTGCAGCCACAGGACACCACCAGCCATGAAACCGTTGTTGTGGTGTTATCAAGGCTGCAACTGTGTACGACATACGATTGCATTAGGATGATGAGCACCATATGGAGGCAAGGATTCCGCTACCAGTGTGTCAGTAGCTTGTTGGTTTGTACGCAGTAGTTTGTGGAAACACAGCACAAAATATGGACTGAAGTAGAATCGCTTGGCGGGAGCTGTTGTCTTGGCACGAAATGGAGTAGATCGTAAAACGAAGGTCGATTGTCGTGCGAATAAAGAACAGGGGCAAGGCTTTAGAGAGAAGAGAGGAGGGAATGCAAAGACGACCGAGTCGACACCGGACGCAAACGGCGAGATACGAAACAGGGCAAGTGGAATTTCTGCCAGTCAAGAAAAGAATAAGGGAAGCGTGAGCGTGAACAATGAAGGCATCACCAGTTTCGCAATTTCGCGGTCGCGACAGGTCGACTTGCGGTTGGTGGTCAGGGAGAACAACGATACTTTGTCGATCGTTCCTACCACAACAGTTCCTCTTCGGGGCGTTGTGCCTGTGCCTGCAACAGCGGCCCTTGTTCATTTTCCACTTTGCAGACTGCAAGAGCGATCGTCTTCCGGAGGGGTGTGGGACAACTGTTTACACAGTACGCTCGTTCAGGAGCGATCGTCGGCTGCCTAGCGTACGAAGTAGGTTTTCTGTGCCTTCCCTGTTCTGTCTCTTGGTCCGTGGCAAGCGCTGGTTCCTTCCCTGTTCCTGTGGCCAAGCAAGCAAGCAGGCAATACGTCGTGGGCCGCACAACGCCCCTGCTTAATTCTGAATGTATGACTCGCCGACGTCGACAAGCTCCAACGCCAACGCAACTCAGACAGTTTCCCCAATCCCCAAATCCCCCTGCAGCGAGTCTGCGTCTCCGCGCTCCTCGTCACAAGAAACACCCAGTAAAGTCAACGAGAACAGGTAGCTGGGCGTGCCTGGACCAATGGCAGCAGCAGCCACAACCCCCCCGGCACCCCGTGCAGCAGCGCGATTTTTCCTGTTCTTGATGCGGTGTGCTTGGTGGGCCTTGTTGTTGTGCTGGACGGCAACGACGGGTCGACGGCTACATGAATCTGAAAAGGAACGCAGCATCGAAAAAGGCCATATTCAGTTAAGCAGGTTGGGCCTGGCCGCCAGTGCCTTCAACCGGGCCAGGCCCAATCACACCGGAAATGGCAGGGGGGCGACAGGCCACTGGCGACCGGCCACCCACGATCGGCGCCTGCTCTCCATCTCCCATAGTGCGATTATGGATTATGCTTGTAATGGAGCCTGTTTGGGTCTTCTTTTCTTGGTTCGTCCCCTTGTTGGCCATCGCCTATTGGCTGCGCTACAGGGGTCTCCCCAGCGCGACGTGAGATTGCACCCCGTTCGAGCGGCGATTGGGCCGCTCGATCAGAGGTTGCAGTGGGAGATATCGGCGGGAAACCCAATCGACTAACCCCGTCCCCATTTTTTGTTATTTCGTGAGATAACTTGAATGCGAGCACTTCGTAGAGTGGGAGAGTGGTAGTATGACCGCAATACAACGCAGTTGTAAGATGCTACCGACGCACTACGGCAAACCGGAGCATTGCTTCTGCCCCGGCAACAGCGACAGAAGAGAGACGACGCAGCCACAGGGATGGTATCGTAGTTCAGGTGGCCCACGCTAGCCAAAGCCGAACGTGCAGTCTGCGCAGCTTTTTTCAGCTCGGCGGGTCTTTTCCCGTCGCATTTAACCCTTTTTCCTTTCAGCTCTGTTCAGCTGGTTTGTTCCGTACACCTCATGCCAACAGTGACAACAACTACCTGCCGACTCCATCGGTGGTCCATCGTTGGGTCCGGTGATTTTGACCGCTACTGTCGTCCGTGTCGACAATCACAGCCACGTTGATGGCTCCGAATAAGGTCAGCCATCACCAGCCTCCTCCACGTCCCAGGTCAGTAATTGCCTCGTGCGTCCGGTCTAGAACCTTGCTGGCGCTGTGCACTGAACGTGCCACATCCTACGTGGCCCTTGCACCTCTCCTCTTGTTCCCATCTCCAAAGAGCTCTTCTAGTTAATCCTCTTATGCTGCCACGTGATGAGAAGACCGACACAGTTTGCTGTCATATCGAAGCTCAATGGCGACGCCATCTAGCCTGTTGACCGGTGAGATATCTCCTGACTGCCTGGACCGTTTGCGAAAGGCTCTCACTCAGCACCAGGGGGCAACTAGTAAGACATGGCGAGCCGACCAACGGTCCGGAAAGCCGCCCCAACGATGTCATAATGACCAAATCATCCAAAGTCATCCTGAACCATTCGCAGCCGGGATGCTCTCTGGCACTCTGGCTTTCTCGAGAATGGAGAATGTGTTTCGACGACCAATAGCTTTTGCACACGGTCAATTTGGCCTGCTGCTGTTTTGCTGTTTTGCTGTTTTGCTGTTTTGCTGTTTTGCTGTTTTGCTGTTTTGCTGTTTTGCTGTTTTGCTGTTTTGCTGTTTTGCTGTTTTGGCCAGGTCATCATGGTCCTCCGTAATGCTAAGACCGGCTTGGTGCATGTACCACACCGCTCAGGCCCCATTTCGTCATAGCCGGCTGTCTTGGGCATGGTTGCGGCCAGGCCAGGCCCCAAAAAGTGGAGAGACCCACTCTTGTCCGCCATCTCTTTCGATTTGTGTGTGTTTTTTTGTTTTTTTTTAACCCTTTGGGCCTCCGGCCTTGGGATCTTGCGCGGAGCTCACCTGCAGAAGGAGCATGGGGGCCTGACCTGGGGGGCGAACACCCCTAGCTCGTCACCCCAACAAACCCCTGTCCAGCTCAAAACTCAGAAGCTCAGACGATACCCGGAGCAGGCGCAAACTGGGCCAGGGAAAGAACGATCCGGGATAGATGCGCTGATGCGCACGGCCAATTGAACTTCAATGACTCCATCGGAACGCACTGGCAGGCCAATGGCAGGCCAATTGACCGGTGGCTGGCCGTGGCTGGATGTCCAAAGCTTCCCAGACGAGGCAATTACTTCAATTACTTGTATCTTACTGACAGGGGGGGCCGCAGTATCTGAGCTTCGAAGTCCGCCATCTCCACCCTTCTCACTTGCCTACGGTGCCTACCTCCTACCAACCACGGCAGGCGCCACTGACGACAGACGACAGACAGCAGCTCTCGATTCAGCACACACGGCCATCCTGCCCACGATTTAGCTTCCTTTAGTCGCAAGATATGTGTCTGTGGCTTGGCTTCTTGGGGAAGAACCGGAGGCCGCTCCTGCCATGTTTCGCCTCTCTATCTGTCGCAGCCGGACGCGTTTCTTCATCCGCAAGCAGCTGCACCTGCCAACAAACGGCTGTGTGCATTGTGTCTCTGTATACACCTACATTCGCACGACAAGTGTGCCTTCACATCAAACGCGCATGGTTAGCGTGGTCGGGGACTGCGATCGGCAGCTAGAACAGAGACAAGTCCATTGCTGAGTCTCCTTCTCTCTCTGGCTCCCTGCTGCGTCGTCTGATCACGATCCGGCTCCAGTACCAATGAGCCAAAAAGAGAAAGAGAAGAAAAAGTATGCACCAGTCATGGAGCTACCCTTTAGGTCGTTTGTTCGTTCTTTCCCTCTTGTTCCTTGTTCTCCTCGGACAGGTTTGCCCCCCCCCCTCCCCCCAATCACGATGCATCGCACTTTCCCTGCTTGGAAACTCTGTGCTCCCCACGTAGCCCGCGTACCTTCCCAAAACACAGAGCTACTCAAGTTGCCATCTGTTGACCAGACGCTCTTTCCATTTTGTAGTGGTATCTGTCTTTGACGCGTCCATGATCGCTCTTTCTGTTTTGTAATGCTTTCGTTTCGCCTCCCCGCGCGCGCCTGCCAGCTTTTTTTTCTCCGGTCACCCATCTCTTCCTGATCTTCTTCGCTCCAAAATATTTTCCATCTTTTCTCTCTCTCCATCTTCTCTCTCCATCTTCTCTCTCCATCTTCTCTCTCCATCTTTCATGCTTCCTTTTTTCAGCACCAAAACATACTCCATCTTCTCCACTTTCCTCTTCGCGTAAGGTACGTACAGCACATCCTGGTCGTTCCAGTCTCTTGCTTTGCACATATTGTTTTTTGCCTCTTCCCTCTTCCGTGCCGTCATGCTGAGCAACAACCCGCTCTGAGTCCTGGCAGCTGTGTCTTGCAATCCGTCTGTCAAAGACGTATGCCAAATGTACTTTTCCGTCGTCTTAGCTCATGTCCCTATGGCTCCCTCCCGTTGTCCAAGGTCCAAGGCCCCAGGCCCCAGGTCCATTCCATCACCAGAAAAAGAAAGAAAAAAAAAAAAACACAAATATATCTATCCCTCGCTACCTCTCTCCCTCCCTCCAGCAAAGGCCTTGCCCTCTCCTCTTGTCTCCTTTTGATCATCGTCAACATCCCTCATTTTCCTCGCTAACTCCTACCAAGACCAGTCTCAATCTCGTCTCCAACGACAATTCCGTCCAGCCTACCTTTCAACGGTACCTGATTTTCTGTAAGTGAGACATCGTCTGTTGCATTGGCTTCCACAAGGCCCACGTCCACGGGTGTTTGCATGCTACGGGGCAGACGGGAGAAGCAGATTCAATGCTCTCAGTTTTCTCTTGGGTGGCATCTCTCTTCTCTCCCGTCTCTTTGGCTCTCCATATTGCCTCCTTTCTACCCTTTGTCTCCTTTTCACTTTCTTTCCGATACCACCGTCTTCACCATGGGCAACTACCTCTAGCCAACCATTTTACACCGAAATTCATGTACGCCAAAGTTTCAATTTTAAAAAGGGTCAACGAAAGACGCGCCGCTTCGTCTCCGTCCTTTTTTTGAAATTGCATTCAGACCATCACAACTCCCTAGCTTTGTTTTATTTGTCCGCGTCCAGTGTCTCTCTCCACTTGGCAGTCGACTCTCCTCCACCCTCTTTCTCTTCCCACCCCCCCCCCCCCTTTTTTTTTTTTTCTTTACCTTCACTTTATTCATCATACCGAACTCTTTCGTCGAACGATCGGTTGGGCTTAGCTCAGATCTGTCATGGAGCGGGTCCTGCCACTTGATTACGCCCCCATATTTGCTCTGTGTTGAACTCAACCCATGACCTGCAGTCAATGAGTCGGTTCATATCCAGAATTTGCGAGGGAATATATATCAACCTCGGGTGATCCCTTGCCAACTTTTTCTTGGAAATCTTGTTTCCCTTGATGTTTCTTTTTTTTTTCTCTCTTCTCTTTCCTTCCTCACCTTATCCTCGTCTTACTCTATCCCTTTTCTCACACCCATTTTCGCCTTCAGAAAAGCTTCGCGCGCAAGCCACACGCACACAACTAAATCTAAAGTCAGCTCGCATTCATTCACCTTGTGGACGGTAGCCAAGAGTCCGGTACATTGACATGAATTGCACAAAACTAACCTTCTTTTCTTACAGAACCCTCTATCCAAAATGGTTTCCCGTGCTGTCCTCGCCACCGTTGTGGCTGCTGCGGTCGTGAACGCTCAGTTCCCCGCCAACTTCCCTGCTTGCGGTGTATGTTTTGACCCTCGTCAATCCACATGGACATACGGCCGGACATATGCCCGTCTTCGAAAATTCCTTCAACGCTAACACCCAGTGTAGACCACCTGTATCAACAACATGGCCGGCCAGAGCAGCGCCCTGGGCTGCCCTTCGTCTTCGGACTACAAGTGCCTGTGCAGCAACGAGAACTTCATCTTCGGCATCCGCGACTGCTCGTACGAGTCTTGCGGCAGCGACTCCAACGCCGCTGAGGTTGTCAAGTACGGTGTCTCCCTCTGCTCGTCGGCTGGCGTCGTTGTTCAGACCACCACTACTACTGGTGGTGCTGGCGGTGCTGGCGGCCACACTGGCACCACCACCGGCGGCAGCGAGCCCACTAAGACCGGCGGCGCTGGCTCTGGCTCGACCACGGCCGCCGGTGGCGGTGGCGGTGCTGGTGGTGTCGGCGGTGGTGCCGGCGGTGGTGCCGGCGGTGGTGCCGGTGGCTCGAGTGGCTCTGCCACTACGGGTGCCTCTGGAACTGGCGCTGGCAAGACTGGCGGCGCTGGTGCTGGCAATGGTGGCAGCGGTAGCGCCACCGCCACTAGCACGAGTGCTTCTGCCTCGGGCACTGGTGGTGCTGGTGGTGCTGGCGGTGCCGGCGGTGCCGGCGGTGCTTCCGGCTCGGGCGCTGGTGCCTCGGGTGCTAGCGGCAGTGGTGCCGGCGGTGCTAGCGGCACTGGTGGTGCTGGCGGTGCTGGCGGTGCCGCCGGCTCGGCCACCTCCAAGGCCGGCGAGGCTGGCAGCTCTGCTACTTCCAAGGCCGGTGAGGCTGGCAGCTCGGCCACCTCCAAGGCTGGCGGTGCTGCTGGCTCGACCTCTTCCAGCAAGGCTTTCGTGAGTTCACCCTTCTCCACCATTGCTACAGCGCATCATGTTTTGAACTGCCTTTCTAACCTCTCTAGGCTCCCATCGTTACTGCTGCCCCCGTTGGCATCCTGGCCGCTGCTGCCGGTGTTGCTGCCGTCCTGCTGTAATGTGCCGAATGCACTTTCAGTTGGCGCAAACATTGTTAGCATCCACGGTCTATTCATGCTGCACCCGCTGGAAAGGCGGGTGTAATCATCGAACGCAATTATAAAACTGAGTTGGTCGTAAGACCTATTGGCAGTGGACAAGACAAAGAAAACAGTTGAGAGAGAATGTAATGTGTTTGATGGCGGGATGGTCTCTTTTTTATAAGTTTCTCCGCTTGACGTTCGATTTGATGACTTTTTCCTTTTCATTTCTTCCGTTCATTTTCACAATACCAAAGTCCCAGGGTGCCCGGCGAGGCCCCGAAAGTTAATACGAATAATACGAACGTCTTAAAAAAAGTAAATAAACCAGTCCTCAATTGCAAGGATACAAGTAACCGTGTGTGGATGTGGGAATAAATTTACACAGTGAAGTAAACGTCTAGTTTTTTTGGAAACCAGTACTGAAAGGGCGCTCAAAGTTAGTGATTAGAACCGATGTTGGTCTTCTTGGTACTAACGTATTCCGTACAGCGAGGTCATTCACAGATTTGAAACTGTACAAAAAGTTTTACTTTGGAAAAGAAAACAAAACAAGAAAAGGAGGCGAAACGATTTCATACTGTAAGACTTAAAGGGTCATAACACACTCAAAGTCTACATTAATTTCTAAGTATGATTGTTTTTTAGGCAAGACTTATGATTGATACATATTTTGCTAGCTTCTCATATTGGACCTATTTATCTTGTCCTGAATACTGCGATGTCTTGTATAAATTTCTCACTTGTAAAAGTAACCTTCATGTGATCTCTTCGCCGATGCGATTACTCACTGACAAGTAAAGTAAAAAGTCAAGGTAAAAAAGATTAAAAATATTTGTTTGAGTGGACTATGAAAAAGCATGCCCTGGTATCCTATGGGACAAAAAAGACTTAATCTCGGACGAGAAAACGCATCCTTTTGTCATTTCATTACGGTAAATTTAAATTTGCCAACAGAAGACTTAGAAAACGAAGACAGGGGAAATAAGGAAACAAAAAAGAGAAAACGGTTTACGTCCGCTCGGCAGCCGCCGCAGGAACAGCCACCGATTCAAGCGGCACGGTGGCCGCGGAGGCAGCGTCCTCGACGTAGGCGGCGGTCTCGGCTTGCACGACATTTGCCTTCTCTTGGTCAATGGTGGCATTCTTCTCGGCGGCTTGGATGTTGGCGCGGGTCTGCAGCTTCTTGGCGACGTTGAGGTGCAGGTACGGCTCCATGTTGGGCACCAGGAAGGCGGCGGCAATGAGAATGACAGAAAAGGGGATGGTGCAGTAAAAAACAATCTTGAAACTCTCGGCATAGGCGGTGGGGAGGCTGGCACCGACGGCGGCCTCGACGGCGGGGGTGATATCCGGGACAGCAGAAAAATTGCCGGCAGTGATGCCGGCGTACAGTGCAGGCAGGGAAGAATCGGGCAAGCCAGCCTCGGTGGCGGCGGGGCCGACGTACTTGGGGATGTTGGTGGTCAGCTTGTTGTTGAGCACCGAGACGTACAGGGCCTGGGCGACGGCACCGCCAAGCGCGCGGATGGAGCCCATGACACCAGTGGCGAGGCCAATGTCCTGGGACTCCTGGACAAGGGTGACACCGGGGAAGGTGATGTTGTCGACGTAGCCGATGGAGACGAGACCGAGAATGCCGAGGGCGAGGAACATGTTGTGGGTGCCGGTGGTGATGGAGGCAAGCGGAGTGATAAAGGCCATGGCGCAGATAGAGGCAATGACGGCCTGCGTCTTGACGCGGGGCACGTAGCCGAGCGCGAGACCACCGAGGACCTGGCCGAGCAGAATGCCGCCGCCGACGACCGACGACTGCCAGCCAATCTGGAGGCTGTCAGTGGTGTACAGGGTGCCGACAATGGTGGGCCAGAGGACGGTCATGGAGTAGTAAATCATGGCGCCAATGGTGGCGACAATAACAATGCCGACGAAGCCCTTGTTCTTGAAGAGACGGGGCGGCATGAGGGGCTGGACCTTGCAAAAGTAGGCCTCCCAGATGACAAAGGCAACAATCGTGGCAAAGCCAATGAGCAGGGTGCACAGAGTCTGGACGCTGGCCCAGGGATAGATGGTGCCACCCCAGGACAGGCCGATGAGAAAGAGGACGCAGCCGCCGACAAAAAGGAAGATGCCAACGTAGTCAATCTCTTTGACAGCCTGCCACCGGGTCTTGCCGGCAACATGAAGTTGGGTGTAGCTGGGCGGGTGGTAGAGGAAGAAGAAGAGGATGGCGGTGATGCCGTTGAGAATGATGCCAATGTAGTAGCTCCAGCGCCAGCCAGCGGCAGTGTTGTTGATGAAGGAGCGGGCGATGATGGGGCCGAAGACGGCAAACGGCAGACTGGAGAGGAAGCAGATGGTGACGACGACGCCGCGGTGCTTGTTGGGGACGAGCTCGCCAAGGGTGATACCAAACGACAGCTGGCCGGCGGCCGAGAGGCCGTTGAGAAGATTGGCGCCGATGAGGGTGTTGACATTCTTCGCGACGGCGCCGACGATGCAGCCGACGAGCGAGAGGACGGTGGTGCCCATGACCATCCACTTGCGGCCGAAGATGTCGGAGAGACGGCCGATAAGCAGGAAGCCGATGCAGGAGCCGAGCGTCCAGACGGTGGCGACCCAGTTGATGTCGGGAGAGTTGCCCAGGTCGGCGTTGATGAGGGACAGGGTGTTGGCGGGCAGCACCCAACCGAGATATGCGCAGATGGAAGCGCAGCAGATGGCCTTGGGAGGTGTCAGCAGAAGCAAGATGCAATGGTGATGTGGCGTGGATTGGACGACAGCTCACGCTCTGTCTGTACTTACCACCATGGTGCCCAGGAAAGCCGGACTGTAGTAGTAGCCCTTGGGCATGTCCTCGAGGTCACCGCCGACGGCATTGGCGTCAATGTAGTCGACGGTGCCGTCGATGTGAGCGACCTTGGCGACATCCTGGCCGTCGATGAGCTCGTGGACCACCTTGCCATCGTGGACCGAGTTTCTGTCGGCCGACATTTTGAGGGGGGAGGGTGGAATAAAAGGATGGGAAGAAGAAGTTAGAACAAAGATGAAACGAGATGCAAAGCAAGAGAGGATGAATTAAATGACAAGAACGAATAAGGGGACGAGATGAGAAAATACAAAAGAAGAAAAGGGACAAGATCGTCACTCGGCACAACAGAATAGGACGGGTGTGCAGTTTGTTCTTATATTCTGTATATCCCTGCGAGAGACGATAACAAACACAAAAGAAAGAAACAAACCCGTGTGCGTAGTCAATGCAAACCAACAAACACAGAAAGGGGAGGCTTCTACGAGAGACAAGGCTGGGGGAGGCGAAACAAACACAGGATGGGGACGAGAATGAGGTAAGAGCATGGGGTCTGGAGTATGGAGCATCCGTATGGAGTACGGGGTTGGAGGAAGGGACCAATAGAGGCGGGATCTGGGGACGATTCTGAGGAAGATGATAAACAGGACGGGTTGAAAAGGCGTCTGTTTTCGAGCGTGACCAGTTCTACTCCAAAAGACGGGGCGCAGAGTCGCTTGTTTGAATGAATCTTGGTCATTGCATTGGGGCGTTTGTATCGTTGTTGTCCATTTGTCTTTGTTCCTTCTCCTTTTTGGTTGCATCAACCCCAAGAGGTAAAGCCATGTTCTGGGGACACGAGCTCATGTACCCTGCACGGTCTTGTCACGGACCCGAGCCCCAAGGATGAGATTAACCAGGTTGTCTCGGAGGGTGACTTCTCTGTTTCTTTTGCAGTCGTATCGTCTGTATCTCCTTCACTCTTCCCCTCCTTTCACTGGACAACACGCGGCCTCTGCAAACCACCCTGGAACGCTAGTTGGGCTAGAGCAGGTCGCTAGGCTGGGATCGTAATGACGAGAGAAAAAAGGCCGTGGGAGAGAGCCAAGCCTTGGCCAGACCAGAGCCACAAGGGCCGTGAAAAACAGGGAGATCTGTTGGTAGAAAGCAATATTAGTATTAAAACGGTCAGATTGTGCGACACTTGCCGTTCGAATCAAAGTAGCCTTAGCAGAGCATCATCACACAAGGCAGCTATGTGCTGTGATATGTGTTTTGTCGTCTTCTGTTGTGACAAGTCGTGTGCTGGCTAAGTTAGTTCGCCTGGCCGGAAATGGCTACGCGCCATGTTGTTAAGGGCGGAACGAGGCGGTTGATGGTCAGAATGATGGAGACAATGGAGCTGGCCTCTTGAGCCATTTTGGAGTCGATTCCAAAGAGTCTGGAGCAATAGATAGGGTTCATCGACGTTGTACGTGAGCACTCCGTCATTGTTGTTGACAAGGAGTAAAAGGGGTTGCTCTTCGCTCCCCAGCAGAAGACCTCTTGCCCTTCTGTGCCTCGTTTGCTCCTTCCTTCCTTGTTTAGTTTCTAAAATCTGGCAACGGCGCACCTGCCCCTTTCCTTTGAGGTCCCCTTGAGCTCCGGCCTCGTGGAAAACGCTTTCTTTGGGATTCATGCCCGGCCAACGTGTCCGTGTTTCTCTCCCAAGGCGCCCACGAGAGCCTCCAAGAACGAGCCCCTACTTTCCCCAACTTGTAGGACTTGCAGGGGTTTTGCTTCGAAGACATAAAGAGCCTGTCAAGTCCTTGGCGGTCCATTCGACTGTCGGAAACTTGCGACACAAAAGGAAGGAACAGACGTGTCGCTACGAATTTTTTGCAACCGTTTTTGGGCAGGTGCGACGGGGCCATGAGCCTGGGACGAGACCGTCTGACTAGGCAGGCACAGCGTATTCACGGGCCTAAAGCACCTGCAACAATTCACTGGAATAGACCGCACGAGGGCCAGTGTTCGGCGCCGGAGGTGACGAAAAAAGTGCCCGGAAACCGTGAGTAAACGGATCAGACACATGAGCAGTGGCACTTCAGAACAACAGGGACTCTTTGGACAGTGAAACTATGCATCGCTCCTTCCGTCAGCCAACCGTCGCTGTTTCCTCCCTAACACCCCTTCCGTCGCCCTTTCCTTCCTTCTACGGAACCAACAGACAGCTCCTTTTATTTGGCGGTTTGGCACGCACAACATTTATTTCGGGAAGGAACCTCTTCTCCACACTTGGCGACCCCAACGTAAAAGCGGAACCCTCTCTCCCTCTCCGCCTGGAAGCTGGGGGTGGATTGAATAGGGAATGTGGGCGCCAATGATGGAAGCTGCATTTAAGCGGGTCCATTTCCCACCAGCCAATGGTATTGTATGTTTCTTCGTTGTCTGGAAAAGGTCTCCCGTGCGTCTGTGCTGAAGACACAATGGAGAACGAAGACAAACCAGACACCAGAGACACAGACAATACACTAGCGAACAATGTCAAGAAACAGAGCCTCTCACTGCAAATTGGCTCGTTCGTTTTCGACCTACTACCAAAAGAGGCAACAATAAAACGCGTCACAACTTGGCCCTGCGAGATTCTTGTCCGCCGCCGAAAGCGAAGACATTTACGCCGGGTCGGTGATAATGCGAACGTGGTAGCCCATATGGGTGCAAGTGTTTAGTGCTAATCCGGCTTCCAATCGGATATGGATACCATTTGCAGATGTTCCAAGGTCCTGCCTATAGACGGGTAGATCGGATTATAGTCAGCTCCGTTGTAGGAGTTGGAGTGCACGACCTCATCACTTCTCAGAATGACCACCGGCGCCGATATCGTTTTCTAGAAGAGAAATGGTAGCGACTTGCGAATCGCAGCGGGCAACGGTAAGCAGGGGGGAAAATGGACCCTGCAGACGTCGGGACATGGAAAAGCACATGGCGCCAAGAAGCTAGACACTACAAGCCACGAAAGTAGAAACGTCTTGTGAAAGTAATTACCATACGAGCCTACTGGGGAGTCGAGTAGCTGGCTGGAAAAGCCAACGAGGGGAATGCCTAATGATTGGTGGCCATGTGCCGTGACGTTTCCCTCTATTACTTTCCAAATCGACTCTAGAGACATTTGCAACAAGGCGTTTGTCACACACGAGTCCCACAGAGAAACCGCAGAAACGAATGTAAAACGAACAAGGGCCAGAAGAACATACTAGGCTATATTGGATGGTACCACCCTCCTCTGGCTTATGTTGTAGAAGGTTATATTTGTGGTTCCTGTTTTTGTTGAGGCGTTTATTTCAAGAGCAAGGCTTTTATTCTCTTGGGGTTACAAAGTACGCCGTACAGAGATAACGCAGACCAAAGACGAAGAAAACGGCGTGCTCAGCCTGCAAGACGGCTCTAGCCATGTACTCCGTACATTAGGTAAGGTTCGATGGTCTAAATCCACAAACACAAAGGATTGCAAGTGCTCCATTTGGAACGGTTCTTCAATCCCGGTACATTGGGATGACACGAGATCATGTGTCCAAGCACCAAGCTTGCACGGCTGCCATCCTTGCCGCTACCAGTTGCCATTCCGGCCTTGCCGCCGATCAAAAAGACTGGGACGAACTCGCTCAGAGTTACCAGTATTATTCGGAGTAACTCTGGCGCTTGGAGCTGAGGAAGGAGGTTGACCAACTGGCCAACAGCAAGCAAGAGAGTTCTCGGGAGATTGCCCAACATTTGTCTTCCAGCTCTTTGTATCATGTCTATTGGAACGTGATATGTCATCCCTAGGCGGCAGCAATGTCGGTAGGTCGTAATAACTGGAGTAGACGAGAATACAAACATTCATGTTTGCCGACGACGGGTTCGACTGTATGACTATACATCATTCACAAAAGACAATGAAGATAGACTGGGACCACGTTTGCCAGATTGACCCCCCCTCTGCACCACGCCTGGGGACGGGTATGCAAATTTTAATAGCGTATGGGGCGCGGACGAGTTGGTGTGTAACTCCGGATCAAGGTCGCCACATGTGAAAACTGGAAAAGAAAGGAAAAGGCCAAGTAAAAATGTTGTTTATGTACAATGGCTTGTCTCCCTAGAAGAGGAGAGTCTTGTGTATATTGAGTGCTAAAACCGCGAAGGGGATGGCTACCATGATGTATGGCAAGGTAAGACAGCAAAGAGACAGAAAAGAGAGATAAACCAAGAAAATGCACAAAATCTATTAAAAGATGTGTTGGCGACAGAGGCGCTCAACAAATGAAAATGCGCAAAAATATGCTAATAGAAGCCTCCCATCAATGCACAAAACAACACACCCGCGTATACATACAAAATAGATCCGCTGTCTGCTCTTGCTGCTTCTCCTGTGGCCAGGAAAGGTCAACAAGATGAAATGAAAGCACACGCTGTGGTGTTTGTACAAATATTTATATAAAATTCCTCCCACTTGAGTGCAAAGCCGCCTCGGGGCTTCTGCGGGTATAATGGAGGCATGCCTCCCTCTTTTCATTCGTCTTTCTCGTCTCTTGCGTCTTTCGCATCTTTCTCGTGCGTTTCATAAACCCAGTCCCCAAATTCCCATGAAAAATGCTTTGCCCTGAAAAAGTACCCCCAACCTTGCCGTCCAAAAATTGACTTCATGTTCTTTGTAAATGACACGGTGTGAGAAAAAACAAGACAATGAGATTTCAGTGTCGCCCACGTCCGACCAACGTTAATTGTCGCCGGTCGTGGTGGTCGTGCCGAGGCCCACCTTCTTGGCCGTGTCGGTGCTGCCGATGCTCGTACTGGTGTCCCGGCGACGGGCCATGTGCGTTGTGCGGCTGCCAGAGCCCGAGAATCCACCGGAGCCTGCGAACCCAGAGCCGCCGCTACCAGGCATAGGCCCAAAGGCAGTTACCTTCTTCTTGGCCTTCGCCATCATGATGATGCCTCCGTCCGAGTCGCTGTCATCGTCCTCGTCGGTGAAGCAACGGCTGTTGCCGCGGACCGGTGTGGCTAATGGGGTGCGGGACGACGTCGAAGTAGACCGGCCCGTGGCGGCAGCGCGGGCCGTCGCAGCCGTGTTGTCGATTTCCACGGGGATGGCACCACCACTGCCCCAGCCTTGCTGGTCTTTGAGGCCGAGTGGGAAGGCAGCCGGCTCTTTGCCCAGCAGGGCAGGCGGGGTCAGCGAGTCCGAGACGTCGCCGGGGCCACCAACGACACCGGGGTTGCCGAGGAACTCGCCTTCCACATCATTCGACACCGAGGAGGCACCGCTCAGCAGGGCGGGTAGCGACGGGTCCGACTGGAAAACCATGGTCATCATGGCGTTGGAGCTTCCCTTGCGGTGGCCCGGCTGGCTGCTGCCGGCGCTGGTGGTGCTGTTCGTGCTATGCACGAACGAGTGGTGGGTCTTCTCACTGGGGCTGGTGAGGGGCGTCTGGTTGAAGCCCTCCTCGAGAGACGCAGAGCTGGACGAAGTGGTTGTGGCAGAGGTAGGCGCAGCAGTTGTGTCCAGTCCGGCGTTGGTCAAAGGCACCGCAGAGGCATCCACAGACGTGTTTGTGTTTGGCAACGCCGACAGGCTGTTGGACTTACCGCGGCCCACAGCTGTGGTGATGTCGTTGGCGACGATGTCCTGGACCCGGTGTGCCGTGGCAGGACGCTCGACCAAGGTCTGGGTTTGCGTCTGTGTCAGCGTCTCAGTCTCGGTCTCGTCTGAGCCAACGGTCGACGTCGACAGGTGCAGGCTCGGTTGCCGCATGCTACCAGGCGCATTCGCCACGCTCAGCCCGACGAGAGCTTCAGCACGTTTGTCCGGGTTGGCAAAGACGATGCCGGCGCGGTCGACCGAGCGGGTGCGGGCATTGAAGGTGATGTCAGCGGACGAAGCCGAGCGGACTTCACGTGTGCGGCGGCCACTGGTGGAGGCGTCCAAGGGTAGGGCGGCTGTAGGCGTCGGGGGCATCGTCTGGATGTCGCGCAGTATCGACGCGCGGCTCAGGATGGCGTTGCTGATGGACCGGGAGTGGACGTGTCGGGTCATGGTGCGGGACGGCGGCGTGGCGGGGCTAGCTTCGCCAGAACCGTCGATGTTGTAGTTGTAGACGGTGTTGGTACTGGCGACGGGCATCGCGGGCATCGCGGGCGGGAGTTGTACTGCCGGCTCGGTTGCTGACGTCTCTGGCAACGTCAGCTGCTGCAGCTGCGACGGAGGGAACTCGGAGTGGGGGGTTCTCTCGTCTGGCGACGCATACGGGCTTGCAGTCTGGCTCTGGGCCAGTGGGTGGTCTTGCCGGGGCGAATCGGTCGCGGTGGCGGCGGAGGCGGTGGTAGTACCGGGAGCGCCTGGTACGGGTGGTAGTTGGGTAACGGTGGCAAAGTAATCATTGACCTCGGCCTTGTGCAGGCTCTTGCGGCGGGCGTCGCGGGGATTGTTGCCGGTATGGTAGTGATGGAAGCCCAGCGGGCTCGACGAGGCCGGCTGGTGGCCCTGGCTGTACGAGTGCATGTGACCGTGACTGTGGCTGTGGCCATGGCTGCCGAAACCAAAGACGTGGCCGTGGTTGCTGTTTCCGGGGCTGCCCGTGCTGTTGTGGTGCTGGAGGGTGGCAGGGAGAATGTTGATGGGCTGGGACGACGCCGCGGCGGCCTGGTCGCCGGCCACGGCACGGGAGCTGCTCGCAGCGGAGCTGGCAGCGCGAGCGCGCGTGGACGAGGGGGCCGCACTTTCGTCACGCTCGGGTCGCGCGTGCATGACCTTGTCGACGGCGCGCTTGACGGCAGAGCGCGCGCGCTGCAAAAAGTTGAGAGGCACGACGGCGTCGCCGATTTCCTCTTCGTCGACGTGGATGGTCCGGTCCTGGTCGCGGGCCGGGTCGGTGTCGCTGAGCCAGGCAGCGACGTTGGGGAGGTCCTCGGTGACCCACGGGTGGCGCTTGATGTCTTTGAGGCGGATGCGCTTGTCGGGGTTTTTGATGAGCATCTTGCGCAGCAGATCGAGAAGTGAGTCGCTAATCTCCTCGTACTCGGGATCGGCGTCGCTGCGGTAGGGGTGGACGTTGGTCCGGCTGTAGAGGGAGGAGCCGGTGGGGTCGGTGTAGATGCCGACAGGCTTGAGGCGGCGTTTTGGGATGTAGGCCTCCTCGGTGGCGATTTTGCGGAACATGGAGAACTCGTCTTCGGCGAGGAAGGGGATGCGGGCGTAGAGGAGGCAGTAGAGGGTGACGCCGAGAGACCAGACGTCGATTTGTTCCGAGACACGCGGTGGCTCCGTGTCGATGTCGGTGTAGCACAGCTCGGGGGCAAAGAAGGCCGGGGTGCCGACGGTCTTGGACAGCTCGCGGTCGTCGTCAAAGTTGCGGGCCTCGGCTTCCGACACCGTGACGTCGGGCTCGCCGTCGCGGATGGGGCGGCCAAAGTAGGAGACACCAAAGTCGGAGATCTTGACGTGGAAGCCTTTAGACCACAGCAAGTTGGCCGGCTTGATGTCGCGGTGGACGACGCCGTGGTAGTGCAGGTACTCCAGGCCCAGGACGGTGTCGCGGAAGGCAATGCGGGCCTGGTGGATGTTGAAGCAGGGCACATAGGAGAAGTCGTCGGCGTAGGGGTCGTGGACCATGGAGTTGAAGTCGATGCCGGAGAGATGCGACATGACGGAGTCGGCAATGCTAGGCGAGCGCTGGCGCGGGCGGCTGCTGTCGTCCACGTAGGCGCCAAACATGCTGCCATCGAGAGCGCTGGACATGGCGTTGGCTGGATGCAGGAGGCCGGGAGTCTGCGAGCCGCCGTCGCCGCCAAAAGCGTCGTCGTCCTCGTCGTCGTTGTCGGCGACGAAGTTGAGGGTGTGACGATCGCCGCCGTCTTGGGCCATGTATGACAGCGGGGAGGCGTCCGAGGAGTAGGACTGGCGCGTGGGTGCGCTGGCGACCGAGGCGGACGAGGCAATGCGCGAGGGCGCGCGGGAGGTGGCGCGCGAGATGGGGTGGGACTCAAGCAGGGAGGCGTCCGGGCCCAGGCCGGTGCTGGGGACGTACCACCAGGGCGGCTGGCCGTCCTCGTCGTCGGCGGATACATGGTAGACGGTGGTCCACTCGTTGACCGGGAGCGGCGTGCCATTGGCGCGGGCGTCTTTGAGGGCACGGATGGTGGCTTTGCGCTCGAGGACGGCATGCCAGTTGCACTCGCCGGGGGCGAGCTCGTGACCGTGGACGCCCTGCTCAAAGCGGTAGCGTTCAAAGTAGCAAATGTTGGGCAGGCCCTTCTTGCGCCAGGTCATCTCGCCGCGCTCGACGTATTCGAGGACCATGTAGATCTTTTGGAGCTCCGGGTCGTCGATGACCTCGAGGAGGGCGACAATGTTCTCGTGGCGGATCTTTTTGAGGATGGCGATTTCGCGCTTTGTGTTCTGCTGGGGGTCGACAGCGGACACTTTGCCGAGGCGGCGGGTCTTGGACAGGCGCGGGATGATCTTGATGGCGACCATGCGCTGGTCGCGTCTGTCCTGGGCCAGCTTGACCTTGCCGTGCTGGCCGCGGCCGATCTCTTCAAGTACTTGGTATTCGTTAATGGTCTTCCGGCCGGTAGTGAAGTCCCGGTCAACGGTCGCAATGTGCGTTCTAAAAAAAAGGGAGAAAAGAAAATGAGAGTTAGTTGCTGGCGGAAAGAGAGTTGTGCAACAGGCAAGTCAGCATAGCAAGAACAGGAGAGTCGTTGAACTCACTCTCGGACGGGCTGCCGCGGTGTGCCGGGGGAGTGCTCGTGTGAGAAGCCGCTGGGTGGAGTAGAGACGGCTGTGCCGGGGAGAGGATTGACGGTGGCCGAGGCGGAGGAGCTGCCGGCAGCGGCTGCCAGTGCTGCCGAGGCAGAGGTCGCCGAGAGCATGGAGGCCATGGTGGGCACGTGTGGCGAGGAGTGGGAGTGCTGCTGCGGGCTGACGACGCCCGGGGAGGAGGCGGGTGTGATGCCGGTCGCGCGGAGGCCCGCGCCAGGCTGTGGAGAGGAGGGCGAGGAGACGGATGTGACGGGGAGGAGGTTGAGGAGGTGCGGGTGGTGGTGCGGCCGCGAGGGCCGCGGGTGTTCGGGCTCCATAGAGAGAGGAGAGGCTCAGGAGGAGGGTTGTTGAGGGATGGTGAAGAAGCGGTCGAGGCGGATGGTTATCGTCGTTTTACGTTATTTAGGGCAAAGCGCCCATCGGCGTCGAGAAGCGTCAGTGCAGAGACATTTGCGGGCCGATGCGGGCGCGAGAACCGCCGGGTGCGAGGGAGAGCGACGGCGGCGTGGTGTCTCGTGGGAAGAGGTCGTCTGGGAGAGACGTCGACGTGAGACAGAAAAAGCGCCGTCAGACGAAAGACGGGACGAGAAAAAGGCGCCAGTCGAGTCCAAGGTTTGTAGGGAGATTGCGAGTCTTGCGAGTTTGTAATCTCCTCGTGTCGAGTGCGTGGTGAAGAGAAATGACGGGAGTGCGAAAGTGGTCGAGGGACCCGGAAGGGAACGGACGAGAAACGTGAAGTGTTTATGCGTAAAAAAGAGCGCAGGGTCGTTTTTCGTTTTTGCGCGGGCCGGAAACAGGGTAAAAAAAAGAGGGGACCCTGATTTCTTGACGAGGGGGAATGAGATAGGGAAAGTCGAGAAAAGAGAGGAGTCCAATAAAAGGAGAGAGACGGAGTGAATATGGAGAGGAGAAAGCGAAAAAAGATCGTGAGGCTTGGTTTTGTTTTCTCTGCTTTCCCTTTTCCCTGTTTGCTCTGGTCGGAGGCCCTGGGCCGGTCTTTCCTCTTCTTCAAAGATCGGCCAGAGAGTCGAAAAAGGGTGGGAAGGAGGGACGAAAGAAGGAGACGGAACAGGGAGGAAGTAGCGACCAGAGGCTCAGACGATACAGTGGAGGAGCAGTGGACGCAGCGGAGGAGTGGCTCCAGTGGATGGTGCCAGCGGGTTTCCGGTGGGCAGTGGTGACGGGTTGGTGGCGGCTTAGTGGGCGTGGCGGTGGGCGTTAGCGGAGTGTCCTCTGCTGGCTGACAGGCTGGCCGTCTTGACTCGCCTTTCGTAGCGATGGACAGGGGATCGGACAGGCTCGACAGGATAAGCCAGTTCCCATGGAGGGTTAGCGGGCGACAGCGGCGAACAGTGACGACGGGCTTTTGCGTGCTGTTGTGGTGTTGTGGTGTTGTGGTGTTCTGCTAGAATTGGGCCAGAGAGCCGAAGGCGAAAACCCCAGCGGGAAAGGCGGACAACGACGGCTTCTGGCTTGGCACTGACGGATGGTGTGCAGTTTCACCGTAGTGTAGTTTGTGCTAGACATGCAGCGTAGCGAATGCATCCAGGACTTGTTTCGTCTTTGGCGGGTCTCGACAGCATCTATCTTACGATGCTTCGGAGAGGGTATCGATTGCGGCGTCCACGCCTTCTACAGTACGGAGTGCAAGGGGTAAGACTCCCAAAGGTGTGAGTATTGTATGTTTGAGCCGCCGAATCGATGAGCCGTGGGCGGTTTGTTGTTGGAGAGACGACGCCGCAAATGATACAAAGAAGAGGAGTGAGACGATGAAGGCAAAGATGCTGGGAAGCGAAAGGGGCAATGGTGCCTACCGCTCGGAGTAGAAGATCTCCGGGAAGGAGCGCCGTGCGAACTTGTGCTGGGTGTCTGTGTCGTGTGTCGTCTGTCACATATCAGATGGAAGGAAGGCACGCGAGGTAAGAGCGAGCGGCACACTTTCTCGATTTGCCTGGTTCCTTCATTTCGGGAGTCCTACACTCTGTCGGAGGAAAACATACGAGGTAGGCACAGCGTACCCAGTTACAATCACCGTTGCAGGGACTTCTGTACTTTGCGGGAAAGGAAAGAAAGTCGCTTCGTACTCGTACTCTAGAAACACATTGGCTTTCGCTTCTGAGCTCCCTGCGAAAAGGTGTTCGCTGGGCGGCTTGGCACAGGTAAATTTCGCACGGAGCAAGTGCGAATGTACTCAATTTACTTCGTACGAGGACTTCGTCGGGAAAGAGGGGTGCAAAAAAGAGGGACCAGAGGGGGGACTCGACCCATTAGAAACAAGGGAAGGAGCGGGCAAAGGTCAAAGGGAACGTGCTCAACAGTGGGGGACCCACTTGCCAAAAGCCAAAAGCGCACGGAGCAGCAGCATAAAACGGAAAGCGCAGGTACCACCCAGAGAAACCCCTGCGGGATGGTACCTCTTCGTGCTCTTGTCAAATTCTTTGATCGAAAAAAGGGCAAAAGAACGTATCTTGCAGCAAGGGGTGGTGGGCGGGGCCAAAAAGTGTGAAAGCATGGGCTGGTCTTCAGCGACCAGGACAGACGAGGTACCTGTTGCATGCGTGGAAAATGGCTGGCAGCAGAGGTACTGCTAGCGTTCATGTACGCCACCGTCTCAGGCGCAAACCTCGCTGGGGCAAGTGCGCATCAGTTATTTGCATTTAGGCCCTATAGAGGGAAACATGTTGGCCATCTAGGCCATTTTTAGGGACAAATACTTTTTAGGTACGACAGACACGCTATTACTTAGTCGCAGTTTCTTGTGGCCATCATCCAACGGTGGCCTGTGCCTAGTTGCAAAAGGGTGCACACCATTTGCTTATCGCGCCAATTGTGTCTCGCTTTTGACTTGCGCATCGGAGCTGTGATTGGTCCACGGCGGCGTATCTTTCGATTACATGTGGAGTGGGTCATGGCTGCTCGCCCCTGCAAATGGTTCACTGCATCAAAAATGGAGCAGCTTTGGGGACACTTTGTTGGATCGATTGCCTTCAAATTGCATGCGACATTGATGTTGGGTGAGCTCTGTGATGGCGCCCATTGTCTGCGTACCAAGCTCCAACAGCTCTTTGTTGTCGACTTTGGGCATGGAAGCATTGAAAGAGAAACGCGAAAGCGGTTAGGCGCCCTGTTGGTCAAAAAAGGCATTTGCGAAAGAACGAAAGGAAAGGAATCCACGTCATAACAGCAAGAACACATGGTTCATGCCTTGTCAGCGTTCGTGAGAAACTACCTCTGGGACAATATCGTATGACAAAAGAACAATGAACGCGAGGACATGAACACGACAATGCAGCCGGTGAGGTTGGGACGAGAGAGGACAAGCGAGATTGTGCCAGAAATGAAAACGAGGGAAGAAACAGGACAAGAAGCGAGGGGATGTGCGGCAGGCCGTCGTCCGGCCCGAACGGCGACAGGTTGGATTCAGCCTCTCAAGGAGAAAGCTGAAAGGTCAGCACAATTGAAAAAAAAAAAAAATGTACACGTAATACAAAGAGCAGAATCGGAGAAGGCTGCTCGTCTTGGCGCTGCAGACCACTGGAGACAAAACGACCCCCTAATCTGTCCTGGCCTGAATTCCAGTGTCCGTTGGTGGTCTGTCTTTGTCGATCCCTCCTTCTTTCTGAACTTGCGCCGTCCGTCGAAGACCTCTCGGCGTGGTGTGTGGTGTCCTCCACCAAACAAGGCTCCTGTCGCCTGTTGCGCTGCCTGGTCGTCAGTGTTCGGTCGTCCGCTGTGTCCCTTTAGACAGCAGTTGTCTTGTATCTCGCATGTCTTGAATGTCCAAACTGTCACACGCTAGCAGGGGTTCTTTTTGGTGCTCTCGGTGCTGTCTCGTTTGGCACACCTCGTTTTCTTGGTGTGGTGTGTGTGGTGAGCTCTAGTAGCTGGGCAAAGGAAAGCAAGGCCAGCCATGACCATACAAGAAGGAACATCGTTTAGAGTCTCGAGGAGCGGAGAGCGGGAGTAAGAAGCAGGAGCGAACAAACAAGTCCAGTACTCACTCCGTACGGAATGTTGCATAGAAAGCATCTACAAGAGCACGAGGTTGGCCCAAATCACGCCGGTACAAGGTGGGCGATGGCAATTGTAGGAGAGCTCTCACAACCCATCTCCGCTCACGACCACACCTGCGACCGGTCGACGTAATCATGCAACTCTCAACTCCTCCGCACAGACCTGCCTGTTGCCAGGATGATCGCCCAAGACCGCTGGCAGCCGCAAATCTATCCTGGGGGCGCGATGGAGGGCAGGATATCTCGCTTCGCAGGGCCCAACCAAGACACACGACCAGGTTGAGAGGCGGCGACCAGCCCCCGGCCGGCGTGGCGACAATTTCAACAAAACCAAGTGACGGTTGTGGGTGCACTGAGGAGACGAGCCCGGCTGTGCTCTATTCAAAGAGGGTGTAGGACATTGCTTTGCTGCTCTCCGTCGTATATGAAATGGTGCTGTGCAAATTGCACAGCACAGGACTTTGCAGAGCGCCCAGGATGCTAATGAAGTGGAAAGGCTCGAAAGGCATGCTATACAGAGTCGCAGGATTCCTCTTCTTTCAACGCGCTTCTCACCAAAAAAAGAAAAAAGAAAAAAGAAAAAAGAAAAGAAAAAAAAAGTCGGCCCTGCGGCGTGCAGCAGCGGACGACCCACCAATCCCTTCCATCCTTGTGCACTCTGGCCAATCAAAAGCTGATGTAACCCTACACTTACAGAGACGGAGAATAGTGGAGAACGAGGTTTGCACTGTCCACAGCCATTGTCCACTGTGCCACACTGTGTTTCTCAGTTCTGCTCCTGCCGTTTGAGTCTCCACCAGCCGAAACATTGAACGCCGTTCTGTTTTGGAAAGCATCGTACCTTACCACAGGGGAAAGAGCGATCAAAGCCAAACAACAGACATGGGTTAATATGGGAAACAGCAAGGGGAAAGCAAACCTGGTTCCTTCCCCATGTGTGCAGCAAGCAGAGGAACCAGAAAAGACTGGAGAAAGTTGAGACTTGACGAGACTCTCCATCTTCAACAGTACGTCTCTCGCGTGCCCGACACGACCGTCGCGACCCTTCCCCGCAAATGGCACACCACGGCGACGAAGAAAGGTGACTACGCCCATTGTGTGCAGGTGAACATCCGGCGAGGGAGACGACGCTCATCCCAAGGAAGAGCAACAGAGGAAGACGTCAAGAGGAACAGCGAACAATATTCGTAGATTGTGGCCTGTGTTGTTTGTGCTGCCTGTTCCTATCCCTTGCTCCCAATCACCACCAGCCTCCCGGAACGGCCCTTTGGCAAGGTTGTTGGGATAACGTTGGCTGGGCTAGG